AGTGCGCGGATGGCACCTTGGCATGCAATCATGGATTGTGTGTCACTCGCCGTGACGCATACGCTTATTTAAAAGCGCTTCTATCCTGCTCATCTGATCATCCATCTTTGACTCCAGCATTTTTTGAAGGCTGGACTGCTGTGCATCCACTTGGTTCTTCACCGCAACAATCTGGGAGCTCATCTGTCCATTGTGCTGTTGTTGTTGGGATTGGAAGGCATTCAGGTTGGATGTCAGTTGGTTCACATTATGCTGCAGTGTTTGGACTTTCGTTTCCAACTCATCAACCCTCTGATCATTCACCCCTTCCATATCCACATCCGCGGTTTTGTGGGGCTTCATGTTTGCGGTGACATGTTTGGCAACGGATGCTTCGATGGCGGCAGATTGGGCAGGTGTCAAGGCATGAGGAAAACCACTTCCTTGACTCCACGGGTCGGCTTGCAGCCATGGATCTGTGGCAGGTTTGCTCTTGTCTGTTTCTGGTACCTGTGTCATTGATTGGATGGTCCGTCTGGACGCTACCAAACCTTGGCTGGGAACTTTGTTGGCCTGAGTTTTGTGCGGTTTGATCGGTGAGATCAAAATATCTCCTTGTTCCAGGGAGTATACCCAGTGGGAAGGGTTTTCACTGGATTGGGTTGACCAGAAGACACCTTCCTGCCCAATACTTTGTCCCAGAGGTTGGCCGGGGCGTGCTGTCCACCCCCACTCCTTGTAGAGCTTCTGTAGAGAGCTCTTGGTGGTACCAAAAGGCAGTGGTCCAACACGGTATGTGGTCATCTGTTCTCCTGCCATGTAATCCACGTCTGGGCGGTGTTGTTCATGGATATCCTTTGCAAATTCACAATGGGTTCTCAGTCCAAAACGATCCCCGCTGCGAACTAACCAAGTTGGGTGCAAACTGGTTTGTTTGGCAAGCATGACATCCTGGAAATTTTTGCGTGGCATCCAGATTACTTTGTAGGATGTGTCTGGGGACCTACCCGTATGATCACGCGGTTCAAAGTACTTCCCTGCTTGACCGCTGGCGTCTAGGATGACTTCATGGGCAGGACACTTGACACGGAAAGTGACAATGAAGATCTCTGCTTCCTCTGGTTTGCATCGTTTGTACTGTTTTGTCACATACTGGCGGTCCCAAACGTCAACGATGGAATCGGGATTTGCGGTGAACTCACTTTCAGCAAACAAAGTTCGCACCGGCTTGTCCGTGATATCGGTCCATTTGAGTTTGGTCTGATCCTGAAACACCAGTGCACGGATGACACGTGTTTCCACTTCCTCAATCTTGGTTGCGGATTGTGGTGTTGCTCTGTGAACTCGTTTCTGGCCTAGCTGGAAAAGAGCTCCCATGACCAACATTGGTTCACCCGTAGGTTTGCAGGTGGCTGGGAAACGTACCAAATCATGCGATGGCAGGCGAGGATCATCATGGTCAAGCACAATCAAACCTAGGCCTTCCTGTGTGAGTGGCACTTTCAACTGCAGGAAGGGTGTAGCATCATCAAAGGATACACACGCGATCCCTTTGCATTGGGCTTTGAATTGGCTAGGGGAAATCTGTTGCAAAAGGACTCCATCGGCTTGCTGGAAGATCGTGTTGGGGATCTGGACCTGATCGGCAATGAGGCGCTGGGGTTCCTGCGGCTTGGATTGTTTTGCTTTGTGTTGCTTTCTGCCAACGGCTTGTCCCGATGCGATTTTGCTGTCGATACTGGCTTGAAGTTCTTCACTCAAGACAATTCGAAAAGGAGGCTTCAACTGTGATGCTCTTGCTTTCAAGTCCTGCCATGGCTTTGGTGATTGTAATGTGCGTTGGATCACATCGGCTCCCAGCTTTTGCGTCAAAGCTTGTGCAGCTTGTGATGACCTGTTGCTATTCACTCCGTGCTTTTCGAGGAGTTCTCGTAGTGCTGGCAAGTGCTGGTCAGATGTTCCTCCAAGCGGCAAAGCATATACTGGTGGATCATGTGCTCCTGACAAGACCAGATGGTGAGCAAAATTCTTTCTCCATGACTCAGCTTCATCGGGAGAGATTGCACGGTTGCTGTCCGGATCCAATGCTTGGTTGATGATCCATGCAATGGTCTGAAATCCACAATCATTGGCAAACGCATGGGGCATGTGTGTTCCACTTGCCTGCTGATATTCTTCCAGCATCTCAGCCTTGATCCATGCTGTTACTGCCGGCGTCATATCATATGTTGTTGTGATGGTGAAATTGTCATTGACTACTTCAACCATGATTGGAAACCAGTGATCTTTGAACAAACCCGCAGTCATGAGTTTCATTTGTTTGGACTCCTGCGCGCTCTCAACGGCCGTGAGGATCCAATCTGCCAAGATTCTTGGGTTTTCTGTTTCTTGCCTCAAGTCCAAAGGGCTGGTGGTGACTGCTGTCCCTGAAACATGTATTGTCTGAAGGTAAAAGATCATTTCATCCATCGCAACCCATCCTTTCTGATGCCAAAGGGCTTGGGAACGTTTCATTCCATCCAGGCATGGTTGGCCCTTTGGGTCTCCAATGTTATGTCCATGCTGAACAATTAGGAGTTGATGGTCTGGCATGATCTCGGACACTGACAATTGGAACCCCACCCCATTAACTGGTTTGAAAGGGTGATCGCCATGATTCCAGAGGTGCTGGAATTTTGCTTCTGCGCAAACTACTTGACCAATGGTGGACTCAGTTGAAACGGCAATGGGAAACATGGTTTCGTTCTCATGAGCAATCCAGCAAGTCTTGGTGTTGGCAATTTGTGACTCAGGAGGCTCGACCTGTTGCATGGATATTTGTTGATGCTCATTTTGGTGGTGTTCTCCGTCTTGGTGCACTCGGTCTGGTGCATTTGGATTGTCAAGCTTGGCTCTTTTTGTGCTGTTGCTTGCACTCTCTTCTACCGGTCGCTTGAGTGATGGCGGTGAATCAGGTGCTTTGCTGGTTTCAAAGCCTGTAACCCCTCCATTGGTGGAAAAGGCTGTAATTTGCATTGCTTGCGAGGCTTCTTTCACCGGGTTGATGCTTGTCGGCAAGGATTGGTCATGAGGGGCAATGCTCGCTAGTATGTATCCACCTTTGCCTTTGGCAATCCTGTCATTCATCTTGGCTTTTGTTGTGGAAACTGATGGACCAGAAAGAGGCTGCCTTTCATCCATGTCACTTCTGACATTGCCATGTTGGGCTTCACGTGAATCAACACCTAGGTCAGCAAAGGCATCTGATGCATGCTTGGTTTCTCGGCGAACGGATGCATTTTGCAGGCCGGATGCAACGGATGTCATCTGTTGATCTGTACACCGATCGGATGCAACCCTGGATGCTTCTGTACCTCGGATTTTGTCGGGATTCGGATGTCCTGTGCCTTCGGAGATGATGTGATCTGTACACCGATCGGATGCGACCCTGGATGCTTCTGTACATCGGATGCTGTCGGGATTCGGATGTCCGGCGTCTTTGGAGATGATGTGATCTGTACACCGATCGGATGCAACCCTGGATGCTTCTGTACATCGGATGCGGTCGGGATTCGGATGTCCGGTGTCTTTGGAGATGATGTGGTCTGTACACCGATCGGATGTAACCCTGGATGCTTCTTCATATCGGATGCGGTCGGGATTCGGATGTCCGGTGTCTTTGGAGATGATGTGATCTGTACACCGATCGGATGCAACCCTGGATGCTTCTGTACATCGGATTTTGTCGGGATTCGGATGTCTTGTGCCTTCGGAGATGATCTGATCTGTACACCGCTCGGATGCAACCCTGGATGATTCTGGACATCGGATGCAGTCGAGATTTGGATGTCCTGTGCCTTCGGAGATGATGTGATCTGTACACCGCTCGGATGCGACACTGAATGCTTCTGTACATCGGATGCTGTCAGGATTCAGATGTCCTGTGTCTTTGGAGATGATGTGGTCTGTACACCGATCGGATGTAACCCTGGATGCTTCTGTACATCGGATGCGGTCGGGATTCGGATGTCCGGCGTCTTTGGAGATGATGTGATCTGTACACCGATCGGATGCAACCCTGGATGCTTCTGTACATCGGATGCGGTCGGGATTCGGATGTCCTGTGCATTTGGAGATGATGGCATGGTCGGATGCATCGGGTATGGGCGCCACTACGGTCGGAGAGATTCGATCTGTGTTTGTCGTCCCTTCGGCTGCAAGTCTGTCTTCTGGGATTCCAGCATTCCTAGGGTATTCGGATGCATCCCTTGGGAACTTTGTACACGGCCCGCTGTCTGGTGCAGATGCTCCATGAATGGATGTCTCGTAGGTTCCAATCAGGTTGTTGGGTTTTGGATCCTGTTCGGTGTTTGCTGTACAACCGGCGCGGGGAATCTTTGTACACGCTCGGGCGCCCAACTTTGCTTCACCTGCACCTTTCGGCCTGAATTCCATGTTATCCAACTCCTCAACACTTGGAAAGCAAAAAGGATGATCAATGCTGTTAATTTCATGTTGGAAAATCCGGTTGTATTTCGTGTCAGCATGTGGCCAAATTTCATCCCTTTCCTTCAGCAGAATTCGACAAAACTGTGCTAGGGAATGCCTGGGATGTTCCACCTGTTGAACCAGTCCTTTGTCCTGCAATTGGTACAAAACGTTGGCAAACACCCACAAAGATTGGAGTGGCGATGCGCATTGACCCACTCCTGCCAGGTCAAGTCGAATGTTGCTGGTGTCGGATGCTTGCAAGTATGACGGAGGGAGTCCGCACATCAGTGATACCTCAGTCGGGTGTAAATGGCGCGCACGGAGAGACATGTGAGGCTGCTTTGCATCCTCAAACGGCACAAGCACTCCGTAAATCCCCTTGCCTGTTGGCATCCCCTTACATGTGTTAATGCAATGTGATCGGATACCCCTTCCATCCGTTTGGAAAGCACTGAGTTCATCATCATCAAGTACAAGTTGTTTCATGTCGCATGTGTTACTGTCCATCATGTTGGGGATGAGATGAAGAATGAAAGGATCAAACCGCAGAGATGGCATGGGAGGAATGTCTTCAAGCGGGACATACTCTGCTGCAATGGTACACCACCATCTGTCCCTGCGTCCTGGCCACATGTGATGCATCTGCAGTACCTCTTGTTTGAAAGTACTTCCTGTGAGCTTACTGTGCAATTCTAAATGGCTTTGAATCCATTGGGATCGCTTGGCTTGAGGGGTACATTCCAAAATGGTCATGACTGATTGTAAAAGATAGCTCAACTGAAGGGTTCCAGTGAAAGACCTGCTATGATCATCCAGTGAAAACGGTTGACATGAGATACCTGCGCTCACCATCTTTCCAGACCCGGTCTGCTTTGCGACTTCGGCCGCCGTAGCTGACGCTGAGATGTCTCCTTGAATCACTTGGACTGAGTACCTGTCTTTCACCCATTTGCAAAAGGTCGGATTCTGCTCCACGAAAAGGCATGTGTCAACTCCCAAAAATCTGAAACCAACGTCAACTGCCCCGATTCCTGCACATCCCTCGATCAACTGCTGAAGCTTCTCAATGTTTGTCGACTGATGCTCTAGCAAAAAAGAATCACTTCTGAAATCCAACCAAGGCCTACGACCATTCAGGAAAGATACCTTGAATAATGTCATCTTCATCGTGTTTCTATTGATCGGAGCATTGGTGAGGAAAACTTGGTGGTTGACCATAGATCTGCAAACATGGGCCCCAGGGCAGAAAATCAAAACCTGTGCCACCACATCTGTCTGCTGGCCATCCGAAAGGTCAGAAAACGAAGGTTCCAGGAAATTGGATGAAACGCCCATGGCTTAATCTACCCGCCCGAAGTTTGGCCAGGACCGCTCTACCCCCCTGGTAGGATTCGGGCCCAGAGCCTTGAGCCATTTTGACCATGACCCACAGTAAAAAAGATCTGTAAACAGACGTAGCTAGTAGACTCGGACATCACTTTGCACAGGTGCGGAAGCGCCCGAAACAGACGTCATTGAGGAGGCCAAAATCGGACCACAATTTGCTGAGTCCCGGGGAAATCCACTACCGCTCTGGAATCGATTTAGGGAATGTGTTCAGCAAATCCCAGGGGAAATAGCTCACCTGTGTCAAAATAGTCCGTTTGGCGGCTATTTTGATGTGGGGCATTGGATCATTGAATTCACATGGATCCATTTAACATCATGAAGCTATCAAACACAGAAGGTACCACTGCTTTTAAGGGGTTACACGTGGTCTCCAAATGCACACATGCAACGTCACACAGATCGTAAATTCGCATCGTGTTTTTTCCGCACCCTCCGTTGTACTTGTGGAAAGAAATTGGTTTAGAAGACGGTTTCCCATCTAAATTCCACAAATCGGGATCTATACCCACCAGCTCAGCTAAAGTTGCAAGATATCTAAGATTGGCCGTATCATGGACATGAAGCCATTAAGCAAATTACATGTTACTAATCTCATACATGAGCACAGGAACCCCCATGGACTTTAAGGGTCAAAATCAGAACTTCTTGTAGTTTTTATTCATGTCTTGAAAATCTATCAATTCGACATGTCAATATCATCCATGATGCCGCTAGCTTATGGCGGCCATAGCTTAGTATGACTCTGATTCGATCCTGAAGTGACGTGTTCCCTCATGTTCCCTTTAGATGTCCCTTGGAAAATCAACCCGATTACCCTCTGGTAATTTAACATAACTATGGAAAATCACCATTTTTCATGGGAACTTTCACTCTAAATGGCCATTTTCAATAGCTATGTTTGACATACCCAGAGGGTACCATCCATTCACCGTGAAAGCGATCGTCACAGGAGGAGCCCAAGAAAGATGAGCACCCGAAGCGGCGTGCGCAACGACGGCGTGTGGCCTGGCGACCAACAACCATCAACTACCATGACTGGGGATAGCCTCTGGTTATGTCAAACATAGCTATTGAAAATGGCCATTAATAGTGGATTTTCCCATGAAAAATGGTGATTTTCCATAGCTATGTTAGTTTACCAGAGGATAGCTGAAATATGGTCCCAGCCATCAAAATGGATGTGATGGAATGGGCGTGGTGCAAATGGCACTGGCTTTAAAACACAGTTACTGGCTTTGCCACTTTTTTACAGAGTTTTGGGAGAGATTTTCTCTCCCACATCTTTGAAGCATGAAAAATCGTGGGGATATTTTTTTAAAATAAATATACGTAGTTTTTAATGTATACAATGCATGTACACCTGACAATGATCTGATATGGATGATATAGGTTTTCAATGGTTTTCACCATCAGGACTATGGGATCTAGCGATGCCGAGGGGAAACAATCAGTTGCCAGACTAAATTGTACCGGATATGAGTTAACTACCACAGATTTGGGGTGAATTGGGTTGAATTTGCCATCCGCAAGTGATCAAACCGGTTTATTTAGGTTTCATGTTTCACTTCATGTGGGTTTGTCCGAAAATGGAGCAACCCAAAGTCTCATGGTTTCTCTCTCTGGGTCTTTTGGAACCCCGACTTTCAGACACACCTAAATATCATATCTTTGGTTAGCTGTATCCCATGTTACACCGCATATCATATCGCATCTCCATATATTCCAGGTACAGTTGGCTATATCTCCCATTGTGCACCTGCTAAATTCAACCTTAAAAAAACCAATTTCGAACCTGTGGTTTTCAACGATAATGTTCCGCACTTTATCGCCATGCACAGGGGTGGTTCCACGTTAAATTTAGGGATTAGCGAGGTGTATCTAACTTTATCCTATTCATCCCCTCCCCCTATTGGTGGCCCATATGGAGGGTAATGATTGAAGATCATATTAGCAGTATCAATCACCCCTCCAGGATGATTAAACCAAGTTGTAAAACAAAGAACCATGGTTACTCGCCGGCATTTGTTTAAACATAGCTATGGAACACCACGACGTTTTTAATTGGTAAACCATCTATACATGGTCCATTTTCCATAGTTGTGTGAGATTACCAGGTAATCTTCCATATGTTCCCACATTTTCCCGCATTTTCCTCACATTTTCCTCACATTTTCCCACATTTTCCAACATTTTCTCCACCATCCCCGTCCTGTCCCCGGCCAAGGAGACCATGCGCAAACGTCGCCAAGCGATGGAGAAGAAGATGTCCTCGGTCCCCGAATCCTCGCAGTCCTTGTCGGTGCCGACGACCGATGACGACCGACGACCGCTGGTGGTGCAAATATAAGGGGAACCTTAATGGTGGTTAATGGTGATTAATGGTGATTAATGGTGGTTTTTTAATGGCTAATAGTGAATTAATGGACATATACCCTCGGGTTCTTTGACATATAGCCATGGTATAGATGGCCCATAGAAATAGATGGTTTACTGTTCTTAAAAATGGTGGATCTTTCCATGGCTATGTTAGTCATAACCAGATGGTAGCCTCTGGTTCTTTGACATAGTCAATGCATTGTGTCACACATTGGTTTAAGGGAAGTTTTACAGGAAAGCTCCATATTTAAAGGGAAAATCGATGGTTTCCAATAGTCCCTTGAACCAATCCATTGACGTAGCTGTGGAAAACCGATCATTTCTGGATGACTTACCTATATATTTACTTTTACCTATGTTTACCTACCGCATTAAAAATTGTGATTTTCCATAGCTATATGTAAATAGCCACATAATGGGAATATGATGGTATACTCTGGTATACTGGTATATTCTATTTCTGGATAAACCTAATCTAGTAAAGCAATAGTGAACCATTCCCAAATTCACCAATGCTTTTTATGGGTGGTATCAACCATCAAGATATGGGTGTTCATGCTTCACGAACATTACTTATATTATACGAATTTCAATTATCACATATATATATATATACCTACAGACTCCTCTAGGCAGAAAAAAGTGCCCAACCTGCCTGTAGGCGTTTATTTCTGCCGATGAAACCAGAATAAATGCCTAGGCCCAAAAAAAATGCCGAGGCTGATAGATTTTTGTATGGTCTTGTCATGTTGTTCAGTGCTGAAAAATGTTTCGAACAAAATTCTTCCAAATTCCGTTTCTCTGCCACCTAGATTCCGGTTTTTTCCGCCTAACTTCCGGCTAAAAATGCGTTGGCACTAAATGATGTCGGAGCAAAAAAACATCTTGAGATAAAAATGCCTACATCAATATAAACCTGCCGAGTTTTGCAAATTTCCGGGTGAAAGTGCCTATGCGGCTGCCTAGGCGCCGAGGGCAGAAAAAAGTGCCCAAGGGTTCTTCTAGTATAGATCACATCATAGTTTAGTGCTACTTATGTGGGAAACTCCATACCATGAACCTACCATTTGGGGATTGGGTATACCACCCACAAAAATAGTGATTTTGGGGATGGTATGTTTAGTGTCAACAGCGCTGCTAACGACCCCTCCCGATTTGCCAATTTTCCTTGCTGCCTCAAGTGCATGCCTCAGCTTCTCGGGTCTTGTCATGCATTCAGTGTGTCGGGTGGGTGGGTGGGGGGGTAGGGGTTGGTGCGGGGGGGTGTGGTGTGGGATAAAAGTGTCATTGGCACGTCCACACATATGTGATGCTAGCTACTGTGCGTTCTCCTGCACTTGCACACATACGTCATGCTACGCTACTGTATGTTCTTGTGCACTTCCACACGTACGTCATGCTACGCTACTATACGTTCTCCTGCATGTCCACACATGTGATGCTAGGCTACTTTACGTTCTTGCGCATTTCCACACATACGTCATGCTACGCTACTGCGCCGCCGGTTGTTTTTGGATATGATGAAAAGCTTCATGTTTCGTTACTACGCTGGATGTAAGATGTGGAACCTTTTGGGAAAGCTGGCCAAACATTGCTACCAAAAAAAGCATCCCCTGGAAATTCTTTTCAATATGGTCAAAATATCGTGCAAAAACAATAATGTTGGCTGCCTAATAGTAATTACCACCCCCTATTTTTTTTTGATGGCGGCACCCCGTGGGGGAGTGAATTTTCATTAAAAATGATGATAAAACACTGTAAATACCGATGTTTTATGCATTTGGAGGGTCTAAAACCCTAGTAAAACACACTTTTTTCATCATGATCTTGACATGAGATATACAAAAACATTGACAGGCACCAAAAAGACCAAAAAAACCAAACCACTAGATGCACCAAACATCGACAGGCACCAAAAAAAACAAAAAAAACAAAAAATCCAGCAACTACTCAGAAGTGGACCCATAGTTCCCGGAAATTTTATTATTTTTTGTTTTTTTTGGTGCCTGTGCAGGTTTGGTGCATCTAGTGGTTTGTTTTTTTTGGTTTTTTTGGTGCCTGTGCAGGTTTGGTGACTCTGACTTCACAAAACATTGATAGGCACCAAGAAAAACAAAAAAACAAACCACTAGATGCACCAAACATCGACAGGCACCAAAAAAAACAAAAAAAACAAAAATTCCAGCAACTACTCAGAAGTGGACCCATAGTTCCCGGAAATTTTAGTTTTTTTGTTTTTTTTGGTGCCTGTGCAGGTTTGGTGCATCTAGTGGTTTGTTTTTTTTGTTTTTTTTTGGTGCCTGTGCAGGTTTGGTGACCCTGACTTCACAAAACATTGACAGGCACCAAAAAAAAACAAAAATTCCAGCAACTACTCAGAAGTGGACCCATAGTTCCTGGAAATTTTAGGTTTTTTTTTGGTGCCTTTGCAGGTTTGATGCATCTAGTGGTTTGTTTTTTTGGTGCTTGTGCAGGTTTGGTGCATCTATTGGTTTGTTTGTTTTTTTGATGCCTGTGCAGGTTTTGGTGATTCTAGATTGTGTATGTTTGGATCTTGGCCATATTTTAAACTTATGTTCCAAAGAAGCAAACATACCGTTATCTTTGAATAGCTATGCCACCACACAGGTTGCCTGACCTTAATATTCAACAGCTTGACACACGTCTTTGTCTCTTAGGCTTTCTCTCTCTCTCTCTCTCTGTCTAACTATTGAAATGAGACTGCTGACAAGACTCTGCAAGATAACAATGATAAACGAGATATGTACCTACTTCTTGAGTTGTAACATTCCCACCATCCTTCTTATCCAGAGTGTTAGATGTGCTTGTGTTATATCCACCTATATAATGTATGCCCTTCCCACCATACTTCTTATGTAGTGCAAATGCTTCTATATACAATATATGTTAAGATGATATCAATCTAACAAGTTCATGATGAAACACCTATATCATATCAATTGCTTTTAACAATAGAATTTCTCCATCACCTCCATCATACTAGTCACCTATTGCTACTGTATATTCTGTTCCAAGATGCGCAGCTACCCATTCTTATGGCATCTTGCGCAGCAGATGTTTTCTGTTATGTGCTGATTGTTTGTACTTCTTTGCAAGCCTCACGGGAAAAATTGAATCCTGCCACAAGAGTCTGTAAATGCCAGTGATTTATGACAGCATATGAGAGCCTTTGGAGGTGAACTCTATTTTTTGCTCTAAAATAACGGTTTTAAGCCCACTTTGGTCACAAAACACTGTAAATACCAGTATTTTTGACCATTTTTAGAGCAAAAATCACTCCCCCATGAGGGGCCGTTCTGGATAGCTGGGATCGATGATAGATTCTCCATGGTTTTGTTGGGTTTCTGATAGATTCTGAATGGATTTGGTTGGGTTTCTGAGAGATTGGCGAGGAGTTGGCAAGGCGGAAGTGGACATGGAAGTGGGGGCAGAGGTGGTGGAGGCGAAGGAGGAGGACGAGGAGGAGGAGAAGAAGGAGAAGGAGGACAACTAAATTGGAGTTGCGGAAAAAAGTTTCCACTATTGCCATGCCTGGTGCAGGTTTGTTATTGCTATTCTGGGGCTTGCAAAGGGGGTACCCTTTGTGGACCTGTTTTCTTGCTTTTTTTAATAAGGGTTTTATAAGGAAATCAGCTGTTTGGTAATTGGATCAGATTTCTGGAATCTAAGCTTTTGCTAATCAAAAGTGAAGGCTGCTTTGAAAAGGATTTGCTTTCCTTGACTCTTTTGGCAATACTAAAAGTAAATGGAGCTAATTGACTTGTAGTATTGGAGAAAAAATTGGAGTTGGGAAAAAAAAACCACTATTGGCATGTTGGGTCCACTATTGGCCATGCCCTCTGGACAAGATCTGAACATGACTCTTTTGGCAATACTAAAAGTAAATAGAGCTAATTGACTTTTAGTATTGGAGAAAAATTGGAGTTGCGGAAAAATGTTTCTACTATTGACAAGATATCACTATTGGTCAGACAAAATTATGAAAAAGGAAAATGGTTCCCCCGCCTCAAGTTGGCAGTGACAGTTGCAAAACACTGTAAATACCACGCTATGGCGTCAGAGCCTGGAAAAAAAAGGTGTGTTTTCTGAGGGTCGCACCTGGCGCCGTAGCCTTGTTTATTTTGGAGTTTATCACATTAATATATATATATATATGGTGGGTTGTTTTTTTTTTTTAACGGCTGTTTTAAACCTGTTGGGAAGATGAACAGTTTTATTCGGTAAAAGGCTAAGGGTGGTAAAACCTATGAAAAGTGGACCTACCAGAAAACATGGTGGATCAATGCGATATATTGGAGTCTAATTCTGAGATTAATGTGGTAAACCGCTATGAGACTGTTGGGCGGCATACCCCTGTGGGTGATGTAAAGTGGTTCATAGGGTTTGGTTTCTTGTTGGGGATGATTTTTACCACCCATGAACTGGGTTTGTTTAAAAGGAATGCACGCATTTATTGCAAGGAAGGATGCTACATGGCTCACGTGTCATAATAGTTCAAAACGCGCTTGGTCGATGGTTCATCCCTAGGTCAATCAAATTCACTGGGATCCGTTTCTGCAGTGGATCTGCAGGCCCAAAACAGACCAGTCCTTTGAGCCACCGTATCGGGATGAGTGTTCGCAAACGGCCGTATTTCAAGATAATTTAAATCACTATTTGAACAAAAGAATGAGGAACCGCAACGGTCAAGGACAAGAAGAAATTAGTGTCAAACAATTTTTCAAGACCGCCTTCCTGTTTCTGGGGTGTCAAAAATAGTGCGCAAATTGTTTCAGCGCGCAAGAGTGCCATTATGGCGTTTTATTCATTTGACTTGGCCGATTAGTCCATTCATGAATGCTCATTACACGATCACTACGTAGTCAAAATGTTAGGCCGAACGCAGAACGCAGGTTGTGACCAGCCATCCAATCTTCAGGTGTCAGATTTGGCCTTGATTCCAGCAATGCCTTCTGCAGGCTATCATCATAGCGTGCTTCTGAAGAGTGATGGCAGTGCTATCGCCGCGGGAAACAACCACTATGCACAATGCAACATCCCGCCCTTGGATGAGGGAATGGCATATACTCAGATTTCTGCAGGCGGTGCTCATACGGTGCTTCTCCGAAGTGATGGCCGTGTTGTTGCGATCGGATACAATGAAGATGGTCAATGCGACATCCCACCTTTGGATGAGGGAGTTGTGTATTCCCAGACTTCTGCTGTCGAGTCTCATACAGTGCTTCTCCGGAGTGATGGCAATGCTGTTGCCATCGGATGGAATCTGTTTGGACAATGCGACATTCCACCTTTGGATGAGGGAATGGCATATGCTCAGATTTCTGCAGGCGGTGCTCATACGGTGCTTCTCCGAAGTGATGGCCGTGTTGTTGCGATCGGATGCAATGAAGATGGTCAATGCGACATCCCACCTTTGGATGAGGGAGTTGTGTATTCCCAGACTTCTGCTGGCCAGTCTCATACAGTGCTTCTCCGGAGTGATGGCAATGCTGTTGCCATCGGACGGAATCTGTTTGCACAATGCAACATCCCGCCCTTGGATGAGGGAATGGCATATACTCAGATTTCTGCAGGCGGTGCTCATACGGTGCTTCTCCGAAGTGATGGCCGTGCAATGAAGATGGTCAATGCGACATCCCACCTTTGGATGAGGGAGTTGTGTATTCCCAGACTTCTGCTGGCCAGGTTCATACAGTGCTTCTCCGGAGTGATGGCAATGCTGTTGCCATCGGATGGAATCTGTTTGGACAATGCAACATTCCGTTGGCAAAGCCAGGAATTTGGTACCTTGGCAATTTGAAACATGGCATAGACCTAGTTTTACAACTAGAATTTGCACACAAGGAGGATGTAATCACTCTGATATGCTCCACTTTGGTCGGGGAAGAATGCTTTCGTTTGACTGCACGGGGCATTGATGTGGCCTGGGAGACACAGAAACGGATTGCTCGTGAATTGAAGGCGAGCCTCCAAAATCTCCAGCTCGTTCTGCCAGATGGACAGTTGTTGGCCAAAGTCTGCCGTGCAAATCCAGGAGTTTCACTTCTTGAGGTAGCTCAAGGCGCACAGTGCCACCAGATGAAACAGTCGGCCACCACTGCTTGGTTTCCAGGTTTGTGTGTGTGTGTAACATGTCCAAGCCATATCTTGATTTGGGTCCTGAGGTGAGGCCTGACACATGCCCATGCGATATATGATATGTTCATTGTTGAACTGTTTTGATGCTTGTGCAATGGAAAAGGCACAAGCAGACGCAAAGGGATTTGTAAGTACCACAGAATCAGGCCAGTGGAATATCAACGACAAGCACAGCCACCATGTTTGTTGCATGGAACATCGGGGTTTGTCAGCATATGTCAAAAAATATAGCTCCAAAGGGGATGATTCAGGACAGAAACTGACCAGTCTGAAGTTTGGACCCACACCCAGTTGACGGCGGAACCTTCAGATGCTCCATCTATCGGATGTTTGCTCACATTTGACGATGATTTACCTATTCAAATTGGTGATGTTCCATAGCAAACTGTTAGATTGCCATAGGGTCAGCCTATTTCCCATGACATGTTTATAACTTGCTGGTTATTTCAACCCTATTGTTGGTGATCATCGTTGCTTATGGTAATCACATATTCGATATTCCACAATATTCCACATCTTCCCCGATGTTTCCCATTGTTTCCCTGATGCAGGGGGCATCGCGTCCGCAAATCTCCTTTGAAGACAAGGAGCGCCCAAACTGTGGGGACACGTGTTGTTGCACTAAAAAATGCCAAAGCAGAACAGTGACTTGGATTCCTTGGATCAACTTGGTGAATTCTATGGTTGAGATCCAGCTCTATTGAATGTGGTTATAGACCAACTTAGAACTGTGGGGCCTCACCAAGTATGTAGCCTTTTGTAGCCTACTGAAAGGAATCGTGGTAATTTAATGTCAACAGTTTTATATCTTCCTGGTTGTTGATGTAGAATGCATATAGCAAATGGTGTAGTAAGTGGCATCTAATCGCTAATAGCAATAGTCACCATGCTTTTTCATTAGCTAAGTGAAGACGAAGGCGGTCCACTCACAGCTTTTCAAAGGGCGCCCCCACCGATCCTGATGGGCCGAGGAAACCCGTATTGTTGAGGGCTTCTCGTGTGTGGAGCACGTTATAACTTCCACCATGGTCAACCATCAATTACGGGTTGGTGGTTTGGAACATGTTTTATTTTTCCATAATATATGGGATAATCGTTCCCATTGACTTTTTAATATGTTTCAAGATGGTTAAAATCACCAACCATCACCACCAGGATTTATTGGTGCCCTTTTTTCAGACAAAAGCACGTTTTGTTTGGTACAACCGAACCGCCCATGGTGGCTGCTTGCAGGCAAAACATGTCCCACTGCTTGCTGGGGTGTGACATTCGTACTGTCGTTGGCAACTGCGATGCGATTCGCACATATCGCACGTGGCAGGGCATTCATCGTCCTAGCATGTTCTTGCTAAAACCTCTATTGTAGAGTAGGTCCGTTAGTCAAAAATCACACGATCAGCCTATATCCTATGATTCCAGATTGAGATCATTAAGGATTCAAGCATATAATTAGCATACATCACAAGTTCATAGAATTTGTGCCATCTTGATCCCAATAAAAACTTTATGGTCTTTATACATATTTCATAGGTATTTCATAGAATTTCAACACACTAAGTCTGGTCTCTACGTTTTTCTTTCTCCCACTTTGTCCCATCAACGCAGGAGGCCCATGAGGCGCAACTGGCCGATCTCAAGAAACGTTTCAAAAAGATCTCGGACGATGTGGCTCCTTGGTGAAATGGGTGAAACAGGAAGATGTTGAAGACATGGTGAAATCATGTGTATTTATATACATTTAAACAATATGATAATGATATAATTCTATATAGTTATATCTAACTTAACTGTTTATATAACTATATATAACTATATTTAACTAAATATAACTATATATGTATAACCATATATAACTATACATAACTACATATAACTATACATAACTATATATAACTATGAGTTCACTATGAGTTAACCATGAGTTAACCATGACTTAACTGGGGCTAACGATATTTCATGGTCCTAATGGTTGGCTGATGTTGGTTTGTTAGCAGTGGATTTGTCTGGGGACGATGGATTTGAATCAATTATATAGGCATGCACTGTTGTCAAAGAATTGAATGGGGATAGTTAATTGGAGTTGTTGCTCTATTGATTACTGTAAGTAGATATACTTTATATATATATATATATGTGGTTGTTGATTGAATGTGGTAGCTTTGTCACAGTTTTCAATGGGATATATATATATATATATATACAATATTTATCTATTTATTATGCGGAATATCTAAGCAACTTTTTGTGATAATTGTGATATAATGACGAGCAGTTTTTTAAATGTTTATTATAGCTATTGAATGCGGACTTGTTTCCATTTTTTGTACTGTGGCGTTTTGATCATCAAATGTTTAGTTAGGCCAACTCCTTGATGTTCAATGTTCCCTGCAAACTACGCTACTTACAGTTGAGAGTAATTACCGTTGGGTGCTACAAACGGCTGAGTGTGAAACGTACACTGAAACGTACACTCCATGAACTCAAAAAGATTCAACAAAAACATCTGACCAGTAGAATCTACTGCCACAATGGTTTTGACATCCCGAGGTCGGTTTCCTATGATTGACCATCAAATCATGGGAATTATCATGAGAAAAATAATGCGCTGATATGATTTGAACCGACCAGGGGTAATACTGGCTGGCTGCGCATATATATGTATATATATATATATATAGATGTGTGTGTTTATTTGTTTATGTCTTTATTTTTTTACGCGAACAAACAAATCGGATATATGATCAATTTTGATCAAGCATTGAGCATATTGCTACCAAACTCAGTGGAACATCATCATTATATATGTTATTTGCTTCAGCCATGCATTTTCTTGACTTGGTAATGCAATAGTGGACTATCCCCAATGTCTTACCAGAAATAGATGCTACGAACTATGAGATTTCCCCAATTGTTTTCTGCTTTGATCACCTTGATGTTGTTTTTGTTCACCCCTAAAATATGTTTTAATTTCTTTTCAATGTAGCATCACGCGGCCCAAGTTGATTCAACTAGATCAACCCCAAGAATTCCAAGAGCAAAGTCAGTCCAGAGCTGATATTGGTGAAGTCATTCAATGACTTGTGGTACCAATGGATCCGGAAATAGACCCATTGATGATCCATGGTTTGTTTGCATTGCTTCAGCCGGCCAATGACAGATGGATAAAACACACCAAGTGAATGCTCCATCAGCAACAAACTATCCCATGAATCAACCATTTGGGATCTTAAACAAAGGCATACAATGAACCAGTAATATGTAAACGTGGCATGGCACACTATGAAGCAAATGTTTTTTGCGCCGGCATCTGAATGGAACGAATTCAGTCCGAGGGATGCGCCGAAAAGAGTTGGTTTTCTTACGGCACAACCAGGGCATTGGCTCTTCAGCCAAGCTCTTCTGGAGGCATAGTTTTCAGACCAGTTATTCCAGTTATCGGGCCATTTTCAATAGACATACCATGGCATAGCAGCCCCCGAAAAGATCGATTGTTGTTTTTGGGCGGGGTATTAAATCGTATATACTAGAATCATTATACATTTGTCATCATCATTTATCATCTACAATTAACTGGTGATATATCCTACAGTCCTATACATGTATAACTTTTTGGGCGTTTCTATACGATATTTTTTGTGTTTATATCTGCCATACACGAAGCACATCCCGGATCCTTGCCCTGTCGGCCGCTGAGGAATTGAACTTGGACGCAGGGGATCGTAGCAGTTTCTCGGCTATGAAAATGAGATCCTGTAAATGATCTAGGTCTAATGCGTCTAATGGTTGTAAGGGTGATTAATGTGATTAGGATACTTAGGATAGTCAGCAAATCAAAAGGTCTCCAGTAATTAGGGTGATGATAATCGTAAATCATCATGACTACAATGGGATATCATGGAAGATACCAATGGATAATCATGTTGCGACCTCACTTTCTGCGACGTCTCTGGAATGATGGTTAGGATTATGGCAAGTATGTCCGAACTTGCCAGGTTGGTGAGATATGATAATTATATTCATTATATTTTACCAACACAGCAACAATGAGCTACCATCATTTGAATTTGAGCCGATTTTGATGAGTTAGCCCACCATTCAAAAGGTTTCAGGGTAGGAATTTGCCATGATGTTCTCACAAAAAGAGGTCACAAAAACATTGATAACATTGACCCAGCCTCCCTTGTTCTACACCCTATATGTTTCCAGCTGGCCACCGTTGATGGTCCCACTTGGGCACATTTCCTTGAGGAACTTTTCTTGTCCATTTCATGATCTAGGTAGACAAGCAACGTACCACTGGTTGGTGGCTTGGAACAGTTTTTTATTTTTCCATATATTGGGAATAATAATCCCAACTGACTGATATTTTTCAGAGGGGGGTTGAAACCACCAACCAGATCATAATTCACTATTCTAGTAGGATTTTACATTGTCTATCTTTTGGGGGGGTTACCACAGGTGAAATTTTGAATATATCAAGAATTTGCATCGTGCATCCCCACTTATATACCCGCAATCAAACATGGCAAGGGAATGGGCATTTAAACGGGAACAGTTCGGAACATAGTTTATTCATGGTGGATTTTCCAGCAAATCATCTTTCATCCACAGGGTATCACATTGAATGTCCCATGAAGAATCCGGTTTTTCATGGTTATCAATGATTCACCATTATCTACCACATGGGGGGTTTCTTAAAATTTCAGATCCCCTAAGTCACCATGATTGTTTCAATACCAAGTCGTGGTCCATGACGACTGGATGATGACTGGGGTACCCCCATGACTAAGCCCGGAAACCTCCATGACTGGGTGAAGTGATGTATAAATATTGCTATCGATATGCCACACATGGAGCATTTGGGTACAATGTGGGGCCCCCAAACGATAGCTAAGTTGGTGCAAATACTGTAACTCCAACTTCACTGTGGTTTATGCTACTTATATCTACTTATAACGAACCAACGTTGCTGTTTTTTTTTTAAACCAACGTTCACATCGCTGGGCCCCACATTGTATAAACCATCCAACACCATCGCAGGACTGCAACATCTCTTCGCACTGCTGTCGCAGGGGCAACAGAAGATGGAGGAGGCGGTAGAGACCTGGCCGAAAAAACACCAGAGATTGGATTTTTTGTGGGAAAACATAGGAAAGTATTGGAACATAATGGAAAAGATGCGAACATATAGTCCAAATCATCTAGAATCATAGGGATTTTGTAGGGATTTAACTTTAACATGATTTAACCATCCAAAAAATGATATGTCATGGGAATGAATGAGATTTGATCATTTACAATAGGGACTTAACTTTCCAAAATGGTGCCCCAGGTCGTTGGCTACGTTGGCACAAATTACTAAAATACGTGTTGGGTTTATAGTTCATGAAGGCTATAAATTACAAGCGGGCGGTGCCGGCACCATCTTATATCTTGCAGTTTTGGTGGATGCTAAAAGAATGTGAACAGGTTTTGCCAAAAAGGAACCAGGCCCCAACAGTTGTTTGTTGAAAACATTTGAAACAATGTGGTAAGGTTTCCTAAACAAGGGGAGTGTGAAGTATGTACCCTCTGGTAAACATACAAGAAGCTATTGAACATGGCCATAGAAATAGTAGATTTTCCCATGAAAAATTGTGATTTTCCATGGTTATGTAAACGTTTACCGGAGGGTATCCCAAATTTTGGAGATCGTGAAATATCTGGTTTGTCTCTCATTTTTAGCGACCCACCAATCCATGGGAAAGCTTGAAACTTATCCATCTTTGGCGGGTCATTTTTCATATTTCTTGAGGCTTTCTGAAATTCCGCAAACATATAGTCAGTATAGCAATCATATAGCAATCATATAGTCAGTATAGTCAGTGAAACCATCTGGGTATTGCCACAAAAATGATGAGGGTGTCAGTATAGCGATTGACAATGGAGTGGGATTGCCTGCAATTACTTGCTTGGTGGCTTCACCAGCGTCACTAAGGACGGTTTGGCCAAAATTGAGGCGGACGCAACAAGATACGAGACTTCGGCTGGATGATGGGTGATGTGCTGTGGCGTGCCTGTCATGTTGAAAAACGGAAGAAGACTCGCCCTAGATCAGTAGGGTTTTAGAATGTTTTAGATAGGGATCGCTCCTTGTAGAGACCAGTACTATTTTCAATATGTTTTTGCGATTCTCAAAAAGTCATTAAAACAAGAAAAAGTGAAAACCAGGGGCCCAGGGGCCCAGGGGAAAATAACGTTTGAGAAGATTTGGGATAGGTCAATTAGAAGCCACTTGCCCTTTGCCACTCGACCGCGCTTGGCGCGCCACTTGGGGCATCGCCACTGACTTGAGGCATTGCCTGCCCTGTGCGGGACATGTGATGTGTGGAAAAGAAAACCATTTCTACATTGACCCAAACTCAAACATTTCTCAAAAGCGCTCAAAAAGTTATTACATTTCACAAAGCAACAAAACATCTTAACAGGTTTGTCAAAAAAAGGCCTCAAAGATTTGTGCGCTGACTTTTTTCCTCCTCAATGTATTCATAAATATATATATATATACAGTACACACACACTATGTAAAAATGTATATATATGTATAGCATATTTATATATATAGATAAATACCAACTATACATGTGCTGGCTTGTTCACACAATTCCCTTGCGCCCATCCTTTGGCCGTTCGAACGCGAACGACCAAAAAAACGCGGTGTGTTTTTTCCGCTCAGGAACTCACTGTCTCTGAGAAGCTACGAAGCAAGTTTTTGGGCCGAAACCTGGTGAATTCACTGTGTGTTGAAATATTCCATGACTTTCAGAGTACTTTCTAGTAACAAGTTTTGATCCTCGATGTTCAAAAAATGTACAGAAAACAACAATCCTTACCTATAGCACTAAAGAATATATATATATATATATAGAGATTCAATATGATTTCAAGACTCATGGTATTGACCTAACCACAAAACAGTTAATTTGTTTGTTGTCATGTTTGCCTTTCACACATGGAAAAAAACACCAAAACTATCCAAAACTACAGGTTGTTGCGCTGTTGTTTTAGGGATGTAGACAGATTGCAACAGTACCTATGCATACCAACCAGTTGGCGGAAGACCTGCCGGAAACTTCAATGTGTGGCTAGAAGCCATGGTTTCCTATCAATTTCCAATAAATCAATTCATATGGTGCTTCATCCCATTTCAGCCATGGAAACCCAATAACTTCCTATGGTCATATCGAGTCATCTCGAGTCATATCCCCATGAAATGCTTGGTTTCATCATGTTTTATCCGCCATAGACATCCCAGTCTCGTCCCCAAGAGGTATGAAAAATGGGCCATGGAGTCCTTAAAACGCGGTCGGGTACCCACCGAGATGGACCCTGGTCGGGGAGACCCAGTTGGTGGATTTCGGTGGTGAAGTTCGGTGATTCTTTCGACATGTTGCCATGGTAAATGCCCCCAAACAAATGTGATGTTCTGGTGATACATTAGCCATGAATATTGGAACATGCCAACTAAACATTGGCATTTTCCATGTTGATGTTGGACTGCCAAAGGGTTAAGCACGTCTATGTAAGATGATGTTCACTCTGAGGATTCTCAAATTTGACATGTCCATCATCTATTCCATGGTCAGGCTGCGTAGACCACTTATGGTGGTGGAATTGTGCGGGGAATTCAACGCCCTTGATGAATCGATACACGTCTTAGATGATTTCAGGCAATCTGAGTGATTTCTTTGGAGGTTTGGAACCTTTCTTCCACTGATGCTGGAAATAGATGTTTCGTCATGCCCCTGATAGTCCAATTCTAAGAAATCAATTCGTTTCCCTATCAATTTCAGGTGGGGAAGGCTGAATTCATCTTGGCTTTGGCATGGTCGTTGCATGTTGGGCAGGTCAAACCTGCAGACTGGCCAGCTGCTATCTGGAAATTCATGGACTTTGCATTTTAGATGGAGGTTTACAGGGTAACTGTCCCATTTTGGGAATAGTGGACATCACCTTATAGTAGCCATTATAGACCATATACCTAATGGTTGGGTGATGTTCAATGGGGACATTTAATGACCCATGATTTATGGCTGTGAAAATCATCAATGGTGAATCATCGTGAATCATACTGATATATCATTAATTACATGGTTCCTGTGTTCCCCTTCCAAGACTTCAAGACAAGGTGGCATTCAATGGGAGGAACTGTCTGCAGCAGGTAAAAACAGCCAAATGTCATGACACCGTGGGGGTTCAAACAGCTGCAGCATGCTGCAGCCCTCACCAGGGTACTGGGAGATACCATGAGATACCCCACCATACTTGCTCGCAACAAAACTATGAATGGGGCTCATCTTAGTGGAGATATATGGAGAACCCATGGGTTTTGATCAATGATGGTGCCCTGAAGTTCTGAAGTTCTGAATATCATCCACGCGTTAGGACCCTCAAGATAGACATTGCAGCCGCCGCGAACCCCATGCCCAAATGATTTTCTTGGTCGAGTGTTTTCGCAGTTATGAATTCTCAACTATACAATCCTATACATAATCATTACAAGACAACTTAATAGAATGGGCTAGCGCCCTGGTGCCGCCGACCCCCCTTTTTGGAGGGGCATGTTGCTGTAAGAGTTGTTGCCTTGGAGGCCTGCGGAAGCGTTTGGAGGGTTTCAGTCCGGTCAAACGACAGTCTTCAACTCCCTGAAAAACAGATGGCAGGGGCATGTAGCTGTAAGAGTTGTTGCCTTGAAGGCCTGCGGGAGGGTTGGAAGCGTTTGGGGGTTTGAGGCCGGGCAAACTGCAGTCTTGAACCCCCTGAAAAACAGATGGCAGGGACATGTAGCTGTAAGAGTTGTTGCCTTGGCGGCCTGCGGAAGCGTTTCGGGGGTTTGAGGGCGGGCAAACGGCAGTCTTGAACCTCCTGAAAAACAGATGGCAGTGGCATGTAGCTGTAAGAGTTGTTGCCTTGGAGGCCTGCGGAAGCGTTTGGAAGGTTTGAGGCCGGGCAAACGGCAGTCTTGAACCCCCTGAAAAACAGATGGCAGGGGCATGTAGCTGTAAGAGTTGTTGCCTTGGAGGCCTGCGGAAGCGTTTGGGGGGTTTGAGGGCGGGCAAACGGCAGTCTTGAACCCCTTGAAAAACAGATGGCAGGGACATGTAGCTGTAAGAGTTGTTGCCTTGGAGGCCTGCGGAAGCGTTTCGGGGGTTTGAGGGCGGGCAAACGGCAGTCTGGAATCCCCTGAAAAACAGATGGCAGGGGCATGTAGCTGTAAGAGTTGTTGCCTTGAAGCCGGGTTTGAGGGCGGGCAAACAGCAGTCTGGAATCCCCTGAAAAACAGATGGCAGGGGCATGTAGCTGTAAGAGTTGTTGCCTTGAAGCCCTGCGGAAGCGTTTGGGGGGTTTGAGGGCGGGCAACCGGCAGTCTTGAACCTCCTGAAAAACAGATGGCAGGGGCATGTTGAAAAAACAGATGGCAGGGGCATGTACCTGTAAGAGTTGTTGCCTTGGAGGCCTGCGGGAGGGTTGGCAGCGTTTGGCGGGTTGGAGGCCGGGCAAACGGCAGTGTTGAACCCCTGAAAAACAGATGGCAGGGACATGTAGCTGTAAGAGTTGTTGCCTTGGGAGGGTTGGAAGCGTTTCGGGGGTTTGAGGGCGGGCAAACGGCAGTCTGGAACCCCCTGAAAAACAGATGGCAGGGGCATGTAGCTGTAAGAGTTGTTGCCTTGAAGCCCTGCGGAAGCGTTTGGGGGGTTTGAGGGCGGGCAAACGGCAGTCTTGAACCCCCTGAAAAACAGATGGCAGGGGCATGTAGCTGTAAGAGTTGTTGCCTTGGAGGCCTGCGGAAGCGTTTGGGGGGTTTGAGGGCGGGCAAACGGCAGTCTTGAACCCCCTGAAAAACAGATGACAGGGGCATGTAGCTGTAAGAGTTGTTGCCTTGGAGGCCTGCGGGAGCGTTTGGGGGGTTTGAGGGCGGGCAAACGGCAGTCTTGAACCTCCTGAAAAACAGATGATGGCAGGGGCATGTAGCTGTAAGAGTTGTTGCCTTGGAGGCCTGCGGAAGCGTTTGGAAGGTTTGAGGCCGGGCAAACGGCAGTCTTGAACCCCCTGAAAAACAGATGGCAGGGGCATGTAGCTGTAAGAGTTGTTGCCTTGGATGCCTGCGGAAGCGTTTGGGGGGTTTGAGGCCGGGCAAACGGCAGTCTCCCTGAAAAACAGATGGCAGGGGCATGTAGCTGTAAGAGTTGTTGCCTTGGAGGCCTGCGGAAGCGTTTGGGGGGTTTGAGGGCGGGCAAACGGCAGTCTTGAACCCCCTGAAAAACAGATGGCAGGGGCATGTAGCTGTAAGAGTTCTTGCCTTGGGAGATGGCAGGGGCATGTAGCTGTAAGAGTTGTTGCCTTGGAGGCCTGCGGAAGCGTTTGGAAGGTTTGAGGCCGGGCAAACGGCAGTCTTGAACCCCCTGAAAAACAGATGGCAGAGGCATGTAGCTGTAAGAGTTGTTGCCTTGGAGGCCTGCGGAAGCGTTTGGGTGGTTTGAGGGCGGGCAAACGGCAGTCTTGAACCCCCTGAAAAACAGATGGCAGGGGCATGTAGCTGTAAGAGTTGTTGCCTTGGAGGCCTGCGGGAGCATTTGGGGGGTTTGAGGGCGGGCAAACGGCAGTCTTGAACCCCCTGAAAAACAGATGGCAGGGGCATGTAGCTGTAAGAGTTGTTGCCTTGGAGGCCTGCGGAAGCGTTTGGAGGGTTTCAGGCCGGTCAAACGGCAGTTTTGAACTCCCTGAAAAACAGATGGCAGGGGCATGTAGCTGTAAGAGTTGTTGCCTTGAAGGCCTGCGGGAGGGTTGGAAGCGTTTGGCGGTTTGAGGCCGGGCAAACTGCAGTCTTGAACCCCCTGAAAAACAGATGGCAGGGACATGTAGCTGTAAGAGTTGTTGCCTTGGAGGCCTGCGGAAGCGTTTCGGGGGTTTGAGGGCGGGCAAACGGCAGTCTGGAATCCCCTGAAAAACAGATGGCAGGGGCATGTAGCTGTAAGAGTTGTTGCCTTGAAGCCGGGTTTGAGGGCGGGCAAACGGCAGTCTGGAATCCCCTGAAAAACAGATGGCAGGGGCATGTAGCTGTAAGAGTTGTTGCCTTGAAGCCCTGCGGAAGCGTTTGGGGGGTTTGAGGGCGGGCAAACGGCAGTCTTGAACCCCCTGAAAAACAGATGGCAGGGGCATGTAGCTGTAAGAGTTGTTGCCTTGGAGGCCTGCGGAAGCGTTTGGGGGGTTTGAGGGCGGGCAAACGGCAGTCTTGAACCCCCTGAAAAACAGATGGCAGGGGCATGTAGCTGTAAGAGTTGTACACGAGGCCCGAGAAGGGCAGCCAGACTTGCAGGCTAAAGAGAAGACCCCAAGCCCAGCGACAAGACAACGGTGCCAGCAAAGGAAGGAAAAGCAACGCAGAAAAGAAAGTTGTGCGAATACAAGTGTCCGCACTGTAGTGAATCCGTGACGAGCACGGTGCGTACAGGTCAAGTAGATCATCGCCGCAGATGCGGGAACCGATTTCGCGTGAAGGACGCACGCGTAGTGGACAAAGCTTATGTTTACATGTGCCCATTTTGCAACGGGGAGACTGTAAGCAACACCAGAACGGGGCGAATAGACCATAGGAGCGTTTGCGGCAACCGATTTTATGTGGAGGAGGGCCGTGTCAGCACAGTGGCAAAAGCTTACGTGTACATATGCCCATTTTGCAATGGGGAAACGTCAAGTAACACCAAAACGGGGCGAATAAACCATAGGAGCATATGCGGCAACCAATTTTATGTGAAGGAGGGCCGTGTCAGCAGAAAGACGCGGCGCCATGCCCACTCCTGCCCGGTGTGTCAAACTGTTGTGTGGTCATGCCGTTCGTCTGGGCAGATTCACGTCAACCATGACACGCCTGCTGGGAAACCATGCAAGAAAACAAAATGGTTCGTGCCACAACAGAAGCCCCATAAGAGATGGTGAATCACAAGCTCTTGTAGCCCATGCACTCCCTGAAAAACAGATGGCAGGGGCATGTAGCTGTAAGAGTTGTTGCCTTGGAGGCCTGCGGGAGGGTTGGCAGCGTTTGGGGGGTTGGAGGCCGGGCAAGCGGCAGTCTTGAACCCCTGAAAAACAGATGGCAGGGACATGTAGCTGTAAGAGTTGTTGCCTTGGAGGCCTGCGGGAGGGTTGGAAGCGTTTCGGGGGTTTGAGGGCGGGCAAACGGCAGTCTGGAACCCCCTGAAAAACAGATGGCAGGGGCATGTAGCTGTAAGAGTTGTTGCCTTGAAGCCCTGCGGAAGCGTTTGGGGGGTTTGAGGGCGGGCAAACGGCAGTCTTGAACCCCCTGAAAAACAGATGGCAGGGGCATGTAGCTGTAAGAGTTGTTGCCTTGGAGGCCTGCGGGAGGGTTTGGGGGGTTTGAGGGCGGGCAAACGGCAGTCTTGAACCCCCTGAAAAACAGATGGCAGGGGCATGTAGCTGTAACAGTTGTTGCCTTGGAGGCCTGCGGGAGCGTTTGGGGGGTTTGAGGGCGGGCAAACGGCAGTCTTGAACCTCCTGAAAAACAGATGGCAGGGGCATGTAGCTGTAAGAGTTGTTGCCTTGGAGGCCTGCGGAAGCGTTTGGAAGGTTTGAGGCCGGGCAAACGGCAGTCTTGAACCCCTGAAAAACAGATGGCAGGGGCATGTAGCTGTAAGAGTTGTTGCCTTGGAGGCCTGCGGAAGCGTTTGGGGGTTTGAGGCCGGGCAAACGGCAGTCTTGAACCCCTGAAAAACAGATGGCAGGGGCATGTAGCTGTAAGAGTTGTTGCCTTGGAGGCCTGCGGAAGCGTTTGGGGGGTTTGAGGGCGGGCAAACGGCAGTCTTGAACCCCTGAAAAACAGATGGCAGGGGCATGTAGCTGTAAGAGTTCTTGCCTTGGAGGCCGGTTGAAGCGTTTGGGGGGTTTGGAGGCCGGGCAAACTGCAGAGTCTTGATGTAAAAAAACAGATGGCAGGGCATGTTAGCTGTAAGAGTTGTTGCCTTGGAGGCCTGCGGAAGCGTTTGGGTGGTTTGAGGGCGGGCAAACGGCAGTCTTGAACCCCCTGAAAAACAGATGGCAGGGGCATGTAGCTGTAAGAGTTGTTGCCTTGGAGGCCTGCGGGAGCATTTGGGGGGTTTGAGGGCGGGCAAACGGCAGTCTTGAACCCCCTGAAAAACAGATGGCAGGGGCATGTAGCTGTAAGAGTTGTTGCCTTGGAGGCCTGCGGAAGCGTTTGGAGGGTTTCAGGCCGGTCAAACGGCAGTCTTGAACTCCCTGAAAAACAGATGGCCGGGGCATGTAGCTGTAAGAGTTGTTGCCTTGAAGGCCTGCGGGAGGGTTGGAAGCGTTTGGGGGTTTGAGGCCGGGCAAACTGCAGTCTTGAACCCCCTGAAAAACAGATGGCAGGGACATGTAGCTGTAAGAGTTGTTGCCTTGGAGGCCTGCGGAAGCGTTTCGGGGGTTTGAGGGCGGGCAAACGGCAGTCTGGAATCACCTGAAAAACAGATGGCCGGGGCATGTAGCTGTAAGAGTTGTTGCCTTGAAGCCGGGTTTGAGGGTGGGCAAACGGCAGTCTGGAATCCCCTGAAAAACAGATGGCAGGGGCATGTAGCTGTAACAGTTGTTGCCTTGAAGCCCTGCGGAAGCGTTTGGGGGGTTTGAGGGCGGGCAAACGGCAGTCTTGAACCCCCTGAAAAACAGATGGCAGGGGCATGTAGCTGTAAGAGTTGTTGCCTTGGAGGCCTGCGGAAGCGTTTGGGGGGTTTGAGGGCGGGCAAACGGCAGTCTTGAACCCCCTGAAAAACAGATGGCAGGGGCATGTTGAAAAAACAGATGGCAGGGGCATGTAGCTGTAAGAGTTGTTGCCTTGGAGGCTTGCGCGAGGGTTGGCAGCGTTTGGGGGGTTGGAGGCCGGGCAAACGGCAGTCTTGAACCCCTGAAAAACAGATGGCAGGGACATGTAGCTGTAAGAGTTGTTGCCTTGGAGGCCTGCGGGAGGGTGGTTGGAAGCGTTTCGAGGGTTTGAGGGCGGGCAAACGGCAGTCTGGAACCCCCTGAAAAACAGATGGCAGGGGCATGTAGCTGTAAGAGTTGTTGCCTTGAAGCCCTGCGGAAGCGTTTGGGGGGTTTGAGGGCGGGCAAACGGCAGTCTTGAACCCCCTGAAAAACAGATGGCAGGGGCATGTAGCTGTAAGAGTTGTTGCCTTGGAGGCCTGCGGAAGCGTTTGGGGGTTTGAGGGCGGGCAAACGGCAGTCTTGAACCCCCTGAAAAACAGATGGCAGGGGCATGTAGCTGTAAGAGTTGTTGCCTTGGAGGCCTGCGGGAGCGTTTGGGGAGTTTGAGGGCGGGCAAACGGCAGTCTTGAACCCCCTGAAAAACAGATGGCAGGGGCATGTAGCTGTAAGAATTGTTGCCTTGGAGGCCTGCGGGAGCATTTGGGGGGTTTGAGGGCGGGCAAACGGCAGTCTTGAACCCCCTGAAAAACAGATGGCAGGGGCATGTAGCTGTAAGAGTTGTTGCCTTGGAGGCATGCGGAAGCGTTTGGAGGGTTTCAGGCCGGTCAAACGGCAGTCTTGAACTCCCTGAAAAACAGATGGCAGGGGCATGTAGCTGTAAGAGTTGTTGCCTTGGAGGCCTGCGGAAGCGTTTGGAGGGTTTCAGGCCGGTCAAACGGCAGTCTTGAACTCCCTGAAAAACAGATGGCAGGGGCATGTAGCTGTAAGAGTTGTTGCCTTGGAGGCCTGCGGAAGCGTTTGGAAGGTTTAAGGGCGGGCAAACGGCAGTCTTGAACCCCCTGAAAAACAGATGGCAGGGGCATTGTAGCTGTAAGAGTTGTTGCCTTGGAGGCCTGCGGAAGCGTTTGGGGGGTTTGAGGCCGGGCAAACGGCAGTCTTGAACCCCCTGAAAAACAGATGGCAGGGGCATGTAGCTGTAAGAGTTGTTGCCTTGGATGCCTGCGGAAGCGTTTGGGGGGTTTGAGGCCGGGCAAACGGCAGTCTTGAACCCCCTCAAAAACAGATGGCAGGGGCATGTAGCTGTAAGAGTTCTTGCCTTGGAGGCTTGCGGGAGGGTTGGAAGCGTTTGGGGGGTTTGAGGCCGGGCAAACTGCAGTCTTGAACCCCCTGAAAAACAGATGGCAGCGACATGTAGCTGTAAGAGTTGTTGCCTTGGAGGCCTGCGGGAGGATTGGAAGCGTTTGGGGGGATTGAGGGCGGGCAAACGGCAGTCTTGAACCCCCTGAAAAACAGATGGCAGGGGCATGTAGCTGTAAGAGTTGTTGCCTTGGAGGCCTGCGGAAGCATTTGGGGGGTTTTGAGGCCGGGCAAACGGCAGTCTTGAACCCCCTGAAAAACAGATGGCAGGGGCATGTAGCTGTAAGAGTTGTTGCCTTGGAGGCCTGCGGAAGCGTTTGGAGGGTTTCAGGCCGGTCAAACGGCAGTCTTGAACTCCCTGAAAAACAGATGGCAGGGGCATGTAGCTGTAAGAGTTGTTGCCTTGAAGGCCTGCGGGAGGGTTGGAAGCGTTTGGGGGTTTGAGGCCGGGCAAACTGCAGTCTTGAACCCCCTGAAAAACAGATGGCAGGGACATGTAGCTGTAAGAGTTGTTGCCTTGGAGGCCTGCGGAAGCGTTGCGGGGGTTTGAGGGCGGGCAAACGGCAGTCTGGAATCCCCTGAAAAACAGATGGCAGGGGCATGTAGCTGTAAGAGTTGTTGCCTTGAAGCCGGGTTTGAGGGCGGGCAAACGGCAGTCTGGAATCCCCTGAAAAACAGATGGCAGGGGCATGTAGCTGTAAGAGTTGTTGCCTTGGAGGCCTGCGGAAGCGTTTGGAGGGTTTCAGGCCGGTCAAACGGCAGTCTTGAACTCCCTGAAAAACAGATGGCCGGGGCATGTAGCTGTAAGAGTTGTTGCCTTGAAGGCCTGCGGGAGGGTTGGAAGCGTTTGGGGGTTTGAGGCCGGGCAAACTGCAGTCTTGAACCCCCTGAAAAACAGATGGCAGGGACATGTAGCTGTAAGAGTTGTTGCCTTGGAGGCTTGCGGAAGCGTTGCGGGGGTTTGAGGGCGGGCAAACGGCAGTCTGGAATCCCCTGAAAAACAGATGGCAGGGGCATGTAGCTGTAAGAGTTGTTGCCTTGAAGCCGGCCGGGTTTGAGGGCGGGCAAACGGCAGTCTGGAATCCCCTGAAAAACAGATGGCAGGGGCATGTAGCTGTAAGAGTTGTTGCCTTGAAGCCCTGCGGAAGCGTTTGGGGGGTTTGAGGGCGGGCAAACGGCAGTCTTGAACCCCCTGAAAAACAGATGGCAGGGGCATGTAGCTGTAAGAATTGTTGCCTTGGAGGCCTGCGGAAGCGTTTGGGGGGTTTGAGGGCGGGCAAACGGCAGTCTTGAACCCCCTGAAAAACAGATGGCAGGGGCATGTAGCTGTAAGAGTTGTTGCCTTGAAGGCCTGCGGGAGGGTTGGAAGCGTTTGGGGGTTTGAGGCCGGGCAAACGGCAGTCTTGAACGTCCTGAAAAACAGATGGCAGGGGCATGTAGGTGTAAGAGTTCGGCAGGAGCATGTAGATGGCTGGGGCATGTAGCTGACAGAGGTGTTGCCTTGATGGCGTGTGCCTTTGCTTGCGACCCGAAAGCCAAGTTCCACACCTCCGGTGGTCCCAGGCGCCGCCCCTGCCTTGGCAAAGGCCGGGGTCGGCGGATTTCGAGCATATGTTTTGTTATTTTTAGATAATCTAAAATCTCTATATATATATATAATCAGAATAAATACACACATGTTATATCTATGGCAGTATTGTATAATAGATTATGAATATATGGCACATGTATGGCACATGCGGCGCATTTGCGGCTTCTTCGAAGCGCCAGCTTCGATGGGATGAAACCGAGGCTCGAGCCTCGGTGTGTTGGTGGGAACTGGAACATCACCAGTTTTATTCGGTAAATCATTAGGTAAATTATCATGGCAAAATCATGGTAAAATCATGGTTCATCATTACCAGTTTTATCATGGTTAAGCATGGTAAAATCATGGTAAATCATTTCGTAGATCATTTAAGTAAAACGTGGTAAAATCATGTCACATGATTTAGTAAATCATCAGTTAAATCATGGTAAAACATGGCACATCATTAGGTAAATCATTAGGTGAAATTATGGCAAAATCATGTAAATCATCATGTATATCTGATTGTGAACCAGTTTTTTCCATAGCTATAACCAGAGGGTGAATAAAAAGAGAAAACAAGAAAAGAAACAAGACTCAGCTTATGACTTATTTTTTTAAACATGAGTGTAACTTGAGCCCTCTCAGACCAGCCCATTTGTATGATGACAAGAGCGCAGTAAAGCTAGGTCGGACGGTTGAGTTTTGAGGCATTAAAGAACAAAACCTGAAGTGTGTAGGCCCTGGATTTTCTGGTGGCGATAGATGGTTGGTCAAGCTGTGTTTTGTTCACTCTTTTTACCGGAATGAACCATGTATTTACACTCGAGTTTCAACATCGTGATGCGCATTGTTGAAACATGTTTTAAAGGATGACAACTTGTTCAAAACATGTCACGAACATTGTTGTATTTTTGGTTAAAGGATGTTAACATTTCACACTAGTGATGAACATTGTTGTATTATTGGTTCACAGGCAATGATTTTCCAAAATGGTGACACACACATTGTATTTTTGGTTAAATGGTGATGCAGTATCAGAATATATAGTGATGACATTTTTGTAAATAGTGCTAAACAGATATGAACAGTCTTCCACTCTTATCATTAAGCATATAGTTGGCGTTTTACACTAATTACATCACATATCTCGTCCGTTCTACAAAGAATTAATGAAGTGTTGAAAGATGACCATTAGATCATATCAATGCATATTAGATAATACTAGACACCATTAGTCTATTATTAGTTAAATGATATATCTTATTAGTCTATTAGTTAAATAATATGTTAAATAAATATATATATATCATTTAGACCATTAATCTTATTGACTATAAATCCAAGAATAAAACTAATATATCATAAGGATGGTATAGATATATCTTATTATTGGATTTATTGGTATTAAGACCATCCTGAATACCATCGGTGGATCTCCTCCATGAGGCTGCTGGGATATACCTGGGGGTACAAGTTAGAAGAGAACAGTAGAGGAACATTTGGGTCTATAAGCGTAGATTAACTATACAAAGATTATAGTCATATATATATATATATTGTAATGATCATATATATCATGATTATAACTGTAGGTTAATAACTGTTAATCATTGATATAGTCATATATATATATAACAGTAGATTAAGTATCGGGTTTATGGCAGATATATCATGATACGATTTATACGTTGATGTGATACCACGACTTTACGAAGGAACTTCTGGCGCCGCGTGGCGCCGCAGCTTTCCCACGGCGAGGCCCCAGCATCGGCGGAGACGGAGCTCTTTGCCAGCTTGGGTCCCAGCAGGGGAAAACACCTCGGTGGAGCGGAAAAAGACATGTTTTTTTTGTTAAATGAAAGGGTGAAATTGAGTAATTTATGAAATCAGCTTTTGTTTCGTTATGTTTTGTTTGTTCATTATTGTTTCTGTTTTTTTTGGGAAACATGGCGAGGGTTTCTATATAGTTCCCCCTGCGAAAGAGACTTAAGTTCCAGCTGGTCAATCTATTTCCCAGCTGTGAAGGATGAGGCTGGATGAATGCCCCAAGATTTGATGGTGTATCATGGTGTATCTCCCATTGGACTGACATCATGACACAAGCAGCAAGGGACACAACATGACACAACTGCATCTTTCAGGTAAGAAGGTGCTTCAATTTGGGGAGCAGCTCGGCGAACTTCAACCACGCCAGAACTGGTGACAAGGCATGAAATTGGTGGCCTGAAATCAGCGAAATTGACAAGAAATTATCACTCAACACGGGAGATCGCTGAACAGATACGAACGGAATGAAATCAAGAAACCTATCAGCAACCTATCAACCAGTAGGTTTCCAACAGCCATGGAGCCTAGATTCCCAGATGGATCCCTTGGGATGCCGGAGATTCTTAAAGTATATAAATAAATGTATATACATATACATATATTATATATATAATCCGTAGCATCCTGCTTCCGATGTAGACAAAGATATAAAGAGCATAACACAAACAGAAATAACGAACTATGGGTGCGCCTCTCGGGTTTCCTGCCCGGGTTTCCTGCCGAATTATCTATACAGTGGCGTGTTGTTTCTTGAAACTTCCCATTTGCATTCGTTTGCAGATGATTTCTGAAGAAACGCACCTGGATTTCCAAATTGGAAGAAGCCAGCCCCAAGTGGGCCGGGGTCCTTCAACATACCCATGTGGGTGTTGCAGCACGACATAAGTGAAGCCTTACTGAAAAAAATCGAAGTGAACCCGTCGGAATCTTTGTTAAGAGTGGTTTCTACTTGGGGGCGCAGTTCTACTCAATTTGTGACTTATGACTATGATAACCCAAGTATAGCACCAACCTACAACCCTACAGAATTCTACAGTAATATCTATAGTTACCCTCTGGTAAACTAACCATAACTATGGAAAATCACCATTTTCAATGGGTAAACCAACTATAAATCAGCATTTTCAATAGCTTTTTGATGCTTTTTGTATGTTTACCAGAGGCTAGTGGCCTTTCTGATTTCCACCAAGGATGTGGTGCACTGGTGGAGTTTTTGGAGTTGCTTGGCGAAACTGAAGGGTTTCCACGGCTTTCGTATACCCTCTGGTAATTTGGCTATGGCAAAATAGTTCATTTTTACTGGTTGGTGGTTTGGAAATGTTTGGTGGCTTTTATTTTCCATATTTTTTCTGGGATGTCATCCTTCCCACTGACGAACTCATATTTTTCAGAGGGGTTGAAATCACCAACCAGTATATATACTGTTTATAGATGATGTTCCTGATTTAGCTATTAAACAGGGTGATTTTCGATGCCTATGTAAAAAATCACCGGATGATATGAAGCAACAACTATGGTGAATTGATCCGGAAAAGCTGATATGGCTGGGTAGGGCATCATTTTTGAAGACAAACCCATGGAGAAATCTCACAAGGTCCTTTAGCAATCAGATGGGATGGGAAGACACTGAGGTCCCAGGGAGGCCTGATAAGTTCTGGAGATTCGTTTCGCGAAGTCCCCACAACCTTTTTTTAATGGGATGATCAAAGAAGAATTTCTTCAACGGTGGAACCAAACCACAAGTTAGAGGCCATCAAATGGTATTCCTTATTAGCAAACCTATGCCTTTCGTTCCTTTTCGGCTTGTTTCATTTGGCAGCTTGCGCTGAAGGAGGTCATGAAATAAGAGGAACTATCATTTTTTTCCAGCTGCTCGGTTGAAAAATAGAAACATAAGAGGAACCACGTTAGAACTCCAACCTTGGCACAAACCAGCTCGTGAAGCTACGCTTTTGCTTGAGGCGCTTGTGGCACAATTAATTCAAAGCTAGCTATCAGCAAAAACTGTTCAACTGTTTGGTATGGCCACATCATTTTCCTCGATGTTTCCAATTTTCCATAGGTTTTCCATAGGTTTTCCCATTTTTCAGCCGAAAAAACCCATCATTCCTCTGCTGATGCCATGGGCGCTGATGCGGATCCCTCTGCTGCGGTGCTGCGTGCCGAAGTGCGGCGCATCTTGGGAGAGCAGACGCCGGAGCTGCTTGGAACCGGCCGGGACCCGGCCTCATATGGGGGAAACCATGGGAAAATCCCCGAACTAAAAATATCTAATAAAGATGTTGAACATGGGAACATCACTGATTTTACATATATAATTTATATATATATATATACACCTATATACTTTTATTCTTTAAATGTAAACATATAATTACCGTATAGAAAAACCTAATCTATCTATCTATCTATCTATCTGTCTATCTATCAATCTATCAATCTATCAATCTATCTATCAATCTATCTACCAATCTATCCTATCTATCCTATCTATCCTATCTATCCTGTCTATCCTGTCTATCCTATCTATCCTATCTATCTTATCTATCTTATCTATCTTATTTTATCTATCCTATCCATCCTATCCATCCTATCCATCCTATCCATCCTATCCATCTTATCCATCCTATCCATCCTATCCATCTTATCCGTCCCATTCATCCTATCCATCCCATTCATCCTATCCATCCTATCCATCTTATCCATCCTATCCATCCTATCCATCTATCCATCTATCAATTTGTCTATCTATCTAGCTATCTATCTATCTATGGATGGGATTTTCCAGCCTAAACCAGGTTTGGTTTTAACAGAGGGTAAGCGGGTACGAGAGGGGTTGTCCTTTGGTAAGCAAACATAATTAAACGTAGATTCGGAAATCCATGAGTTTCACGGTATCACAAAGAACTGGGTCTGAAATGAGAGCCGTTTTGTTGTCAAGCACTGGGATTGAGTTATGATGCTATCATTTGTGTGACAGAACAAAGGTAAAGGTCGTTTTCCATCAACGTTTTACAGTTCGATGCGGCCAACCCACCATGAAAGCAGATCATTTTCGGGGTGAAACACCATGGGTAGACATGGACCCATGTCCTGTCATTTTCCATATAGGGTAAGTTCCAATGGCTTAGACCATCAAGTTTAAGCAAGAGTTGATGCCACATAGGTGGCTTGTTTCGCTTCAGAAATAGCCAAACTGCTTTCTGACCAAAATTATGTAGGTTCTAAATCTTTCATGGTCCTTCACCCGTTAACGTGAAAGACTTGCAGCGGGGTTGACCTAGCTCCTTGCTTAAGCCAAAAGTTTGGCTAGAAACAAAGGTTTAGTCAGTAACAACAAGGTTCTGATTACTGAGCGCTTGGTTTCAAGTTCCATTGTGAAAAAAGACATGGACCCGGTGCAGCTGGGAAGACATTCAATACTTCACATACCACCATACCCGATACACACATCAGCAAATAAGCGAAGCCAAGAAGTGGTCAAAAGACCCAACTTTGGTCAGTAATACAGAGGTCCCAAATCCCGAGCAAACTGTCTCAAGCTTTTGTATCAAAAACATGGCTACCTGATGTGACTCACGCGCCCGAAAAAAATGATTTACTCACATGCACATGAATTGGTGGGGCATGTGCTAATTTTCTTTGAACAACTTTTGGCTCAATCCCGCACTAGGAGCTTTTATGTGAGCCGTATCAGCCTAATCTTGCACACACACACACAAATTTCAACCCTTATAGGAAGTTTTTTTACAATGTTTAATGGTTTGCTGAAAAGCTCTGGGTAACCGAGTTCTCTTCAGAAGATCTCTCTTTAAGCTCTCCTCAGAATGCATTTGCCTGAGGTTTCTTGCCGCAACTCTTGCCGCGATATTTGAGCGAGATCTTGAATAATCTTCTACAGAGGTTTATCGAGGAGATTCGTTTTCAGATCGGCTTTGTTTCTCTGTTATCTTAGATAAGCAAGCCCTAACTCTGTTGAGGAGTGAAGTTTTATGGGGAAGGTCTGTCGCGTTGTCGCGCGATCTCTTGGGAAAGTCTTGGGAAAGTCATGCAGATGAAGTCTGTGTGTGCGAAATCTCAGATGTCTTTAAGATACAATGAAAATATAGTCAGTTGAAAGCTTGTCAGGACCTCGGCCCGGGAGAACGAGCAATCTGGCAAAATCAAGGTATAAGAGTTTTGAAAGGCTGACGGCAAACTCATGTTTAAGACTTTCGTCAATAAACTTTGTTTGAGGGATTGCATTCAAAACAGGCTGCTGGAGAGGCCTAATAAAGCTTCAAATTCAGCCATTTTGGTGTGCCTTGCAAGCGGCGGTCAAATTTCAAAACAAGCGGGGCGCTGAAGATTGAAAAACAGAAAGGCACACGTTATACGCCACGCTTCCTACACTGGAGGTATCATCATCGTTGGTTTGATGCTTCCAAAAATGGGATCTCTGTATGCACTAGCGCACCCTTACGTCAACTCCTTTGGGATTTTCTGCCAATGTATGAAGTACGATGCGCGTTAAAGATGCGTCGGCTAGCTACAACTCGATATTACACACGCTACTCCTACAGGGCAGGCGAGCACAAGAGATTTAGTATATCGTCTTTTGTCTGCACTAGGGGTTTGTTGGCTAGCCTTCAACCTCCATGGTATCTATCTATGGTTCCAAAAATGCTCCGGTAAGCCTCAAGATTGGGACTTCGCAAGGTTTCAGGTTTAAGAAATATACCATGGATATTGATTCAAAAGCCTAGGGGGGCGCACAAAAGTGCAGCAAAATCATTTTAAAACCTGAAGAAAAATTGTCGGTGTAGCAACCCCTGGATTTATTGCGAGCCGTCTAAGCTTTGGTTGTAAATTGGAAATCCAAGGGGATTTGATTGTAACATGGAGTGGCGACTGGTTTTACCATTGGGTTCCATCGGCTCTAGTAAACTTGTCCGTTTGGACAAAAGAGTTGTTTCCCATCAATGTTCTTACCGCTATGACCACCTTGGTGAACCGACTTCGCCACAAGTCCCAACCATGTTTGCTCAAATTGAATGGTTTCCAAAACTGATGGGATGAAAACGGAAACCTATAGAAGCAAACCTAGGAGCTTTTTCATGCTATATGTCTGCTGGATATTGTCCAAACCAGCAAGGAAATTCCATCAGATGGTTCAATCCATTCCCTGGGTTCCGAAAGGGCTTGGGTTATAAGATGCGTCGGTGCTACCAGCAAATCCAATGAATCCTAGCTGAAGGCCCAATAAAAATTACGCGTCTGCATACACGACAGGCTGGGGAAACAGGCTTCATTGGTCTAAATGATTGCTTCACCAGCAATCATCCAAACTTTGTTGGTTTCAAGGACACAAGAGTCTTTCAGTTGAAACAGGTTTTCCTTTCACCGGCAGCTGTATTAAATCTAACCTACATATAATATCATTGCAGTCTTGAAAGTTTTGATATTCCAATTTTTTCATGATGGGGTTTCAAAAATTCCAGATGCTATGGGGAATGGGTAGAATAGAAAAGAACACGATGTGAATATTAACACGTCGAATTGGAAGATTCCGGACTGTACATGATGCAGTTAGAATACCGCAGATGTTTTGCATCCATTTCCTTTCGCTTTCCATTACCTCAGCATTTAGGCATTTAGTTCCGTTCATGTTCCTTCCGTGCTGCATCCGTTTCCTTTCGTTTTCTTTTCAGTTTGCATCCATGTCCTTTCATGGCCCTCCATTTAGTTGTCTTGACGTTTTGCATCCACTTCCTTTCATGTTACCCCTCACTTTGCACCCATTCATGTCCTTTCATATTGCATCTTAATCTCATGTCATGTGCCATTCATGTCCTGTCATGTTTTTTTAAAAAATTGCATCAATTTCCTTTCATGTCCTTTTCATCTTGCATTCATTTTCCACAGCCCAACCCTTTGTTGGTAACATTCTCCATGCATTCTAAGAGCAGGCCGGGCCTTTAGATAGAATATTGCGCAGATGCTGCACCCGCCATCGTAAATCCGATTTGTACGAAATCTGGACTTAACAAAACCGTTCCAAGTGCTGGCCTGAAACTCTACAGCGCCAAATATGTTCAAAAGAAAAACGTTTTTGCTCACAGACCTGGTCATGACGCAACTCAAAAAATTGATATCTTCGCAGACCTGGGCATGCGAAAAAAATATCCATTGATCTGACATGATGGTGTTTCCTTCCCAATTCTTTAGCAAAGAGAAACATGGATCACATGTGGTTGCCCGCGTCTTTCCTTGTCTAACTTCTTTTCTTTTTCGCCAAGCTCATTCTTGAGTAGCCCCAAACCTAACCTTGATGCCGACATTGCATGACTTGAGTAGCCACATCCTGGTCAAAAGTTCTTTTTCCTTAGTAGCCAGCTACTCACCAAGACAACTTTTTTCCTCAGCAGCAAGCCACTGACCAAAATCCAATTTTCTTCAGCAGCCAGCTACTGACCAAACCTCCTTTTTCCTCAGTAGCCAGCTACTGACCAAATCCATGGCTCCGCAGTAGCCAGCTACTGACCAAAACTTTTTTTTCCTGAGTAGCCGGCTACTGACCAAAAACATTTTTTTTTTCCTCAGTAGCCAGCCCCTGATCAATTTTTTTTCCTCAACTACCGGCTTTTGAGCAAAATCCATTTTTCCCCAGAAGCCAGCTACTGACCCAAACCCCTTTTCCTCACGAGCCAGCTACTGGCTCAAACCCATGCTTCCTCATTGGCCACATGCTGACCAAGTCCATATTTTGTCAGTAGCCAGCTCCTTACCAAAACCCATGCTTCCTCAGTAGCCAGCTACTGACCAAATCCATGGTTCCTCGCTAGCCAGCTACTAACCCAAACCTCTTTTTCCTCAGTAGCCAGCTACTGACCAAAAACATTTTTTTCCTCAGTAGCCAGCCCCTGATCAATTTTTTTCCTCAATTACCAGCTTTTGAGCAAAATCCATTTTTCCCCAGAAGCCAGCTACTGACCCAAACCCCTTTTCCTCACGAGCCAGCTACTGGCTCAAACCCATGCTTCCTCATTGGCCACCTTCTGACCAAGTCCATTTTTTGTCAGTAGCCAGCTCCTTACCAAAACCCATGCTTCCTCAGTAGCCAGCTACTGACCAAATCCATGGTTCCTCGCTAGCCAGCTACTAACCCAAACCTCTTTTTCCTCAGTAGCCAGCTACTGACCAAATCCATGGTTCCTCAGTAGCCAGCCCCTGATCAAAATCTTTTTTCCTCAGCAGCCAGCTAGTGGCCAAAATTCATGTTTCTTCAGCAGCCAACTTCTCACCAAAACCCACGCTTTCTCAACAGCCACCTACTGACCAAAATCAATTTTTCTTCAGTAGCCCGCTACTGACCAAAATTCATTTTTCCTCAATAGCCAGCCGCAGATGGAAATCTATTTTTCCTCAATTGCCAGCTTTTGACCAAAATCCATTTTTCCCCAGAAGCCAGCTACTGACCCAAACCCCTTTTCTTCACGAGCCAGCTACTGGCTCAAACCCATGCTTCCTCATTGGCCACATGCTGACCAAATCCATTTTTTGTCAGTAGCCAGCTCCTTACCAAAATCCATGCTTCCTCAGTAGCCAGCTACTGACCAAATCCATGGCTCCGCAGTAGCCAGCTACTGACTAAAACCTTTTTTTCCTGAGCTGACCAAAAACATTTTTTTCTCAGTAGCCAGCCCCTGATCAAAATCTTTTTTCCTCAGCAGCCAGCTAGTGGCCAAAATTCATGTTTCTTCAGCAGCCAACTTCTCACCAAAACCCACGCTTTCTCAACAGCCACCTACTGACCAAAATCAATTTTTCTTCAGTAGCCCGCTACTGACCAAAATTCATTTTTCCTCAATAGCCAGCCCCAGATGGAAATCTATTTTTCCTCAATTGCCAGCTTTTGACCAAAATCCATTTTTCCCCAGAAGCCAGCTACTGACCCAAACCCCTTTTCTTCACGAGCCAGCTACTGGCTCAAACCCATGCTTCCTCATTGGCCACATGCTGACCAAATCCATTTTTTGTCAGTAGCCAGCTCCCTACCAAAACCCATGCTTCCTCAGTGCCAGCCAGCCAGCTGACCAAATCCATGGTTCCTCGCTAGCCAGCTACTAGCCCAAACCTCTTTTTCCCCAGTAGCCAGCTACTGACCAAAAACTATGTTTCTTCAGCAGCCATCTTCTCACCAAAACCCACGTTTTCTCAATAGCCACCTACTGAACAAAATCCATTTTTCCTCAGTAGCCAGGTACTGACCAAGTCCAGTTTCCTCAGTAGCCTGCTACTGACGAAAACCCATATTTCTTCAGTCCAGCTACTGACCACATCCACGGTTTTTCAATAGACAGCTACTGACCAAAAACCTTTTTTCCTCAGTAGCCAGCTGCTGACCAAAATTCCTTTACTGAAAAGCCAGCTACTCACCAAAATCGGTGTTTCCTCAATCATTTCCCTCGATAGCCAGCTACTTTCCAAAATCCATGTTTCTCATAGACCAGCTACTCTTCAAATCCCATCAAAAACACTTTTTCCACAGTAGCCAGCTACTGGCCAAAAAACATTTTTTCTCAGCAGCCAGTTCCTCACAAAAATCGATGCTTCCTCAGTAGCCAGCTCCTGACCAGAACCGTTTTTTCCTCAGTAGCCATCTTCTGGCTGAAATCCTATGTTTTGGATCGCCATGTCTTGATCAAGACATCAGAAAGCATCTGATGACCAGACCCTCTTTTCTTCAACAGCTTTCTCTAACATAGCAAAAGGCTGTAGTTGGTCAGCTGCTGACCATTGGCTTGGTGCTGCATTTTTCTGAAATTCTTCGGCAAGCATCAGAGCTAATGGCCAAGGATATGCCATTGTCTTATGTGCCGTATCTCAACTAAAACTAGTTTGCTGGCGAAAAACAATGTGGTTTTGCCTTCCAACGAAGGGGAAACTGGCAACCTAGCGCTCCTACACCAAAAAAAACAAGAATTTGTTTTAAAATTGGTTCCAAGTGCTCGGCAACTATCGCTGCAGTCAGCTGCATGCGTTTGATTTTGCATTTTTTTGTTCATGTTGTTTTACACCAGGCTTTGACAAAGAAGTTGGAGCGCATTTTCCAATTTCATTTTCTGCGAAAGAGATATATGTTCACTGTGACAAGTGCTTATAGCACCTACATCTCAAAACAAGGACGGGTTTTGCCCGTAGCCAGCCGCTGCTGCAAAGAAAAATGCATTCCCCTCATTGTTTTTTCTGAATCCAGCCAGCGCAAAGGTGACCCAGGATTCAAGCTTACAGATTTCAATTTGTGAATTTACAAGATTTCAAACAGTCTTGTTTACAAGAAAGGCAAACACGCATGCCATCAGCCATCAAATCTGAATCATAAACTTGGATTCACGGATTTTGTTCGTTCATAATTTTGTATTTTTGCGGTTTGAAAAAGAAAAAAAACGAAAATTTGAATGCGACAAGCAAAACCAAACACAAAATCCATCTTGCAAATTGCAAAACGGCAAACTGTTGAAACCGAAACTCTGCATTCTACATGTGCCTTAGAAGATTGAGCTACAATTTTGCTCGTTTGATTTTGTATGTTTTATGATGTGGTATCAAATGCCATACAATCGGGTAGTAAACAATGAGTCATACGATGGTCATCCGTCAGAAACCAAACGTCCAATCTACTGACGAACTTTGGCTTCAACAAATCAACTACCTTGAAGGTCTGAATTCCAATGGTTCCAAGATAGTTGATCCATCAAAGGATCCCATCAATAATATTCAATCATCAGAAATCAACCTTGATTTTCCCATGATTTTCCATATTGCTCACCATCATTCTTGAATGTTTCTACCCAAGTGGTCCCTTGCACCTTGGACGTTGAGTTTCCGAGGCTTATCAAGGCCTTAAGTGGCCGGGAGCTGCAGGAAATCTTGCTGGAAGCACATGTGCCCTGGGGAAATCGGGTTTCGATCCGTGGGAAAGAAACCCTGGGGAACATGTGATATATTCGATGGAACAGCATGGAACATGGAGAATTGGAATTGGATGTTTAGGATTTTTAGGTATCCTGGATGATGATTTTTTTTGAGCTGCAGTTTGCGAAGCACCCTATTCAGAATATCCGAGATACTGGTTTCCCATGGGAATGTTACAATGGTGGATGGTTTCCCATAATAGTTTTAGATTTGCTGAAGGTGATTGTTTTGTCCCGTTTGTAAAACCAACACGTGGGAAATCTAAAGGGACTATATGTTTTACTTTTGCGGACCATCTTAAGCAAATCCCGGCAATGATAGGCGGTTTTTAACCCACCAAAACATTATATATATATATATATATTATATATGATAGTAGGGAGGTTCAACCATTTTATCAAATAAATATTGAATAGATATTGGGAACCCCTTCCTAAATGCAGATGATGTTACATAAATTCTTGCAGGGTACTGATCAACCAAGACAACGGATCTGTAAGTTTTACCCTCTGGTAAACGTTTACAGTTCGCCATGGAAAGATCCACCATGTTTCATGGGAAAATCCACTATTTCGACTGGGCCATGGCTTCAATAGCTATTTTGACAAATTACCAGAGGGTAATGATGATCCTACTAAGCGCGGAGCAGCCCATTGAGTCGTCCCATGGATGAAAGGCGAAAGCCAACGGAAGTGCCGACGGAAGTGCCCAGATGGAAGGTGCCAGCCAGGGGCGACAAGGGACATCCGACCGATATGGCAATCGAACATGGCAAACATGACAAATTAGCATGCAAAAAATCCAGATTCTAGATGATTTGTATTGATGTGTCATGACTTATTGAAATTGAACTTGAAATCAGATGTATCTATTGAAATCGATTTGAAACTGGTATTTTGTCCTGGTGTTAGGTTAGATTACCAGAGTGTAACGACTCTGTGTGAAACCAAAACTGGCTCCATTTGTAGTGCGGCCATGATGCCGTGACCCCTCAAAGCAACGTCGCTTCAGGGCATTTCACAGGAACTGGGCCTCCAGACTTGCTTCAACACACCCCATAAGACCTGTAGGTTCCCAACATACAGCCCCAAACTGGCTCCAACACACCCATAAGACCTGTAGGTTGCCAACATTCAGCCCCAAAGTGGCTCCAACACACCCCATAAGACCTGTAGGTTGCCGACCTACAGCCCCAAACTGAATCCAACACCTGTAGGTTGCCAACATACAGCCCCAAACTGACTCCAACACCTGTAGGTTGCCAACATACAGCCCCAAACTGGCTCCAACACACCCCATAAGACATGTAGGTTGCCAACATAGAGCCGCAAATTGGCTCCAACAAACCCATAAGACCTGTAGGTTGCCAGCATACAGGCCCAAACTGGCTCCAACACACACCATAAGACATGTAGGTTGCCTAGGTTGCCAGAATACGGCCCCAAACGGGTTCCACACACCCCATAAGACATGTAGGTTGGCTAGGCTGCCAACATGCAGCCCCAAACTAGCTCCACACACCCATAAGACTTGTAGGTTGCCAACATGCAGCCCCAAAGTGGCTCCAACACACCCCATAAGACCTGTAGGTTGCCGACCTACAGCCCCAAACTGACTCCAACACCTGTAAGTTGCCAACATACAGCCCCAAACTGGCTCCAACACACCCCATAAGACTTGTTGTTTGCCAACATACAGCCCCAAACTGGCTCCAACACACCCCATAAGACATGTAGGTTGCCATTATACAGGCCCAAACTGGATCTAACACAAACCATAAGACATGTAGGTTGCCCAGGTTGCCAACATACCGCCCCAAACGGGCTCCACGCACCCCATAAGACCTTTAGGTTGCCAGCCCCAAACTGGCTCAAACACACCCCATAAGACCTGTAGGTTGCCAACATACAGTCGCAAACTGGCCCCAACACTCCCCATAAGACCTGCAGGTTGCCAGCCCCAAACTGGCTCCAACAGACCCCATAAGACATGTAGGTTGCCTAGGTTGCCAACATACAGCCCCAAACTAGCTCCACACACCCATAAGACCTGTAGGTTGCCAACATTCAGCCCCAAAGTGGCTCCAACACACCCCATAAGACCTGTAGGTTGCCGACCTACAGCCCAAAACTAACTCCAACACCTGTAGGTTGCCAACATACAGCCCCAAACTGGCTCCAACACACCCCATAAAACATGTAGGTTGCCAACATAGAGCCGCAAACTGGCTCCAACACACCCATAAGACCTGTAGGTTGCCAGCATACAGGCCCAAACTGGCTCCAACACACACCATAAGACATGTAGGTTGCCTAGGTTGCCAACATAAGGCCCCAAACGGGCTCCACACACCCCATAAGACCTTTAGGTTGCCAGCCCCAAACTGGCTCAAACACACCCCATAAGACCTGTAGGTTGCCAACATACAGTCGCAAACTGGCTCCAACACTCCCCATAAGACCTGCAGGTTGCCAGCCCCAAACTGGCTCCAACACACCCCATAAGACATGTAGGTTGCCTAGGTTGCCAACATACAGCCCCAAACTGGCTCCACACACACCATAAGACCTGTAGGTTGCCAGCATACAGCCCCAAACTGGCTCAAACACACAACATGAGGCCTGTAGGTTGCCAACATACAGCCGCAAACTGGCTCCAACACACCCCATAGGACCTGTAGGTTGCCAACATGCAGCACCAAACTGGCTCCAACACACCCCATAAGACATGTAGGTTGCCAGCGCCAACATACAGCCCCAGACTGGCTCCACACCACCCTTAAGACCTGTCGGTTGCCAGCCCCAAACTGGCTCCAACACACCCCATAAGACTTGTAGGTTGCCAACATACAGCACCAAACTGGCTCCAACACACCCCATAAGACATGTAGGTTGCCTAGGTTGCCAACATTTGCCAACATACAGCCCCAAACTGGCTCCACACACCCCATAAGACCTTCAGGTTGCCAGCCCCAAACTGACTCCAACACACCCCATAAGACCTGCAGGTTGCCAGCATACAGCCCCAAACTGGTTCAAACACACTCCACAAGACTTGTAGGTTGCCAGCATACAGCCCCAAACTGGCTCCAACACACCCCAGAAGACATGTAGGTTGCCCAGGCTGCCAACATACAGCCGCAAACTGGCTCCACACACCCAATAAGACCTGTAGGTTGCCAGCCCCAAACTGGCTCAAACACACCCCATAAGACCTGTAGGTTGCCAACATACAGCCGCAAACTGGCTCCAACACACCCCATAAGACATGTAGGTTGCCAACATACAGCCCCAAACTGGCACCAACGCACCCCATAAGACCTGTAGGTTGCCGACCTGCCCCAAAACTGGCTTCAAGACACCGGTAAGACCTGTAGGTTGCCAACATACAGCCGCAAACTGGCTCCAACGCACCCCATAAGACTTGTTGGTTACCAACATACAGCCCCAAACTGGCTCCAACACACCCCATAAGACATGTAGGTTGCCTAGGTTGCCAACATACAGCCCCAAACTGGCTCGCTCCACACACCCCATAAGACCTGTAGGTTGCCAGCCCCAAACTGGCCCAAACACACCCCATAAGACATGTAGGTTGCATAGGTTGCCAACATACAGCCCCAAACTAGCTCCACACGCCCCATAAGACCTGTAGGCTGCCAGCATACAGCCCCAAAGTGGCTCCAACACATCCCATAAGACTTGTACGTTGCCGACCTACAGCCCCAAAGTGGCTCCAACACACCCCATAAGACTTGTAGGTTGCCAACCTACAGCCCCAAACCGGCTCCAACACAGCCCATAAGACATGTAGGTTGCCTGGTTGCCAACATACACCGCCAAATTTGCTCCACACACCGCATAAGACCTGTAGGTTGCCAACATACAGCCGCAAACTGGCCCCAACACACCCCATAAGACATGTAGGTTGCCAACATACAGCCCCAAACTGGATCCAACACACCCCATAAGACCTATAGGTTGCCAACATACAGCCGCAAACTGGCTCCAACACGCCCCATAAGACTTGTAGGTTGCCAACATACAGCCGCAAACTGGCTCCAACACACCCCACAACACTTGTAGGTTGCCAACATGCAGCCCCAAACTGGCTCCAACACACCACATAAGACTTGTAGGTTGCCGACATACAACCCGAAACTGGCCCCAACACACCCCATAAGACTTTTAGGTTGCGAACATACAGCCGCAAATTGTCTCCAACACACCCCATAAGACATGTAGGTTGCCAACATGCACCCCCAAACTGGCTTCAACACACCCCAAAAGACATGTAGGTTGCCAACATACAGCCCCAAATTGGCCCCAACACACCCCATAACACCTGTAGGTTGCCAATATACAACCCCAAACTGCCCCGTAAGACCTGTAGGTTGCCAACATACAGCCCCAAACTGGCTCCACCACACTCCATCAGACCTGTAGGTTGCCAACATACAGCCCGAAAGTGGCTCCAACACACCCCATAAGACATGTAGGTTGCCAACATACAGCCCCAAACTGGCTTCATTGCGCCCCATAAGACATGTAGGTTGCCAACATACAGCCCCAAATTGGTTTCATTGCGCCCCATAAGACCTGTAGCATACAGCCCTCTGCTCCAACACGCCCCATAAGACCTGTAGGTCTGTAGGTTGCCTCAAACCCTTTCCAACACGCCCCAAACGCGTTCCAACACGTCGCAAACATAAAGCCACCAACCCGTTCCAACACGCTCCATCAGAACTGTAGGTTGCCAACATGCAGCCACATAAGACCTGTAGGTTGCCAACATACAGCCCCAACCCGTTCCACCAGGCCTCCATCATTCCCCAAAACGATTTAGGCTGTAAAATCTCTGCACTCAAGGTTCGTTCATTTTAACATAAACCAGTATATATAGTTACCTCTAGCTACATTATAGCCAAATTTAGAATAGCCATATTCTCCTTGTTGCATCTTCCACACCTCCGCACCAGGACCTGAGCTTAGCCATCCAGGCCTTCCAGGCCTTCCAGGCCTTGGTCAGCTTCCAAGGCCTCAGGGGTTGACCAACCTGGGCAACACCTGTTACTTGGCCTCGGTGCTGCAATGCCTGGCGCAGACGGAAAGCTTCGCCACAGAGCTGCAGGAGCTGAAAATCTCACAGCTGGGAGGCATTGGCCAAGCATTGCAGCGGCTTCTGGGGAACTTGCGACAAGAAGCTTGGAGCTGGATGGGAAGATGAAGGGTTTTTGTTTGGTAAAAAACTGAAGTTTAGTTCACAGTAAATACCTTTGAACTTGCGTTTTTAAAGATTGTGGTCAAGAATTGGATGGAGCTGAATGGCTGAGGTGGTGGTGAGTTCCTTACTTTGTGGATGTTAATGGGCTGGATGGAGCCGCAACTCAGGTCTCAGTGTTTCTGACTGCGAATTGTGGGCAGTATAGGATTCAATAGGAAGAATCGGAAACGTAACTTTCAGTAAACATCAACCGAAAAAGATGTGATAGACAGGATTGCTTGGGAGTCCCAGTTCCATCTGTTTTCATATTTTGAGAAACAGTCCCCCCGTAGGCTTCCAGGTTTTTTGTTCCAGCGACCCCAAGGATTCGCAGGCTTCGGTGGAGGACATTTTGGGCCAGTTGGCTGAAAGATACACCTGGTACCAGGGCAAGCACCTCGACAAAGGACAGCGGCTGACTGCCATTGCTACAACTGCGACTTGGGAGCCGGAGAGTGGCGTAGGTATATAATTCATATTGAATATTAACAAAATCAGAAATGGTGAAATTCTCCATTGTTGCAAGGAAAGCATAGTAAATCCATGTAAATCCTCATGTTTGATGGTATTTGAATGTATTTGATTTTTGCCATCCGCTTTCATTTGTTTTTCCTGGAGAATGATCAGAGGGAGGCATGAATTTGGCGTCAAAAGTTGTTGCTTTCTGTCACCATATTAGATTTTTAGCTGGGAATCATCCAATTGCCAATTTCCACATTATATCTTTGGGTAATCTAGGTGTAGATGAACCATACCTTCCCAGCCACCTCTGAGACAGTTCTCTACCTGCAGGCCTCATTGGCATTTTTTGGATACCTGGATGATTTGTGATAGGCTATATATGCTTATATGCCCTATTGGGGGGTTCATCCCAGACTTGGATGCAGGATGTAGAATTGCAGGATTTCACAGTACAAGTCATTCAAAAAATGAGGGGTGTCATGGAAAAAATGCCACCCGAAAGTCAAGACCAAAATCCCTGCTGATTATAACCAGGATTTACCGATGTCTACTATGATGTCTACCATAGTCTACCATGTTGATTGGGACTTGGACCCGTTGTGTCCTCAACCACGGCTGGCCAAGGTCGCAGCAAGACGCCCACGAGCTGCTGAGAACGCTCTTGGCCGCACTGGCGGATGAGCGGGAAGCAACTTGACGGGGGGATTCAGCGGTGGCCACCCGTATTGGATGGGGTGTTGTTGGGGGGCTTATGAACCACTCTTAGAAATACAATTCTTAGAAATACAACTTTTTTCATCACTATACCGACTATACCAAGAAATGCCAAGAACCATGTTTTAGAAGGGCCATGAAGGGCCTATGAACTTCATTCACAATCTACTACCAATCGATTCCTCTATTAGTCACAATTCTTGGGCGTCGGGGGTGAATCCCCATTGGTTGATCTTGTCGCTACGTCGCGACTGACCTTGTGGCGGCCCCGCATCGTTTCTTTCCTTAAGTGTTTGACCATCCATTTTGGGGTTTGATGTTGAGATATGTTGAGTGTAAGTGTTATGGAAAAACCATCTATAAATAAATATATATATACATATATATATATATGTATCAATAGTGAGTGAATGACAACGACAATGATATTCATGGAGGTTAAACGAACTTAATACTATTTAATGGATATGGTGGACCGTCCATTCCCATACATCCATATGAATTATCAATCATTATAGAACATTGTAGATGTGTGTTTTTCTTAATATTTCTTAATCATATTTAACATGATTTAACATGATTTGGCATTTTCATGAATTTTCTCAAAAGAAAACAATCTGCACATAATTATTTGCTTAAATCCAATGATTGGATGGGAAAGTAGGAACCGGTCACCTGTATTCCCGGTAAACACCAATCGGCTTCGCTGATTTTCCCTTCCAGCTGCAGCTCAGGTGAAAGAGGAGAAGGATGTGCTGCAGCGTTTCTTGCAGATTTTGTCGTGTGGAAAACAACCGTTTTTCAGTGGGGAGTTTAGCCATCCGTCATCCGTTGGGGTGACCATCCCCAAAAAATGGTGGATAAAGGGCCAAGGGCTGGTTGCTGCTTTCAAACATCACCTACCCTCTGGTAAACGTTAACATAAATAGCTATGTTTGTGTACCAGAGGGTAACTTGTATATTTGGATGATGATCCCCTTGTCATTGCAGGATCGAACCACAAATGGGTCTTGTTGAGAGCCTATCACGAGCTGAAGTCATAAGTTCTTTCTTGCCACGGGGTTCTATCACCACGTCATTCTAGACGGTGGTTTCGATCTCATTTGATCACATTTCACCACCGCCCCAACATAGATCCTAAGAATGCCGAAACACCAGGGGAGTGTCAATGCTACCCTCCCTTCCCAGGTACAAACTCTTCACCATTTTCCTTGGCAACCGAGGTTTAGTCCAGCGCAGCTTTCAGGGCCTTATCTGTGAAGCGATCCTCTGCTGGTCCTGTCGCCAGGTGTCCCTGCGCCATGCGCCTGGGCTTCGCGGTGAGATGGGTTCCCCAGCAATGCCATGGGAATGTCACAAACAAAAAATGTCATTTTGACCATGTGGCTTTTGAGACATCTGAAGGTCATCTGGCTAACCACAAACATGCAGCAACTTGTTGCTACCGTTTGCACTGCCAAAAGATCTTTCGAGGGTGAATGAAAATGCGCCCAGGACGTTGTAAAACAACAGATGTGGGGTCGGAAATTGGGAAGTTGAGAGGCAATTTGGAGGGACGGAAAATTGATATTTCAATATATTTCAACGACATATCAAGCTAGTCCAGCCGCTAGCCGCAGCTAATTCGTGGTACTTTGACGTAGCAAAAAATCGTGAAATCATCAAATTTCAGAGGTAAATCATCTATTTCTATGGCAGTTTTTTAGCTATGTAACAAATTACTAGAGATTACTAGAGGCTAATGAGGCTAATCATCGGCTAATCCATGGTCAATTTTACAGATGACACAAAAAAATAGGCCAAAAAAAAGGCCTACACTGACATAATTACAGACAAGATGCAACTAGTGAATTAGTCCACTATGTGCATGCAGTGTTTGAAAGAAGTACCGACTTTGGTGACGTGGTTGAGTACCTTTTTGTTTGGTGAGTTTTTTCATGCCACCATTTTTTCAGTGGCCATCGAAATGGGACCTAAATTGCAAGTGCCTACCATATATAAGGCCATAATTTTCAGGGGGATATGCACCCAAAATCTGCTTTGAACAATGGGTTTTCTCAATTTGGGGTTCTGAAATTCCCATGGATTTTTGTTGGATCCTCCCTGGAGTTGTCCACTGAGGAGTTCTTTTTGGACCTGTCCCTGGACATTTCGGAGCTGGACACTGGCCTTTTGGGCCTGCGCGGAAGTGCCATGCAGCCCTTGCTGGAGCTGCTGGAGGAGGAGGAGGACGAGGACGAGGTGCAGGGTTGGCTTTTTTAGCCTGGAGGAATCAAAGATCATGGGAGTAACCAACAAAAAATTGTGATTTAATGGGCTATAAGGCTATAAGTTAACTAAAATTTAATGGGCTTAATGGGCTATAAGTTATAAATAGAATATTAAGTTAATGTTGATTGGCTACCCGCCAATGATAATCAAACCCATCACCGATATTAAACAGACCCCGAAGCCATGGTGGATGTAAAGGATAGAAACAGCTCAGGACGCGTTGATTCCTCCATAGCTATGGAACTCATCAATTTTAAATGGGTAAATCAACGAACTAAATGGCCATCTATAGCACAAATTTGCGATGTTCAATTGCGGTACCAAGATCAATGGCTGGTTTCTGAACCAGCTCACCTCAGACACCAGAAAGCTTGACATCGTGGATGGGCCGATTCCTAAAACTAGGCCAATGTTTGGACCCATTTTGCGGGCTGCCAATATTTGTTTTTGGATCAGTGATAATCCCAATTTGTGCTTTCTCAGTGTTTCTCGTTCCATGACCAGGTTGTGGAGGTAAAACACCAGGTTGTCTCTATTTTTGCTGGCAGTTTTTGAAAGCTCCAGCACCTGGCACTCCGCTTTGCCTCCCTGAGGCAGCTGCGGTTGAAGAGCCAGTGACAGATGGAGACTTGACTCCAGGAACTGGGAATATCAACGGATGTACCATCCGCTAATCAAACGTGGCTGGCTGAAAAAAAACAGTGATGATTTTCTCATTGTAACCTCCATCTAGAGGGGATTGTCCAGCACGCCACGTGAATGACTACCGGATGGCAATTTTATATAATTCTATAAGCAGCTATAAGGATGTCAATTTTACATGATAAATGGTGTCACCAGTGTTTCTTCTCCTCATCACATCATTCAAGGGAATGGGAAGAAGGCCGGAAACGATGCGGGTTTTTGCCTGAAACTCATCCCTTTATTGCACATGTGCTGGTTGAGAATTGCAGGGTTTACACGAAAATCGACAGACCCCTTTGACACCCTCTGGATGTTTAACATAGCGATGGAAAATCATTGTATGGACAGACTCATCGCACTGACTAGGCCATGTATATCCATCTATACCACGGCAAAATCTTAAATTAGAGGGTTAGTGAACCCATAACATCCCATATTATTTCATGTTGTCATATTTCTCATATGATTTCCACGAAATAGTTGAGTATAGCATATGATACCCTCTGGTAAACGGTTACATAACTATGGAAAATCACAAATTTTCATTGGAAAATCCACTATTTCTATGGCCATTTTAGCTCTTTTGACATAACCAGAGGCCAAAAAATGGACGGTTCGCCCCCTGTTCGCCCCCATGGCTTCCGAGGCGAAGATCAAGTGATCGAGGTGTACCTGGAACGAGTTCCCGGGCGACGGATTCCCCTGGGCTTGGAGTGGCACGATGCCACCAAGCACAACTGCAAGGCGAGGATGGGCTAGGGATGGCTAGGGGGATATGGAAACCATGGACAATGAGTAAAATGCTGGATGTTCATGGATGCAAACATGGGATTTTCCAGATAGTGGGGGTATGTGTTCTATTGTTTTCTTTGGAAACGGACGAGTTGGGTAAATTGCCGCTGGATTTTTTTGCATTTTCCCACCAGAAACCCCATAGCATTGCCGCCTTCAATGTTTTGGTGATAAGACTCTGCTCCCAAGAACTAGCCGGCCTGGTAAACTAACAGTTCGCTATGGAAAATCACAATTTTTAATACGTAAATCCACTATAAATGGCCATTTTCAATAGCTATTTTGACATAACCAGAGGGTAACCATCATTTCATTATTAACCATAGTTAACCCCTTATTGACCATCTAGTTAAACCAATATACACCATAGATATTCCATACATATTTCCAGAGGGTAATCACCATGAATTCGCTGTTCACCATTAATAACCACCATTAATTGCCATTCATTCACTATGAATCACCATTAACCACCATTAATCCACTATTAATCACTATTAGCCATAGATATTCCCACTATTAACCACTATTAATCACCATTAACCACAATGAACCCAGATGATTTCCCGGTTTTTCCAGCAGGTCTTGCGTCGAGTTCACCCTAACAGCCTCGCAGATCAGTGGACGAGACGCAGCGGCCGGCGCCTGGTGGGGAATCTGCTGCTGCTGTCGGTGAACGGCCAGGAGGATGAGGAGGAAATCATGTGCCCTGGAAAGCCCTGGAAATCCAAGTTGGATCTCTTGGTTGGCAATCACTAGACTCTATATCAGACTCTATATCTATTTGGACTAGTGAATGTATGTCAATATGTATAATATATATATATATAGTATGGATTATGTTTACTAACCATAATTAATCTATCATAGATTTATATTGACTATGGAATGTAGAATGTAATTTGAAAAGTTAATTATTGTTAATTATTTGGAAAGTTCATGCTTAATAGTCACTGAACCCCCCCATATATTAAACACCTGCAAATTCCCTACTCAACCAGAGGCTTTCTGGGGGCCTTTTACATTGGAGACAGGGGAATCAGCAATAGTTGGAATGATCGCCACAAGTGATGGAATTTGGCGGAGTTTGAGCGTGTTTGATTGGGCGGTTTTTGCCTTGTAAGGGTAACTTCTACAGTAATCCCTTAATATCCTTGCTGTATGATTCTGAGTAAATTATAACGACCTCACTGTGACCTCACTGGAATCATGGTTAGTAAGGGAAATCATCCCCAAATGGCCTTAATTCAGGTTACTGAAGTATTATAATTTACCCAGATGATTTAGAGGCGGCTGTTGGAGCGGTGCCTTCACAGATGACCTTTTCGGACATTCACTGCTCCAGCAACAAAAACATTCGTCCAAGGGTGATGTTCAAGCATTTTTGGGACTTGAAGCTGGATAGGGTTTTAGGATGGTGGTTTTTGAGCTTGTTTGATTTGGGGCTGCCCTTGAAGGCCTGGTCCCTGCCCACCCTGCGACCGAGGCAGGCGTTGAAGGATGAAGCCAAGCTTCTTTTGCGCTTCGCGCCGGAGGAGGTTGTGAAGATTGATGGCATTGTTTTCAGATTTGGCGAGATTTGGGGGGAGACGCAACAAGGGATTTTTCAGAATGAGGTAATTTTACCAATGGATGAATATGGATGAATATGGGAGAATAGTGGGAAAATAATTGGATGCTTACGTGACAATTATAATAAATCATCCACAATGAATAGAGGTTTATGAAATTGGGTATGCCCATATGACTGGGATGATGTAAAATGACCCCGCTGTCCTTTCAACTTTGGGGTTTTTGAAGTGTTTCGAAAAACGGGCCATCTAGGATCTACGGAGATATTCATTGGGTACAACATGTCAAACCATCCCATCCAAATTTGCTGATGTCAATTTAGCTTTGCAGCAAATCTATCGACTTTTGGGGGGCCTTCCAGGAGACTTTCACTGCAACACGATTTCCAGTTTGCATTTTTGTTTTGGCATATTTAATCCGCTAATTACGCTAATTAGAGATGTTTTCCAACCGTTTTAGATATGTATGTAACGACTACTATATACAATTGTTTAACATTGTTTGACAACTGTTTAGAGGTCTCAACATGGTTTGTTGCATTTCTTACCCTTCGTGCCCCTTTTGTGTAACATCAACGCTGCCAAGGAGTGCCCGTGTCAATGACAAGACGCAACAGGGCTTTCAGATTGAGCTGCAGCGTGACGCGAAGACGCCCTGGGGCTTTCAGTTGGATCCAGTGGCTCTGGAAGAAGGCAGCGCCCGGGGGGTGAAGTGCGGTCAATGATGATGATTTTTATCATGCTTTATTTAAGGTGGTGTCCATAAATCATCATAAATGGTTGGAAGCTCCATAAGTTGGGATATAGCCCTTACAACTATGGTTTGTATATGCACTTCTTTGGGTAAATTATTAGTGACCTCACTGCGACCTCATTGGAATCATAGTTAGTAAGGGGAATTGTCCCAATAGTCAGTAGTCTTATTTCAGGTTATACATTTTTTAATTTACCCAGACTATTTGGTGGGTTCCATGAATGTGGATATCCCAATAGCTGGATGGTTTACAATGGAACACCCATCTATAAATGGATGATAACTGGTGGTGCCCCAATTTTAGGAAACCCCCATTTTCATCCTCATTTAACAAGGATAACCCGAATAAACATATGATACATCTGATGATATGAGTAATTATCGAAGGAAGTTTAGAAGTCAAACTTCCGACAATATGGAGAGATGAAAAGCAGAGCAGGGCAGAGGCACAGAGAAGAGGAAGATTAGAAGAGAGAAGATCAGAAGAGAAAGAGTAAGAGGACAGACGCTACAGATGCGCGAAAAGGTAGGAAAGTCGCGAAACACTGTGTTTTTCCAATGATTTGTGGCTCCGGAGGGTCGAAAAGTAGGCTCGCTAAAGCGGCGGGTGCGGAGCCAGCTGGCCATAGGAGCGATGAAAATTGCACGCCGTTGTGGCGCGAAGCACATTTCCAAGTCAAAATGTACAAAACACCAGGGGTCGGACCACTTTTGGAAGTTGAGATGTCGAAAAAGTGCACGCCGTTGTGGCGCGAAGCACATTTCCAAGTCAAAAGTGTTAAAAACTGGCGGTCTCGGACCACTTTTGGAAGTTGCGATGTCGAAAAAGCGTCGAAAAAGTGCACGCCGTTGTGGCGCGAAGCACATTTCGAAGTCAAAAGTGTAAAAAACTGAGGGTTTTGAGCCTTTTTCGACGTGAAGATGTCGAAAAGTAGACACTGATTAACTTAACTAACTTGACTAACTTAACTAACTTCACTAACTTAACTACCCTAACTTCGACGACAACAGCAACAGCAACAGCAACAGGAACAACAACAACCAACTACAACTACAACTACAACTACAACAACACCAACCACAACTACAACAACTACACAACAACTACAACTACAACTAGAACTACAACTACAACAACAACAGCAACAACAACAGCAACAACAACAACACTACAACTACAACTACTACAACTACAACAACTACAACAACTACAACAACTACTACACGACTACTACTACTACTACTACTACAACCACACTACACAACAACTACAACCACACAACAACTACAGCTACAACAACAACAGCAACAACAACGACAACGACAACGACAACGACAACGACAACAACAACAACAACAACTACAACTACAACTACAACAACTACAACTACAAAACAACTACAGCTACAACTATATGACTGCAACTACACTACACTAATTACATTACACCACAACTACAACTCCACTACGCTACAACTACAACTACAGTTGCAGTACATCACACTACATCCAGCAGTTGTGGGTGAGGTGACCACTGCAACCATTGCAACCACTCCAGCAAACACAACTCCAACCACCTTTCGGTCAATCAGTGGATTCGCTCTGCCATCCGTGATTCACAACAACCAACGTTTCCTATAGGTTTCCTATTCTGAAACTTCCGCCACCGCCTTGTGCGGTACTACTGGTAATAAGATGGTAAGTATTTGATAATAATATATGAGACAAATATTCTGATTAGTAAGCCATTGGGTCATGGGTGATGGTCAAAGATTTTTCGGACCTATTTCCATGAAATTCACTGGCAGCTCTCTAGATCTGGCTCGATAGATCTGTCAATGGGGGGCATATCCAGGGACAAATCTGGGGGCATCTAGAAATAGAGTGGTCTTTCTAGTGGTCATCAGATATTATGATGCTTTATTTCACCGAATATTTCCCTTTTCTCAATGCATATGTTGGTGAGTAACCGCGATGACTCATTCGTAACCTATCAAACATTGGGAGTGCAAAGGGATCTTTATCCAATATGCTGGTTGACTGATGTTGTGCAAAAGGCACATGATTTACCCTCCGGTAAACTAACACAACGATGGAAAATCACCATTTGTAGTGGGTTAATAACCCATAAATGGCCATGTTCAATAGCCATTGGTGTTTCTTGACGCCACGGCAGGCAACCTGATCGTAGCTCAGATTCTGCCCGATTCGGTGCTGGATGCATGGAATCTTTGCCGACAAAGATGGCAGCAATTTGAAAGTGGGAAAGCTTGGTATTGGTGCTAGGCAGGCACATGGCTCGCCAAGGCCAAGAATGATGAAGTCTTTGGGAAATCCATGTCACTAGTGATGATCAATCCAATGGATAATTAATGGATTATTATACTGTTTGGTGCTTTGGAACATGGCTTTTATTTTTCCATTCAGTTGGGAATGATAATCCCAACTGACGAACTCCATCATTTTCAGAGGGGTAGGTATACCACCAACCAGTAGATGATTTGTGATAACCATAGATGGTTCTGATAGATGTGAGCCATGATATTTGAGTTGGTGAAAACCCCTTTATCTTTGACTTGTTCGTTTGTGATTGTTTTGCTGCTTGTCTTGAGTATAGCCATGCCATGTACCCTCGCAAAATTTATCAAAATTTGCAAACCTCACGTGCTCGCGAATAGCAGGCACACTGGAGACCTACTCAACCCACCATTCAGTGAAATTGTAACATATTATGCCAGCTTCACAGACATATTATAAGTCAACATGTTTGGGCGTTTTTATCTTGAATGGTCAGTCCTGAGGATGTCCGCATCGTTCTCAGGATGGCGTTGAAGTTTCTGACCTGCCCAATTCGACCAGGATTTCAACAAGCGCTAATGCCATAGCTGGCATTGGAAAATCCCATGGAAGACCCATCATTAGAAGAAACTCGCAGCCATACCCTGGAGATGGTTCAAATATTTATTTTGTCATGTTTTTGTCGTTTTTTTTGTCATTTTTTTGTCATTTCAGTTGTGTCTGTCATTTTGTTTGTCATTTTTTTGTCGTTTTTTTTGTCATTTCAGTTTTGTCTGTCATTTTGTTTGTCATTTTTTTGTCGTTTTTTTTGTCATTTCAGTTTCGTCTGTCATTTTTTTTGTCATTTTTTTGTCGTTTTTTTTGTCATTTCAGTTTTGTCATTTTTCTGTCATTTTTCGAAGAATGTTTCAATCGTTTTCACTATTTTTGAGAAAATTGCACCAAAACGACAAAAAAATGACAAATTTTCCACAAAATGACAAAAAAATGACCAAAAAAATTGCACTTTTGCAGGTGGCAAAAATTGCATTTTTCTCGAAGCATTGTCATTGTTTTGTCATTTTTCTGTCATTTTTCGAAGATTTTTTCGATTGTTTTCACTATTTTTGAGAAAATTGCACCAAAACGACAAAAACATGACAAATTTTCCACAAAATGACAAAAAAAATGACCAAAAAAATTGCACTTTTGCAGGTGGCAAAAATTGCATTTTTCTCGAAACATTGTCATTTTTTGTCATTTTTCTGTTATTTTTCGAAAAAAAAATCGATCTTTTTCACTATTTTTAAGAAAATTGCACCAAAATGATAAAAAAAATGATAGAAAAACGACAAAAAAATGACAATGCTTCGAGAAAAATGCAATTTTTGCCACCTGCAAAAGTGCATTTTTTTTGTCGTTTTTTTGTCATGTTTTTGTCATTTTGTGGAAAAATTGTCATTTTTTTGTCGTTTTGGTGCAATTTTCTCAAAAATAGTGAAAACGATTGAAAAATTCTTCGAAAAATGACAGAAAAATGACAGACAAAACTGAAATGACAAAAAAATGACAAAAAAAATGACACACGAAACTGAAATGACAAAAAAAACGACAAACAAATGACAAACAAAATGACAGACAAAACTGAAATGACAAAAAAAACGACAAAAAAATGACAAAAAAAAATGACAGACAAAACTGAAATGACAAAAAAAACGACAAACAAATGACAAAAAAAAAGACAGACAAAACTGAAATGACAAAAAAAATGACAAAAAAAACGACAAAAAATGACCAAATAAATATTTTGATTTTTTCAACCTTTGCCTGCCTAAGTTTCTTCTAAACCCATCATTTCATACCACTTATACTGGCTGGTGGTTTGGAACATGTTTTTTTTCTCCATATATTGGGAATAATACTCCCAACTGACTGTCATATTTTTCAGAGGGGTAGGTCAACCGCCAACCAGTAGATTCGACGTTCATTGATTTTCCCACTCGACATCCCCCAGGAACCTTCGCTGCCGATCCATGGGTCGCAAACAGCAGCTGGTGCACTGCGGGGATAAAATCCTGGCGGTGAACGGTAGCCGGGAGCTGCAGCAGATGACGAAGGCCTTGAACAGCCAAGCCAGGTGCGCAAAGCGTGGCCTATGGGGAAAGACGTTAACAAAATGGGGGTACCAAATTAGCCATAGATTTACCCTATAGATTAATCATGGTATAACCACAGATGAACCATAGATTCACCATAGATTCACCAATTTATGTGCATATAGTAGGACTATGAATAATTATAGGGATATATATATATATATATATAGATAGAGATTTGAATATGAAGTGCGGGAAACCCAATGATACACAACTCACCATGACTGGGGATGGTTGAAATCGCACAACAAAAATGGTGATTTGTGGGGATTCTTGGTTGGGCTTTACCACATTGTAGTATCAATATGGATTCACCGTTTTATGGGCATACAGTGGGACTATGAATGGGGATATGAATGGGGATATCATCAACCAAGGGTTGAACAACCACCATAGGATACCCTAGGGTAACGTTTACATAAATGTGGAAAGACCATAGTGAAACCTGTTTGGAACATGATTTGCTTTCATTGTCTTCCACATCTACTGTATATACATCTATGTTTTCTGGGACCATGAATGGACCGTATCAACGGGGATATCATCAAGAGTTGGAGGCCTTACTCTGGGTATGATCCTGGCCTATTACCCTCTGGTAAACGTTTACATAACTATGGAAAATCACCATTTTTCATGGGAAAATTCACCATTTCTATGGTGATTTTCCATAGCTTCGTAAACGTTTACCAAAGGGTATGCCTATTAAAACCAGGCAGAAGAACGTGGTGCTTCTAGAGCCGGGGGACCGCAGTGGCTACAGCGCCTCGTTGTCGTCTTCGGCGCCGCCCACGGAGGATGCGACGTTTCAAGTGGAGCTGGAGTGGCTTGGAGCATCGGAAAATGGTGGTTTAATGGGATTTAATGAGATTTACCCTCTGGTGATGTCAAAATAGCTATTGAAAATGGTGATTTATAGTGGGTTTACCCATGAAACATGGTGATTTTCCTTAGTTATGTAAACGTTTACCAGAGGCTAGATCAACATTCCCAAGAGGAACATGTAAGTGAATCAATGGTATACGGTATATATATATACACACTGGTAGGACAAAAGTTGCGCTTGTTGAGCTTCCGGCAGTGAACACGTTTGGTTTCTTCTTCTGCACACCCTTTCCCCTTAGAATCCTAGCATGGAGCTTTGTCGTACCCCGGTCGAATTTCCACCCTCCAAAAGCTTTTAATCTTATAGATTTAAAAGCGGGTGATAATTCAGGGGCGTGCCCAAAAGCCAAACTGGGGCTGTCATTGTGTAGGAAATCAACCTTGTTTTTGTTTCACCATTACGGATTGTAGAGCTAATGAACGGGGAAATCAAGTATGGGTATATATCAACTGGGTATATACGCGAAACGCCTACTAACAAGAACGGACATCATGGATTTCGAGGTCCTCGAATGAATGATTGCCTGGAATGATGAGTGGAACGCGTCAATGCGAGGAACTATTCATATGATATATCAGCAAGTTGGCTACAATTTCGTGATAGGCCTTAGGCATATATGCCAACCATAGCGGGCTGCTTGTCATCCCGTTATTCCTGGTAGATGCCAGCAAGACTATCTTATTAATATGGTATTCCCATTATTAAAGCCATTTACGCACGGATTTCGATCCCATTATTGGTTGGCAGATGTTCTCATTACTCTTTCCTCGGTCTAGCATTCTGGAGCTCTATTGTTGCCGCTCTTGGCCCCACGGGACCAACAGCATCCGGCCGCAGGCCGCATGTTTATGATGGATCTATCAATTCCCGACGTGCAGCGTCAATGGGCATTCTACATATCTAAGGCATAATCGCTTAACTACATTTCACCACGTCCGTTTTTCCGCCCATCGTCTGGAAGGGATGTGGATGTGAGGGAGCGGAACGGAGTGGAAGAGGTGGTCCTAGGTATTTGATTTTGCTTGGCCGCATCTTACACATACAGATAGTATAAATATAAATATATATCTCTCCGAATAATTTGATGGACGAGGGCCGTTTTCATAAGATTTCGGTGGAAGAGATGGGTACAGAAAGAAGGATGAATGGGGGAGGGAGCAGATGGCTCTTAGGGTGCTGGAACGAAGCACACCCGAGGACATTGGCGTGGACAACGATATTGCAGTGCAGAGCGGTTTTGGCCATGAACCAAACGGGAGCAGGGTAGTGCAAAACACAACAAAAATACCCAATGCCAACGGCTAGGCCTGGCTTGGAAAAAGCACTCGCCGCACCAGGCGCGCAAAAAGCGCCCGCCCCAGGCGCGCAAGAAGCGCGCGCCCCAGGCGCGCAAAGAGCGCGCGCCTACATAGGCGCGCGAAAAGCGCGCGCCTTTATGTAGGCCCTACTACCGTTTGGTATAGGTGGTTTTAAGCAACGGAGGCAACAGTTTGACAGAAGCTGGGATACAACCCCAAACAGGAGGAACACACAGACTGGGATGATTTTCCGGCGGTATACTGAACCCATAAAGAAGCTGGGCGCCCGAAGGGGCGCCAGGCGCGCAAAAGCCGCGCGCCCTAGACCGCATGTGACGGAAGGAGTTATACAAGCTGAAGGCCCAGGAGATGGAATGGTGTGAGCTTATGTTCTCACTGTTGCAATCTAATGCATTTGGGTTGGCTGCTCATTGAGAAAAGAACTGAAAGCATATTTTTTTTGGCAGATTCTTTAATATCCGAAGGGTTCCTCAATATGGCTTCCATCTTGTTGAAACGGCTTTGTGGAGACTATTGAAATTGTGGACTTGCGTGTTGTTGTTTTTCGTGCTTGCTACGCAGAGCTTGAAAGAACAAGCATGCATGCCGGAACTTGAATGGACGCTTCAAAGGCCACCCTGGATGCAAACACATGGCAACACAGAACAGCTGCATCGCCAGCGCCTCTAGACCTAGGCAATCAGAGACCTTAATCCGGGCACCTTCCAGAGCTGTTCCGGGCATTCTGGATTGGGAATCCCACCAAGGAGGGTGTCGCTGTGACACCGTGCTTGGGATGATTCAAAATGCTGAATCCCACTTGGAAAGCTTAGATGGCTTGGACTGGCCACATATACAAGAGAAGCAGCTGAGGCAACAATGTTTCTTCTGATTGTGGATTCCGAATCCCACCAAGCAGGGTGTCGCTGTGACACTGTGCTTGGGATGATTCAAATTCATCAAAAGGACCAATACAGTTGAGACGATACGGGACTTGGTGGCATAGCCGCTTGAAGAGAAAGTGTTTCTACCTTTTGGCTTGTCAAAAGAACGCGTAGAGCAGAAGATATAGAAACGATAGGCAGTACAATTTTGAGCGAACCAAGGCTTTAGATTTTAGAGTGCCACATAGTTGGACACAATTTTGCCGGCAGCACCGAAAAAGATTTGCGTCCTCTGTGATGGAGCATGCATGTGTTTCTTGAGCCCAAAGGAAATCAGCTCTTGGTGCGAGCAATGAATGCTATTGTTTTCGCACCCACGTCGCAGATCAAAATTCAAGCCATGTGCTGCTGACGGCTACAGCCGGGAAGAATGGCTGCGTGCCACAGTGGCCAACTGCTATATTCGCGTTCCGTCGCGTTGCAGCATATAATGTTGTATGTAAGTCCTCCGCCATGCCCTTTCCAGTCGGCTTTGGGGGGGGTGCTGTTCTTGGCTGGGTCTTCATCTTTTGTGCCGTCTCCAGTCCAACCTCATCGGCATTCTCCGCCTTCTTCCCTTCCATTGCATCCCGGCAGCTTACGCTTGCAGTTCCCCAATGCCTTTGTTGGTGAAGCCGAAATCCAATTCCACAATGGCCCAATGATCTACAACTACCTCTGCTAGACTCATGATGTGTGAGCGCGATGAAAGTTTCCAAACTTTCTCTTGAAGTCAGCTCAGCAGTGGCAAATCCAGACACCGCACGGCTATCACCTTAAGACGCAATGCGAAATTCCGAAATTCACCGGCTGCGCCTTGACGCTGGAGATCTTAACCTTTCACTCAAGATGCACCTGCTCCCATGTGCTGGACTTGAGTGAGATAGGCAGGGGCCCCAGAAGTCATTGGGCTGCAGACATTTGGAAAAATATTCCCATGCGAAAGACGGCAACTCTGGCAACGGCTTCAGGTGTTCTTAGGGGGGCTCAGATAGGAATTCAAAACGCTGATAGCGAAATCAGGGCCTGCGGCGCGCACACCGCCACAGGTTCTGCAACAATGTTCTCCAGCACTTCATATTTCACAAGCCATCAATTGAAGTTTGCTGGTGCGACGACAGAACGTGTGCAGGTGAAGCATGAATCCTGAGCCTTTCGGTTCCCTATCGCTATCGGCTTGCAGTGTGTTCTTGAGCCGCTCAGCATCAGTGAAAACGGCCTTACTTGATTGCAATGTGACAATGTGTTCCCTCAATTGCCCGGTCATCTTCTCAGGGACGGTGCTTGCTCGTGACGGGCGGGATGACTATAGCGAAGCATTGTTGCCAAGCAAACTTCACCTGGAACAGGGGAAGCGCCTGCTCCCATTTAATCTTCTAGTACTGGTAGATGGTCTGATAATTAACGAGTAAGTCCCACAATCCAAAACAGTAATTTAATGAAAGCATTGATAATCGATTATTATAGCTGTTACCAGGTGTCATTGTGTTTGCAACTCTTTAAACTTAAGCTGTGGGTGCTACTGTGGTGGTTCATTCTGCTTCAACCTGGGTGGACCCATCGCCACTGGTGGCGATGATGTAGGGGCTTGTATTTATCCACGGATGATCGGGCTGAATTCTGATGGCCTCAAAAAAAGGTTCGGTAATGTTTTTTTTTGCCATGCCTTTTGCTGTCATATTATTGGTCGATGCGAATTTGCTTCGCAACTGGAGAAAAACAACCAATAGCCAACCCCACGGTCAAACTGCTGTTCCTACATAGTGGCTGTTGTTTCGAAGTTGTGGGAACGGCCCTGTAATTGACCGTCCCACAACTGCCACGCGAAATGGACTTCGAAATGTGATCCGCGGTTGACCGAGATGGATGCTTTGTCAAGCTTTCAAGAAGCATAAACTTTGTTCCTCCTGAAGTATATGCATAGGTACATGTAGGTAAAATGTGGTGAAACAAATGTCATGGCCCGGTTATGCAGGTAAAATCAATCACATTTTGCCCAAGACCTTTTGGAGTCCTTCAAACATGTTTGGCTTTGACAGCGGTTGCGAACAGGGCAGGACATGCCAATGGTGCACAGGCTAGTTTTGATGCGCAATGCCGCAATATTATGCACTCTGCTTGAAGCCTTGGCATGTCCTGTTGAATATATGGATTTGTGCATTCCATTCAGAGGGGGTGCATTATTTGGTAGATTGGACGAAACCAATCCCAGGATTCCCGATTTGGATGAAATATTTGATTGGCAGATATGTTTGTTTATATGCTCGGTTGAGGAACGCTTTCAAGGCAACCAGTCTTGCGGTTTCTCACACACACATTTATTGCTACCAGGAGCCTTCCCACGATTTAGATTGAATCATAAATTGGTACATGAGAATGTTGTAGAATTATAGGATATAATGATATATATATATATACACAATAATTAGGTTGGTTCGAATTTGAAGAACTACTGTGTAGTGGTACATCATTTTTCAATGGGCTGAACACATGTTTTTCCCTTCCTTTATTTGGTGGTGCCATGGTGCGAAGATGTCACAGGCCTATCGCATCGATCAGCTGGGGATTTCAGTGCCCGGGCTCAACCTTGGTCCATGGGTCTACCGAAGTCTACCAGGAGATGGATACCCTCTGGTAAACATACAAAAAGCTATTGAAAATGGCTATTTATAGTGGATTTTCCTATTGAAAATGGTGGATCTTTCCATAGTTATGTAACAAATTACCAGAGGGCATATAGATTGCTACTTAAATGGGTACAACTGGAGTGATGAGCATTTTGAAGATTGATGTTTTTTTGGGAATGTTTAGGAGCTAATGTTTGCCAGGAGCGAGAGGTTCCAGGTGACAAGCAGGTGGCCGGGTCGTGAAACAAAGCAACTCTTTGCGTTTTTACAATGTACATCAAAATAAAATGTACATATATAGAGTATAATCTATTTATATATATAAATATATTTGCTATATGCATATCTGCTAAGTGTCTCAAATGATCTCATTTTGTACTGCGAATGCTATTTTCGTGTACATCAGACCGTCACCTCGCAGGTTGGAGCGGATGGATGGCGAGTCCGATGTGGCGCGGGTGAAAGGCCTGGAGGAAGGATCTCCGGTGGCTTCTTAGCTGCGGATGGTCGCCTGGGGAGCCTGGATTTGGTGTGAAGGTCTGGATCAACTTGATATTAATTGTTGGGGAAAGCCCTATAGAGAATCCTAGAAATGGGTGGTTTATATATATTTTTTTACCAGCCCTCCAGTCATGATTGGTGAATGGGGGGGTTTATTGCATATGGTTTACCATATGATATGTGAATATAGCTGTGTCCAGACGGGATCACACGGGTAGTTTGTCCCCAAATGGTCATTTTGAACATGAGGATTCACCAGAGGATTTGGGGGTCCCTTTTTTCAGACAGAACCATATTAATATATTTCACTTTGTTTCTTTGCTTCTTGAATCGGACATGATTCTTGAATCGGACATGGTTGAACCCAATGATATTGACACAACATAATTGCTCAAAAGAACCCAATAGAACACTTATTTGATCTTATTTTCGATGTCGAGTCATTTCCTTCACCCGTTTCAGGAACCACCAGGCACCGCGTTTCAAGCCCGGCCCCTGATTAGGCCCTTTGGAACATGGTCTGCCGGTCTCGCGGCGACGAACACCTCTGTGTGGAAGCAGATGACGTGTTGCTGGACGCCAAAAACGCCATGGCTGCAGCCAGTAGCTGGGTGAAACCGCTTCCATCCATGGCATGATGTTGGATAATAGTATAATATAGAGTAACAACTGGTAACAACATAGTTTATAGATGTTGATAGCATCATATATGAATGGATCATAGTGAATTACCTGGATCTTCGAAAGGACAATCAAAGACACAAATAATTGTCCCTTGCAAGATTTCTGCCCTCAAAGCCTTAGGGATTATTTCCTGCGAAGGACGCGGACTGTTCAATTTTGTGCTGGGCACCTTTTTGAAAAAAAGAACTCATTTTCTTATGTTCCTGGTGCGAAATACCCAGGCGGAGTCAAGATGTGTGAAAATTGACCTGTTTCTATTTGAAATGGACAAATTGAGAAAATGGAGTGAAATCGGATCTGCCCTGGAAAGAAATTGATAACCAATGAAGTGCTTGGTGAATTTCATTACATGGTGGAGTCTTAACTATCATTCTAAATCATATATCATCCCCAAATGGTAGCTTTATCGCATTGGGTAAACACATTATCATTCACCATGTCAGCAATTATACACCATTATCATGGTGAACGATGTCTTACTCCTAATTTTATAAACAACAAACCACTACTTTAAAATATTATAATTAAACATATATAGATTATTCACCATTATGATTCACCATGTCTTGATTATAAACCAATCATTCACCATTATTCACCATTATTCACCATTATTCACCCTTATTCACCATTATTCACCATTATTCACCCTTATTCGGGGTATGATTGTTTCATTCACCGTTTTATTCACCATCAGTCATTATTAATTGTAATGTTAGAATGTTCAATTATTGCCACCATTCATCCACCATTTATGATCATTGTAACCAACATTAACTCTTCTTAATCCACTATGAATCAACATTAACCAACATTAATATACATTATAAGCAACATTAACCCACTATTAATCCATATATTCATCCACTATTAATCAACATTAATCCATATTCATCCACTATAGAGGATTATGGATTAATAGTGGGTTAATAGTATCCATTAATCCATTAATCATCCACTATAAACCCATGCTGATCACCTCACCTTGTCCGAGGCGGCCGGGACCGCCTTCGTCGCTTCACCCTGCGTCGCTCCCGGGATCGGCAGGCCTCGGTGCGCGCCGCCGGGTACGGGGACCGGTTCCGCTCGGGGCCGCCGGCGACGACGGGTGCCGCGCGCACGGCGGAAATGGAGGACCGGTGGCCGGGCCGGGCCGGGGAGCCGCTGGGGAGAGAAAGGTCCAAGTTATATGGGTATTTTTCCGGCGTTTTTTTTTTGGGGGGTGGATGAATGATGAATATGATGATATATGATGATATATGATGGTGGTGATGGTGGTGGTGATGATGTTTGGCTGATCATGTTTTGAAAGAGGCCTAGAAATGTTGGAAGCGGATTGAATGAGCCCCGTGCTTCTGACCTGGCGTAAACCATTTGGCAATCTCAAATCCAAATCATATGCGGCCCAACCAAAATTCCAAAACCTTTCGAAATCTCAATGGCATTTAATGGCTAATGGCAAACATCAATAGTAAACTTCACGGCAGATCATGCTCCACTACATTTGTTCGTATATGCAATTATATGCATCTCTAATTGAATATACTCCCGTGATTGCCTCATCAGAGGGGGGTAAACCCAATCTTGATTGTTGGTGAAATTCCATCATTCCATCAGCATCAGCAACGATGAGACATCGATGAAGGATGTGACACGCCTGGCTGTGTGTGTTGGGTGGAATTCCCAAGGATCAGTCCCTGCACCCCGGTTAGATGAAAATATACACCACAAAACCATGGTTTCTGATGGGAAAAAACGTACGGGGGAATGGATGAATCAGAAAATGATTGGTTTAAGATATTGGTTTGATATTGGTTTGTTATAATATTTTACTAACATTTTATCACAATTCTATCACCAAAATAACCATTCCATCATCAAAATAACAAGTCTATCACCATTAAATTAATGTCCCATGAAATTATGATGAAATCACAAGTTTTGATATATTGGGATCAATCAAAAACTGGGAAAAAATATTGTAAGTTTCACCAGCCAAACTTGGGGCCCGCAAGTGGCTTCCAACCCGAGAAAAGGCAACATCTAAATATTCTGAAAGCTAAATGACTAATTTTACCCACCATAGTAGTGATCATCCGCAATCAACCCCAGGGTCATTCACACGTGGGATTTTCCAGGCATGTATTATCTGAAAAAAAAACGCAATGTGGTGCCCCCTAGTGATGTTTGCTGATTGAGTTGACACCATTAAGTAATATTAAGTATGATTTGATGCCACAACAAACCCTAGCGAAATATCAGTCATGAACCAATTTAGACTTCACGAGTTGGGTGCAAGTTGGATAGTTAACTCATGTTAAGTCCCTATTGTTGTTTTTTAAGTCCCATGTTTCATGTTTAAATCTCTCCAACATCCCTGTTATTTGTCATCTATTTGGTAAGATTTTCCCATATTTCGCGCGACACCCATCTATTTCACCATGCCAATTTGGAGCTTTCCAAAAATTTTGGAGGTACCCCTAAATCAATCGAATTGTATATCCCATATATTTATAGGTTTTTCATGGTTTTTCATAGGGTTTTTCCATTTTGCACCCATGAAAAACATTGGAAAAACGCTCCCGAGCCATCCACAGGACCTCCGCCAGGCCATGCTCCACGCTGCTGACGGCTGCGCCGCGCAGCTCACGGCCACGGCGTCGCCGCTGGCGGCGCTCTTTGGGGCGACGGGGACGGTCTCCGCGACGGTCTCCGCGACCCCGCGGGCGGTGCTGTGGCGCTCTGGAAAACTTGGGGTGGTGATAAGTTGATGGGATGAATATGTTTTTTTTTGTGGGTAAAACATGTCATAATCCAGCCATTTGGGTTTTATCCACATCATATGTGATTATATAAGTATTATATGTACTATTAAACATATTGGAGAATAATAATCAAAGAGCTATTAGTGAAATTATGTGAATATTCCTCCAATATGGGTTAATTATATATATATAATACTAATGCATACTATCAAACATATTGGGGAATTCATCATAATCCATGATGGGAACCCCCCTGCCATCAGCGGCGACCCAGGTGTGCCTAGCCGACTGTGTGCGCAATTTGGGATCCATCGAGGCATTGGAAGCTTGGCTTTGGAGATTTCCGGGCCGCCACGGATCATAAGGGGTTAGTAACTGGTGCTAAAATCAATTTATAATCAACTTAGAAATTGATGGATAGTCATGGATAATTGGTTAGTACAGCAATTAGTCATTATAATAATCAACTTATAATAAACTGATCAATGGGATATAAATGGGATAATGCATGACAATCCGTTCACCATCCGTGGGATGATACTCCAAGTAGCCATGACTGGGAGTCAGTTTGAGTCATTCCAAATAAGGGCATGCCCAATAGGGGTATACGGTATATCATTTTTTTCGAAAATAGTGAGCCTCAATCAGGGATAGTTTATCATTGGGTAAAAAACCTTCGTGAGAGTCCAAAATTAACCCAGGAGCAAACTGAGGCATTGTTCCAAGTAGCTTTCCAAGACTGATCTACTAAAAATAATTAGATATGTTGGGGTATGAATCATGCAACAAGATCCTCAGTTTCCCTGGATATATCAGCAGTTTTTCTAATGATGACCTTAAACCACTGATCTTAAGGGGCAATTGGGGTTCTTGAGCCCCATTCAGCAAGGAGGTATAGACCCGCGTGCTCCATGTCTGGTATGAATAGCAACATGTATGCACACATGACCAAATGATACCAAATGTAGGTTGCCTAAAATAGAGTTACCCCAAATCATCCAAGGCATGACCATTTTAGCATTGAAACAACCATGGTGACGACTGGGGATCCAGGCCTTGGTTGAAGCCTCCAAATCTCGGGCAAATCTATTTCTGGATTTGCCGATTTAAAGGGTAATGAACTGGGGAACTTATAGAAACTATAGAAAACCATCCCAATGATGATCATTAAACACATATTAAAAAAAAACAACATCCATTTCAACAACCTAAGGAGGAGAACTTTCAGCCCATCTACCACTGTTCCTGCTGTGGCAGCGACGCAACACGGCGCTTCGCATCGAAACGCACCTGGCTGCAGCAGCTGCCACCCGTGCTGCCAGTGCAGCTTAAACGCTTCAGATTTGATGCGCACACCGGCAGCTTCCAGATGCGTGGAGAAATGGATGGGTTTCATGTGGGTTTCATATTGTTTAATGGGATTATATCAATGGGAATTATCTTGATCTGGTTGGTGGTTTCGAACAGTTTTTATTTTCCATAATATATGGGATAATCCTTCCCATTGACTTTCATATTTTTCAAGATGGTTAAAACCACCAACCAGTAATGGTAATTGACTGGGAATTATCATGGGGATTTCATGGGAATCATGGGCTTTGATGATGTTTTTTTTTTAAATGGGATTCACCGAAAATCGGATATGAATGGGATATAGGATATATATATATATATTCATTTGGGTTCACCCAATAGTAAAGGGTGGTTTTCATGTGAAATGGGAATTTCACCAGGACAATTGGTGAGTTAGGTGGGAGAGGTCCTCAAAAAAACAGGGTGAAAATGGCAGGCTTGGAACACGGGAAGGTTAATGCTTAGCTGGCAGCATTTTTTTTTGTGGGGGGCTGGGTATTTAAGATTTGCCATGATGTGAGCGTGGATTGAATCTGAATGGGATGGTGAGTTTGCCGAATGTGCCAAGCACCAATAACTATCCATTGATTGTAGATGCAGTTGATGTCTGCAGGGCTGTCACCATTTTTTTAGCAAATAAAAAAAGTACACTATTCGGATGATCAGATGATTCCTTTGGGTGTTCCAAAGTCTGTGGGTTGTTGCCCCCATCGACTTGCTGGATTTTGTCCCATCGTTAGTATGGATACAGCCTGAATCCACTGTGGATGAAATGATGCTACTTCAACTGTTCTACGAATTTGTAAATCTGATGTGTTTAGCGGATAGTTTGATGTTTATCAGATAATTATTGAAATTTCTAGTTGTGGGTTATGTTATGTACTTTTCCCCGAAGTATTCCTTTTCCTCTACTACAAGTTGGCGCCTCCCGGTTATATATAAGTTGGTTTATAAACTCCTAACCCTCTTTAGCCTACTTAGAAAACCAACTTCGCTAACTATGGGGCACCATTTTGGATAGTAAAATCCTGAGAGAGACAGAGAGAGATAGACTTTGTTTTTTATATGTTTTTAATTTTTAGATTGTGTTTATTGTTTTTGCGTCCCAGGTCCTTATTGTCCTAGATGATTTGGCCATACTATTTCGGACCCATGTTTTTTGTATTTCGCAACGATGCTTCCCGAGGAAGTCAAGGATGCGCATCCAGACAAGCAGCACGTTGGATTTGAGTGAGCTGCTCCTCTCTTCAGATGCTCGGTCGGCGGCTGTGTCTCGCATCGTTGGTTGATGATTTTCTAGTCATTTTATTATAGGGCTTTGAATGGCTTTGAAACCATGAACATATGGGAATATAAGTGGAACTGATACATGATGGTTGGTTGATGATTAGTTGATGGATTTTACTACCCTTTACATTGGGCATTATCAGAATCTATAATGAGAATTTCGTTCTTAACCAACCAGTCCCTTGCTCAATATAGAATGTTAAAGGTACTTAACAAATCTCGGATAAACAATAGAATATATATATATATATAATATATATATACATATCATATATGGAACTATCACATGTGCATGGAAGCGTCTTTGTCCTCAAGCATCTTTCGGGTCAAGTGCCCATGCGGGCTTGGTTGGCTGAGGTCCTCTCTGAACTTAGGTGGTTTACTAGCGGTGGGGACTGTGCCATAAGCTTTCCTCTTTTGCTCTTGAGCTGCATCCTGTGCTGGGTTGCAGGCTTGATAACTGGGGTGGCTGCTGCGGTTTTGTGCCTGTCTCCTAGCTGCAGGCGCTTAGTCGTGTTGGTGCTGCAAGGTGCGATCACTCTCCTCAACCCGATTCAGCAAGTGGTGCCCTCTCGTGATTTGCAGAGGCGCTTGAGTGGGTATCGCACCGGTGAATGAACGAAGAGGAGACTCAGACAGGGGTTGAAGAAATTGTGTTCCAGTTGGGGAATTTGACTATCTCTGTTAGATCCACCACCAGTTCACCTCCTGTTTCTGTAGCCCCCGCAAGTTCGGTCAGTGCCGGGAATTCTCCTCAACGTGTACCCCTTGCAGGGCCCTTGAGGCCTCAGGTCGTCACCTCACCTCCTAGGTCATCTGCTAGTTCTACTGCAGTTTTAGGAACGGGTCCACCTGAACCTTGGACGCCTGCTTGGAGAGTTCAGCTGCTGCAAGCCTCTACACCTGCTGCACTTTGTGAAGTGGATTTTTCCCCAGTGGATCATTTGGCTGCGGCTTTGCGGTCAGCATCAACTGAGTGGACTCCACGTGCTCGCGTGACTAGGGCTCTGCGGGCAGGTGTTTCTGCTCGCCAGCGTCTGGACCTGGAAGTGGGTGCTGTAGTGCCATCTCCTTCGGTTGGCCTTGGCAACAACTACTACGTGGTGCTGCGGGCTGCTCCTTCTCACTCGGCTGGCTGGACTTGCTCTTATCGAGCTTACCGATTGCGAGTGCGTGGAGCGGACTTGGATCGCTTTCATCCAGACAGTGTCAGTCACGCTTTCCCATCGCGTGCTGAAGCTGAGGCGTATCTCATTGGGGCCGGTGAGGCATGGCCGCCCCGGTACGAAGGGGAAACCTGAGTGAAGAAGCCATCAGGGCTCTGCTTGAGGCGACAGACCCTGGAAAATTAGCCTCTATTTTCTTTGCTCCTCCTGCTGCGGAGGGTGCTGCTCCGATTACTGCGCTGGCTTTTGTGATCAGATGTCGTCCAGGCGGCTTTATGGTTTGCTTGCCTGCCGAAGAGCAGGTGCAGGCTGCTTTGGATGCGGCGCCTCTGCGGTATGCTCAGCAAGTGTGCATGATCACCATTGGGGCCAATCGAGGCCGCAACACTGCCGAGGTCGAGGCCGTTTTGGTAGACTCATCCTGGGATGCTTTGGAGGATTTTTCCAAGGTGACTGCTTTGCGAGGCGAGGCTGCAAGGACCTTGGTGAAGTTCAAGCTTGGTGCGTCGGGGGCTGCCCCCATGCTGGACAGCGTGATTGCAGATGCTTGGATCGCCGAAGCCATGGCCGAAGAGACGGCCGCCGAGTATTTCACTGGAGACGAGTTTGCAGACCCCGCGATCGATGGGGAGCCTTTGCCAAACGGTGCTGTGGATGCCGGCGTGGTGGATCAGCTGCAGAATCGTGTTCTGGAGTTGGAAGCTCAGTTGGCTGCCGCCGCGGCCCATCCTCCTCGACATCCTATACCTGGGACTCTTGGCGGAGGTTTGCTGTCCGGAGCTCCGAGGGTTTCAGCGGCTGCTCCCACCGTTTTGGATCGTATGCGCGCGCTTGCTGGAACGGGGCCTCCCAAGACTGCTGCTCACGAGCGAGCCCTGGCCTCGTCACATGCTCTACCTCAAGTCGGAGCTCTTCAAGAGGAGCAGCTCGAGGTTGTCGAGGACGACGATATGGAGCAGGCGCTCGAAGAGGCCATGGCGGTTTCCACGGACCCGGTCCACAAACTGCTAGCTCTGCAGATGCGGCAAGCACAGCTGTTGACAAAGCAGTTGCAAGCCAAGCAGAGCAGCGACCCCATCCAGTCCCTTCTGAGCGGAAGCGACGGGGGAAGTTCGGGTGGCGGAGGGACCAGTATAAAGGGCTGTTTAGCTCGAGAGGCCTATGTGAAGATTTCAGCAGATCTGGTGAAACTGGCTTCGGTGGGAGAGCAGAACGCAGCGCTGGATCTTGGGTTGCAGACTGCGCAGGTGACTCCCGGTCTCCTTCAAGATTATCTGGAGCGCAGAATCCCATTGGGGGATCACAGACTGCTGACTCAGTTTGGCTACATCATGAGCCATGCCTTCGAAGCGGGAGCTCGCAGCGGCAATCGCGAGCTGCAAGGTTTTGCAGTGAAAGGGATGATGTTTGTGGAACAGGCAAGCCTGGATGGAGGGAAGACCGGTCTAGCATGGTTACTTCTGGGCATTCCAGAGCCAAACTATGCTGTGGTGGCGCGCAATCGAGTGCGCACTTCTCTGCAACCATGGACCCGTTTGGCGAGCCCGAGCTGGGTGGCAGCCAATGTCTCCTATCTGAAGGACATGGATGTGATGGAGAGCAGGATTCTTCAAACTGGCAAGACCAAAGACGTCAAGGATGTGAAGCCCCAGGACGGCGAGCCAAAGGGGAATCCCAATGCAAAGAAGAAAGCAAAAGGCAAGGGCAAGGGCGAGCCCGCTCAGCCCACAGGAGAAACCACTGCCTGAGGGGCGGGCTGACTTCTGGCACTGGAAGTGAAGTTTTGAGAGATTCTTTTTCAGATTCTGGTGCTGGCGTTGGCAGATCTGAGGGTGCAAAGGCAGGAGTGGCAAGCAGTTTGAAGCCTTGCCGCGATGACTCGCCGACAATTACTGGTGAGCGGCTGCCTGAGGAAATTAGATGCAGTGCAATTGTAGACTTCGTCATAGCCTCGGTTGTTCAGTGTCATGCTGGTTTTCCGGAGTTTTTGCGACGAAGTCTGACACGCCGTGTGTGCAGCATTGATGCCTGCAGTGCTGATCTTTGGCCATGTCCCCCACCAGCCTGGCGATGGACTGGCTCTGCTCATTTGTCACCAAAGCGGAGACGCAGACGGAGATGGCTTCAGGCAAGAGCGAAAGCTTTACAAACCATTGTGGTTGCCCTGAATTGGTTGTCTCTAGGTCACTGCAAAAGTCCCCCAAGCCATGCTAGGTTAGGCTCCCCTATCTCTCCTCAGCAATTTGTCATGTTGGAACAGATAGAGGGCCTGGTCAGTCATTTCCTTGCTGCTCCCGATGTTGGTAGAGCCGAGCTTGGGCGGGCTGGTGATAAGTTAGCAAAAATTTGTAGTGCAGCAATTCAACTTCCAACTGTGTCTTTTGATGATGTTGATGTTGGCAGTTTTTTAAGTGACATTCAGCACACCTTGGATCCGTATGGGCAGCCAAAGCGTAGTGAGAATCCAGCAGCTTTTCCACAGCAGAGCTCTTTTGCGTCTTCCTCTCCGAGACCCGACAAGGAGAGCAGCTCACTTGGCCAGCAGGTCTTTTTGAATATAAGTCCAGCCAAGCCGGTGTTGGCGGATCGTATAAAATGGAAGTTGGGGCCTTCTTTTGATCCTACTCCTTTTTTGTCAGATCCAGTTGTCAAGAAAGCTTTCCAAGATCCCAACGTACTCAGACGGCCTGCAGCCAGTTGGCCCGTGCGGAGGCGGGCCAAAGTGCATTGCTCTCGACAGGAGCTTGTCCGATTGGCTACAAAATGGGATGCTTTGGGCGCTTGCAGATTGATCCCTACTTCTTTGATTGACCCCTCTGAAAGCGTGGGGCTATTTGCAGTCAGCAAGGACGAGGAGTATGATCGGATTATAATTAATCCCACTGTTATTAATTCCCGGTGTTTTGGGTGTAACTCTTTTACTAAGACTCTGGCACCAGGGCATTTGGCAGGGGCTATACGTTTACGGGATGATGAGAAGCTGGTTATTTCCTCAGACGACCTTTGCGAGTTTTACTATACATTTGTTGTATCTGAGCAGCGTGCAGCTCGCAATGCAATTGGAGTGGTTTTCAAGGGGAAGGAGTTGCACCATTTGAGTTGCTACTCTTCTGAACTTGCTGATACCTCTGTTTACATATGTCTGGCTACGTTAGCAATGGGAGATTCTTTGGCGGTTGAGATTGCACAACAAAGTCATTTTAACCTGTTGCGGGCAAAAGCTGGGAGCATGTTATCTCATGAGGTACTACAGTATCGAAAGACCATACCACGCGGCCCTTTTTATGAACTTCTTACCGTTGATGATCATATTGGTTTACAAAAGGTGCCCCGATGGCCGACCAGTGAGTTGATTGACACACAGCGGGACATTGAAGTTTTTGCGGCAGCGGAACGTGCTTATCAAGATGTTAAGCTAGTGGCTCATCCTGGGAAAAAACAAAGAAGGGTGGCATCAGCTACAGTTCTTGGTGCTGAGATTGACGGTACCGAGGGCAAAATTTCTGCACCCCGCAGCCGTATTGCTTTGTTGATGTTTACAACCATGCTGATTGTCAAGAAGAAGGTTGTTACCAGACGCATTTTACAGAGCCTGTTAGGATGCTGGATTCATGCATGCCTTTTCAGACGACCTATGTTTGCTGTCATGGATTGCATTTTTTCTGAAGGGATTTCTTTACCACCTGATTCCACCTTCCAGTTGAGCGCCATGGCTGTTAATGAACTCATGCTGCTGCTTGTGTTGGCCCCCCTTTTGCAGACTGACATGCGTGCGAATGTGGGTGAGGCCATTTACATGTTGGACGCTAGTCCCACTGGCGGAGCTATCTGTCATGCGAAATTGGGGGTAGAAGCTTGCGAGGAGCTTTGGCGCCATTCTGAACAGCGAGGTTACTACACTACGCTGCAGCAGGGCAGCGGACTGGTACTTAGAGAGCTTGGGTTGGAGCATGAGGAACTGTTTGGCCCTGAGGTCCCGTTCTCTGAGCCTCCGGGCCCAGGGGTTGTTTCTCAGGCTTGCGAGCCTCTGTCTGGCAGTTATGAATTTGACTGCATTGAGCTTTTTTCTGGTCAGGGAAACTGGAGTGCTGCCCACTCGAGAGTGGGGTTGAGGGTGCACCCTGGTTTTGAGCGGTCTGCTGTGACCATAGCATATGGTGATTTGGCCGATGATGCTACCTTCAGGGAACTAGCAGAAATGGCCGATGCAGGCGTTGTGAAGGAATGGCATGCTGCTCCTCCATGTTGGAGTTTTGGAACGCTGCGGCGTCCTCGGCTCCGCAGCAAGCTTTGTCCTGCTGGGTATGATATGTCTGATTCCCTTACCCGTGAGCAGACGCTGTTGGCGGTGCGGACTGCTTTCATTTTGATTTTGGCAGTGCGCAGTGGATGTTTCATTTCAGTGGAGCAGCCGGGCTCTTCCGTGATGTTCTACCTGCACATTTATCAGGTGTTGCTGTCTATGGGCTGTAGGGTGACAAAGTTTTGTTTTTGCAGCTGGGGAAGTGGATTTATGAAGCCATCAAAATGGTTGCACAACAAGCCCTGGCTGGATGAGCTTGCAGGTCAATGCAACTGCCAGTTCAGGGCACAGCACTTTGTGGTCCAAGGCTCTTTCACTCGAGCTTCAGTGCGTGAGTTTGACAGGCGGTGTGTGCCTGGTGCTGAGGAAGTGTATGGGCGTATGCCAGAAGTTGGCGAAGCAGTTAGTCGGTTCTCTGCGTCCTATCCCATTCCTTTGTGTGATAGGATGGCAGCTGGCAGCGAACTGGCTCACGAAGGACTCTGGCCCGACAGGGCGCCAGCAGAAAGCATGGCAGGGAGCACTGATGTGCGCAGTTGGCATGATGACCCAGACTGGGTGCAGGAATTATGCGAGGGTGTGCAATACCGGGAGCTGTTCCGGTACAAGTTCAAAAAGTCTGGCCACATCAATACGCTGGAGTGCCGGGTTTACAAGTCATGGCTGAAACATTGTGCAAAACGGCATCCCCGCTCACGTGTGGTGGGCTTGCTGGATAGCCGAGTAACTATGGGGGCTGCGGCTAAGGGCCGCTCCAGTTCCAAGGCGCTGAGCCGCATTTTGCGGACTTCTTTGGGGTATGTGCTGGGCGGCTGTCTATACCCTGGCTGCATTCACTGCCGGTCTCCTTGGAACAAAGCCGATGCTCCTTCACGAGATAGAGCAGTGGAGCAACAGACCCGTAGATTTCCTCTCTGGTTGCAGAAGCTGCAGCAAGGAGATGCAAGGCGTTTTGACATTATGGTTTCAAGCAGTTTTTGGCGGAGACCTCTGGGGCGTTGGGTGCGGTTATTACTCCTTTTAGCGGGTGACATTGAGCGGAACCCTGGTCCAAACTTTCAACAAGGTGCATATTTTCCCAGGGGTGAGCTGAACATGTCTGTCGGGTTTTCACAGGCGACTGTGCAGCGGATGTCACGCTGCCTGGAGGCTTTCGAAGCCTGGACGAAAGACAAACTGGGGTTGACTTTGAATGAGGCAATGGCCACCGCGGAGATGGCCGACCTGGCTCTGCGTGGCTATGGTCGTTTCTGTTTTTCTGAGGGTAGACCTCGCTACTGGTTGGTCTATGCGATTACTGGCGTGGTGCACCAGTATCCTGGTTACAGGAATTTGCTACATGGAGCTTGGCAGATTGATCGAAAGTGGCAGCTGGAAGAACCTGGCCAATGCCGCGCTGTACTTTCTGCGCCCCTGGTCAGAGCCATCATCGCTGTTGCATTGCTCTGGGAATGGCGCTCCTTTGCTTGCATAGTTGCTTTAGGTTTTGCCGGGATGCTTCACCCAAATGAGTTTGTCCATTTAGTCCGTAGTGATCTTGTGTTTCCCCAAGATACTTTGGAGCTTCGTGAATGCATGTATGTTCATATCCGAAACCCAAAAACTGCTCGGTTTGCTCGGCGCCAACACGTGCGTATTGACGATATCACTGTCATTAGTTTGGTTCAGCGAGTGTTTGGACACTTGCAGATGCAAAGTCGATTGTTTGATGCTTCCATGGCAGTGTTCCGGCGGCAATGGAATTCTGTCCTGGATCTTTTAGAAGTACCTCGACGCCAAGCTTTGCGTGGTGCCACCCCTGGGACCCTGCGGGGCTCTGGCGCTACGCATCTGTACCTGTCTGACATGGATTTGAGTAAAATTGCTTGGAAGGGTCGTTGGTCAAAGTTGAGAACTCTGGAGTACTACATCCAGGAGGTTGGAGCCCAGCTCTTTTTGCATCAGCTTCCAGTGTCTGCAAAGTACCGAATTACTGAACTGAGTGCTAACATTGATGTGATCGTGGCTAGTGTTTGAAATGTGCAAGCAGAATGAAAAGGGTGGAAAGAGCTTCTTCTTTTGCAAATCACTATTTCTCCGGAGAGAACCAGGTGTTGTGATCGAAGCTGCTTAAGGCCAAAATTGGGCCAGTGCTGTGGCAATGGCCACTGGAGGGCAACTTAGAAAAGAGGCGTGAAAAAACTGGTGATGGAACTATCACATGTGCATGGAAGCGTCTTTGTCCTCAAGCATCTTTCGGGCCCACATGCCGCCCACCCTGGAAAGAGCTTCTTCTTTTGCAAATCACTATTTCTCCGGAGAGAACCAGGTGTTGTGATCGAAGCTGCTTAAGGCCAAAATTGGGCCAGTGCTGTGGCAATGGCCACTGGAGGGCAACTTAGAAAAGAGGCGTGAAAAAACTGGTGATATATATATATATACACACTATATACATATATATATATTATGTGTGTGTGTTTTTAATTCGATATGTTATAGAATGCATATATATATATACACATTTATATACACCAAACCTCACAACGTTTTCCGTAGTGAGGTGAGGTGATTTTAGGTTGTGGACAAATATTTATGGATTGAACTGGGACCACCCAACCTTTAGCACAAGCCACAAAAATTTGGCATCCAGATTTTCTGCGGCTGCTCTTCCATATAGCCCATTTGTTACGGGTGAACAAGGCCAAGGGGAAGCCATGGCCCAGGAGCAGCAACAGCAGCTGCAGAGTTGCATGAAGGATAGCAGCGCCACGCGCCAGCACGAGGGAGAAGCGATGGGGACCCTCTACGAGCTCTATGCGGTAGCTGGGCTACCAGAGATGGCCGACCACAGAGTCATAAGTCCATACAGTGACCGGAGGCTGAGAGCGTGAGGCTGTTAATTTTATAATGTAGTATCCAACCAGCAGTAACTGGAGGACACATGGGAATATGATATGATACAGATGGGATGTTTGATGTGTCCGCTGTCATTGTTTGGATTTATTTGGATGATTTTTGTTCACGACATCACTGGCCAACTTCACGGTACGTGATGTTTTTGCCCCAGGGAAGCACCCGACGTATCGACGGGTTGTGCAGCATGTCTGGTTTCATGTGGAGTTTCAAAGAGGGGAATGTAGGCAAGATAAACTTCAAACATGGGGATCATGAGGGATAAGCCAATCAACATTTGGAACTATAGTCACCATAGTCAACAACATCAAGAAACAAAGGGAACAAACAATGTGAAGAGTTTTATCGTTCATAGCAACCTCAAAGCCTACCAAGCACCACTTAAAATGTTGGTGCTCGGTCTTTGGGGAAAACATTTCTAGTCATGGTCCAAAAAAGTCAGCATAGTATTGGATAGTTTTGGGGATTTATCGCGACAACCATGGATCTTGATGCTTCTTGTTGGCGTCTTTGTTTTGTTTGGCCTGTGGGAGTTCAACAGCGTGGGGTCAAATATGCGTGCGCAAAGTAGATGCTTCTTGTTCACTGCAGCCTGGCCGCAGATTTTAGATCCAATTTTGCTAGTTGATTTGAATATTACATGGTTGCCAGTTGCCAAGCCGATATCTTCCGCATTTTAGGGATGCTCAAACCATGAAAAGCAACGCTGGAGCTGTCAATGTCAAGGGCCATTTGGCTGAGAAACCACCTGAATTGGAGACCCCCAAGTCTTCCAGAATCGGTCTGACAGCCTAGCAGGAAGCCCACTCATGTTTGATGCTTAAACTGGAAAGGCCTCCTTCAACAGTTTCCTATAGTGAAAACATCCAACCTAGTGAAATTTCTGACATCAAAAATCTTCAAGCATCATCAACCATCACATCTTCATCGCCTCCAATTTTTTTTTCCAGGTCTGTGCGCACCTGGGTGGTAGTATGGAACGTGGCCATTATGTGGCTTTCATCAATGTGGGTGCCAGTCTCAAGGCCTGGCTCGGCTGTAATTCCATGCGTACAACGTACAACATGTATCTATACACAGACATAAACAAAAAAAACACGGATAGATCAATCAAATACACACATATACAATATAAATAATATATATATATATAATGATCAATAAATCAACTAATTAATATAAACATGATATAAATATAGATCTTTAATGATATTCAGATATATTCAGTTGACATGCGCTTCCAACGCCAGGAGGAGTCCTGGTTCCTCCTCGACGACGCCAAGTGCGTCCCCGTGCGTCGCGAGGACGCGCTGAAGGTCGAGGCCTACATCGCCTTCTATCGCCGCAGCGCCACGAGTTAGCGACGTGCGAAAAACGTCTCAGTGCGACGGGGACAAGGGGGAAACCACGGAAAATCCTGGGAAAATCGATGTGTTTTTTTTTTGGTGAAAATCCTGGGAAAATGATGAGAAATCTGGGAACAAGTGGTGAATGAATGTGAATTGAGGTAAATATAGTAATCGGATGGAGTTGGGTATATAGTGGAGATATTTTGGGAGATAGTGGGCTTCTGCGATGGGATATGCAATGGGCCTTTAGATGGGAAAGAAAAAATGGGTTTGTTTCAAAATATGGGGAACAACTCAAGATGACGGTTCGTCAATGTTGATCATCATGTTCCCTATTGAAGTTGCATTTTCTTTCGGTGAGATCCCCTTTAGGACACACCCAAAGGAAATCATTGAAACGGCATACATACGTACATGTTTTCATTGAACAACCATTTGAAAACAGAAATATCATTAGTTAATAATTCCGTAATTCCATATGTTTTGTTTTCGGCTTGGAAAAGCACAGGCAGACAGGGGAAAAAATAAACAATCACCACATAATACAGAACCATATGGCCCCCTGCTATACTTGATTTGCACAGGGGATTCAGCGCAGATGATTGAGGGTGGGTAATGTAAAATTTGGGGACCCTGACTGACTGGTGAAGTGTTGTTGTATTGGCTGATGATTGTTTGAATGAAGAAATGGTTATGTCATTGCACATCGTAAGTGCCCTGAGTAATTGGTTCCCTTGTGTGGGTATATGTTTGGTATCCTTTCCATTGTTGCTTCTCAAAATTTCTCAATTGTTGTTTACATCCCACTATCCACTCCCATTTTTGTTGCTTCTACACCCCCGTCTTTTTCTTGCGAAATCTCTATCGGACCGGGCTGGGCCCTGAGGTTTTCCTGACAGTTGGCAGCCCAAACTCTACGATTTCGGCTTGGAGCAGCAGCTACAAAGAAAGGCTCCTGAAATTCATCGTGGAACCGTAAGACCGTGATTTCTATAGCAGATAAATTTATTATAATTTATTACTGTAAAAAATATAACTACAGAATATAAAAAGATGCTTAAAGATGTCAAACATTGTCAAACTATTTCAATCCCATCTCTGCTGTTGCGACCAGCTTGGTTGGGCAATCAACAGATCCTGGATGAAAATTGCATTGGTGCATGCCCCATTACTGGTCGGAAGTTTGACTGAACTTCCTTCGATTACCGGATGGTAAATCTCCATGTTTGATCATGTTTAATGATTTTTCCATTCAAAAAACCACTTGTAGTGGATTTCCAAGCCAGCAATGTTTGACGACACCAGAGGGTAAGCCACTACGATCAGAGTGGAGCAGCCAGAGTTCTGCCAACAGCGCATGCAAGCAGCACCTCGCCATTGCTGCAGAAAAAACATTGGAATCGAATCAGTAGATCATGTAGTAAGGGAAAACCTACCGTTGACACCATGATCTTGGTCCGGAATCATGATGGTTTCCTGCACTTTTTCTCGTAAACGAATTCCTGGATGGAAATAGTGGAAAGGCAGTGACAGGAAGAACAGGTCAGTGGCCCTGGGGCGACCGGAAGGGTTTCTGACTAACGACATTGGATTGGTTTAAGGGTAACAGGAAACCGGACACCGCCTTTTTTGGGAAAAAACATGGTTTCCTTTCCTATAGATTTTCCCGAAAAAAACAAGCCATTGATAACAGCAGCAGTGCCAGTGCTAAATTTGTCCGCTGAACGACAGACCTAATGATTGAATGGTTGAGTTGACCATTGACGGATTGCGTGTGTGGCTGGAGGACTGACTGAGTGAGCCTCCTTTTCTCTGAGCTGCTTCTTCTCTGTGCCACCTCTTCTCCCAATCAATCTATTCTTCTCCGAGCCAGCTCCTCTCTGAGCTACACCTTTTCTGAGCAACTTTTTCCCTGAACTATTTCTTCACTCAGCCACCTGCTCTTCTCAGAGCTTCTGAGAGGTACCTTTTCGCTTCCACTTTTCTGAGCCACTTCTATCCACGCAGCTGTCATGCAATGGAGACAGGCCAGCTCAACGCAGATTGACCAGCCATTTTTCATTCATATTAGCAGCTAGACATCCATTTTTGGGGTACTGGATTTTGACCCCCCATTCCCCATATGTTCAAAGGAAGTTTAATTCGAACACTTCCGAGCTACAGACGAATGTCCAGGGGCAGTCTTGTCATCATGCTCATGTCTCAGCATGTCAGCCACATCATCATGTCAACCACCCATCCTCAAGAGTAGTTGGGAAGTGTGACAGCTCAGAAGCGTGTGAATTCACGGGTGAAAACACTCTCGGGCACGAAACCCTGTGTTTTTTCGGGTAAGTGGCTTCCGTGGTCGTCGAGGTAGGGTCTCTGTTTCCGCGGTTTCGGGGCTCCATCTGCCAAACTTGTCGCGACAAAAGGTATACAGGAAACGAGAGCCTGATGATCCCCATGACTTAACTTTTGTATTGGAGGGGGGTGTACCCCCATTTGATAATACATCAATTTGGAAAACCTGAGGAAATGTAAGGTTTCTTTTGGTATGGCATATTTAGATATATTTAACATAATCTTTTCCTCTGTAGCCGGGTTCCTCCGCTTTACTCTTGCATTCTCTATCTTTTCCTCTTCTTTCATTATCTTTTGTTTCCTGTTTTCTCTTTTTGTTCCCTGTAATCTTTTTATGTCTTTTTAACCCCTTTTCTCTTTCCATTTCATTCCATTTCTTTCCTCTCAGCCTTTTTTGTTTCTCTATGTTACTCTATCCTCTCGGCTCTCTTTCTCTCTCTCCTCTACTCTCCTCGTTTTCTATTATAGGTTGCCGGGTCGCCGGGTTGCCGGGTCGCCGGGTTGCCGGGTACCACTGCTCCTCTTCCCTCAAGCCTTCCGCTCCGTCTCGGGCTCTGTGCTCTGGAAGCAACAAGAATCTACTGTCAATCTCCCAGACGGAAATGGGAATCAGCTCTTCACCATTCAAAGTCTCATCCTGCAGTCAGAAGAGAGAGTGTCAGAGAAGAGAGAGTCAGAGAAGAAAGAAGATCCAAGTCATCAAGAAAGCGGGGAAGTGATCCGAATTCAGAGATGCATGGTGATGCAGCTTCTTTCAACCCTAGCCACATTGCTTCCGCCTTCCCTCGGGTTTGGTACTTGGCCCGGATCCTCATTGCCATATCAGAAAGTAGTGAAGGGCGTGCAAGGCACAGCCCCCTTTGGTGTCCCTTCTGAAAGGTGAGCTACAAGGCGCCCGGGACGTCAGTACCTGTAGGAATGACAATGGTTTTCTCCTACCAGGATTATCCTTGAATTGAATCAATTGACAATGGCTTTCTCCGACAGGGATGATGATAGAATCCTAAATCAATTGCCAATGTCCTTCTATCTGAATCCCACAGAGACTATCCTTGAATGCTGTTAGTCCTTCTATGGTGTCTCCCACAAGGACCATCCTTGAATGCTAGATGACATTACATGACTGCCTTTAGTTATGGACTAGCTTTGCCTTGGCTAAATCCTGAGGATTTAAACGAGGCAGAGGGAAATATGGCGAGGCAACCTCTTGCTTGCCTTGCTTAAATCCTCAGGATTTAAACGAGGCAAACCATAGTTTGCCTCGTTTAAATCCTGAGGATTTAAGCATCTTTTCAGCAAGTCGCACAGGTTGCCTCGCCATATTTCCCTCTGCCTCGTTTAAATCCTCAGGATTTAGCCAAGGCAAAGCTAGTCCATAACTAAAGGCAGTCATTTAATGTCATCTGGATGGTCCTTGTGGGAGGAAGGACATTGTCGCACCCGCCGAAACATTGGAAATATATCATCATCCTGGACCAGGCCATCATACAAAGCAATCTTCTTGAATTGATCTTCGCTCAAACGATAACGTTTGTTTGCTCGGGCATCTTCATGCCTGAGTGATATGCTCAAAGGCATCTGAAATGAGAGTCAGCACATCAAAGCTCACATACGTAGTCTTCCACATGTATTTGCTACAAGTTGCCTGGGGCCTGACTCTTGTGGCACAGGTATGCCAAAAAAACATTTGATTACATCATCAGAGTTCACATACATGTGCTTCTACATGCCTTTGCTACAAAGTTGCCTGGGGGGCACCCCATTCGGGGCCCGAAGTTCGGGGCCCGACTCTTGTGGCATAGGTATGCCAAAAAGCATTTGATTACATCATCGTTCACATACATGTGCTTCTACATGCCTTTGCTACAAAGTTGCCTGGGGGCACTCTGTTCGGGGCCCGAAGTTCGGGGCCCGACTCTTGTGGCACAGGTATGCCAAAAAACATTTGATTACATCATCAGAGTTCACATACATGTGCTTCTACATGCCTTTGCTACAAAGTTGCCTGGGGGCAATCTGTTCGGAGCCCGAAATTCGGGGCCCGACTCTTGTGGCACAGGTATGCCAAAAAACATTTGATTACATCATCAGAATTCACATACATGTGCTTCTACGTACATGCCTTTGCTACAAAGTTGCCTGGGGGCACCCCGTTCGGGGCCCGAAGTTCGGGGCCCGACTCTTGTGGCATAGGTATGGAATAAGGACACGCTGGATTGAAACCCATGTTTGCCCCCTTTTGCTGCTCTGGGATGAAGCGCGAAACCCTATCATTTAACCATACTTAGCCCTACTTAGTAATTTTAATGTATTACCACCCCCCCCCTCTAAAAGTAGAGTTGTCCATGGGGATGCCCGATGTCCATTTCAAAGTGTTTAAAAAATGACGGCGCTGGAGCACTTTTGGAAGATGAGGTCGGCAAAAAGTGCACCGGACATTAGCGAGGGCTCGGTTTCACATAAAACTCATGAAAAACTGAAGGGATCAGAGCAGCCCAAAAATGTCCGCACTGTTGATGGCGCGCGGACGCTGGTCGATTCAGTGCGACGCTCCTGCTATGCGGGAATCCAACCGGTTGTGACAAAACACGCGCAGCAAAGCATGAGTGATGCTGCGACGCTCCTGGCAAGCGGGATTGCAGCTGAAGGTTGCTAAAAGCATTGTAACAGTTGCACGAAAGGTCGTTTTTTTCACAATAGTGCTACTCTTGTGCTACTTTGCGGAATTGAAGCTGGACGTTGCAAAGCACACTGTACTGGCCTCGCGAAGGGAAGAATTGATTTGCAGAAGCTAGAGAAAAGGTAGCTGAAGGCAAAGGGGTCTTTCAGTGAAGAAGTAGCTCAACCAGGAAAAGTATATGGCTCACCCATCCATCAATCCATCTACCCATCCACCCCATCCATAAGTTCATTCATTCGTTCATTCCCTCATCCACTGCGATTCACTGATTCATCGTTTCATTGGTTCGTTGTTTCATTGATTCATTGATTGATTGACTCACTCATCCATTGACCCGTTGATTCATTGACTGGTTGGTTCACTGATTCCCTTTCAATTATTCATTGCTTCGTTGATTCATCGACTCATTGGTTCCTTGATTCACAGAATCATTCATTCATCGGTTCACTCACTCACTTACCCACCCATTCATGCATTCATGCAATCATTCAATCAATAAATTAAGCAACCAACCAACCAATCAACCAATCAACCAACCAACCAACCAATCAACCAATCATAAAATCATGGTTCGCCCATTCACTCACCCATTCACTTGTCCATTCACTTGTTCAATAACTTTTTCATTCGCTCATTCTTTCATTCATTCATTCTTTCATTCTTTCATTCATTCATTCATTCGTTCGTTCGTTCATTCATTCATTCATTCATTCACTCCCTCACTCATTCATTGACTGGTTCAGTGATTCATGGACTCACGAATACACTCAGTCATTGATCATTGTTTCGGTCAGTCAGTTGTGCGTCGGCATCTCAAGCACCTTTTTGCTCCTTCGTTGATGCACCCCACAGCTTCAACAGTTCCTTGCTTCTGAATTTTTAAAACTTTCCTATACTATAGGCCATGATCTTCCTATTGTGTTTTTTGTTTAACTTCCGCCCCAGCACGGGCCGGGCACTACCTGATAAGATACATCCGACCACCGCCTTAGATCAGATTGGCCTTGTTTCTAGCAATGGTGGCTGCAGGTTTGCACCATACCGTGCTCCTCCGGAGTGATGGCAGTGCTGTCGCCATCGGGCGCCATGAAGAGGGACAGTGCGACATCCCACCTTTGGAAAAAGGGATGGCATACGCCCAGGTATCTGCAGGCAAGTTTCATACAGTCCTTCTCCGGAGTGATGGCTGCGCTGTGGCCATCGGATTCAATGGAGACGGGCAATGCAGCATCCCGCCTTTGGATGAGGGAATTGCTTACACCCAGATTTCTGCAGGCAGTTATTCTACGGTGCTTCTCCGGAGTGATGGCAATGCTGTCGCCATCGGGCGCAATGAAGAGCGACAAAGCAACATCCCACCTTTGGATGAGGGAATTGCTTACACCCAGGTTTCTGCAGGGGCATTTCATACAGTGCTTCTCCGGAGTGATGGCTGCGCTGTGGCCATCGGATGCAATGGAGACGGGCAATGCAGCATCCCGCCTTTGGATGAGGGAATTGCTTACACCCAGATTTCTGCAGGCAATTATTCTACGGTGCTTCTCAGGAGTGATGGCAGTGCTGTCGCCATCGGGCGCAATGGAGAGCGACAAAGCAACATCCCACCTTTGGATGAGGGAATTGCTTACACCCAGGTTTCTGCAGGGGCATTTCATACAGTGCTTCTCCGGAGTGATGGCTGCGCTGTTGCCGTCGGTCTGAATGAGCAGGGACAATGCAACATCCCGCCTTTGGATGGTGAAACGACATACACCCAGATTTCTGCAGGTGGTTTTTCTACAGTGCTTCTCCGGAGTGATGGCTGTGCTGTTGCCTTCGGACAGAATGGATTTGGAGAATGCAGCATTTCGTCGCCAGAGCCGGGAATTTGCTACAGTGGGAATATGACATCCGGAAGAGATTTGGCTCTACAACTAGAGTTTGTGGGCGAGGGTGATTCAGTCAGGCTGATACTGTCGTCTTTGGTTGGGGAAGAACGCTTGCGTTTGACTACACGGGGCGTGGATTCGGCCTGGGAGACGCACAAAAGGATTGCTCGTGAATTGAAGATGAGCCTCCCAAATCTCCATCTTGTTCTGCCAGACGGACAGTTGTTGGCCAAAGTTTGCCGCATAAGTCCAGGGGCCTCGGTTGCTGAGGTGACTCAAAGTAGAAAGCGCAAGCGATTGCCTAGTGTTTAAACCACGGCTAGCCCCTTACAAGCGTCCTTCTATATTTAGTGTCGCATTTGGGGGGTATCTCTTGAAACAGTCACTGAAACACCAGGACGTGCAAGGGCCCTGGCTACACTCCAAACCCCTGTGGCGGGAGAAACATCATTTGACAATTTGACATGCTGTTCACAAAGTAGTTCACCCCTACCAGGCGCTCACGGAGCCTTCAAACCATGAAAAAGCGTGGCCACATGTTCAGGAGCTGCTTTTGCTGATTGCTCAAAGGTTTGCATCTTCAAACAACATGTTGGATGGAGGTTTCGTAAAATGGGGGTAACGGGGTAGCCCAAATCATTCATTTGACCCGGATTTTCCATTCTAAACCAATGAAGGAACCCTCTATTTTGGTATTGATATGGCTCCAAAAAACAAGCACCAACATGCATCAACGGATCCACGGAATTGGGGCTTTAAGCCACCACAATGGAGATACAACATGATACAGCTAGCCGTGATGGGAGGGATAGGGAATAGCTGGTAGAATAGTCAGAATAGTGGTTTAATAATGGAGGTAATTGGTTTTGGTGGATAATAGCCATATATAGCCATATGAATATATAGTGTTAATTAGTGGTATACCAGAACCATATAGTTAATAGGTAATAGTGGTTAAGAATAGTGATGAATATGCTAGTGAATATAGTTAAGAGGTAAAACAGTGAATAGTTAATACGGTACAATAGGTAATAATATGGAATAATAGTGGTATAATAGTGAATAAGTTAGTGGTTAAAACTTGTAGCTAGTAGTGGTTAACAAGAATAACAATAATATGGTATTAGTGGTAAATAGCGATTAATAGCCAATAGCTCATAAGAAGATAAGTGGTTATAGTAATAATGATGAGAATAGTTAATCCCGGAAGTAAATGTAGGTTTATAGCTGGGAAGAACACCTGTAAATAGGAAAAACATAGCAAGTATTCGGGGGTGAAGCATCCAAAATTAAGGAGATAATATCCCCAGTTGATGGTTAACATAACCACAATCCCCATGGTGAACTGGGGGTTTTGGGGGTTTTACCATATCTAACCGGTGAAATATATACAATTCCCACCTATGTCTATTTCCCATATATTTCCCACAAATCAGCCATCCTTAGACGCCATGGTGCTCGTTAGCAGTGCCGCAGGTTGCTGCAGCAAAATGCAGACGCCAACGCCACCAACACGCAGGGAGCGACTCCCCTGGACTTCACCAAAAAGGCGCTGCATTTACCACACCCCCCCCAAAAAACAGAAGTCTGTTCGCTTCACCCATCACATTTGGCCTCATCCTCCCTGGCTGGAAGGACGAGGTCCGATGGCTTCTCAGATCGCACAAGGGCCGCAAAGGCACCGGCGCTTTGTAGAAAAAACGTGCCAGCTGCCAGTGCGTTCGGTTCTACTTCCCGCCGCCAGGGGTTCTTCGTGTGTTTTATGATAGGTCATGGTGAGGATTTTTCTGAAATTCGGTGGTGCACCATAGTTGAGGAAATTGGTTTATTAACTCACATAACTAGTGTCTTTGAAGTTTGGTGTGCTGATCCAGTGGCTGGGCCACCATCAATCCCCATGAAGATCTGGTAAACACAATATGTTCCATCATCACCCCCCTTGAACCCTGAAATATGTGAGAAGGGGGGGTTCGGCAAGAAATTTCTAATATTTCACCTGACTACGTGAAATATACCCACCCTGTGTATTTTTTGGGCTTCCAAAAGGGGGGGGTCCTCCGGATGCTAGCCTTTACAGTAGCCTAGATATGACAATTGGATCCACATAGATTTAAAAAAACCGCATATTATGATCTCTGTGAACTCCTGCTCCTGGTCTTTAAATACTTGCCACGGCTCGATACCCAGAAACCAAACCTGGGTGCCGCAATGGAATTTCCGAGGGGGTGCCTTCTAGAGGTGTAAAATACAATGCTTTTGCACCTTTCCCCACGTCAAAAATATTACCATGTAGTCTTTTACGACCACGGTGGATACCAGCGATTTTGGTGGCTAGATAGGGTTAGCAAACGACCCACCGGTGCCCGCGGATGCATCAATGACAGTGCTGAGATTTTCCATGGCATTATACTATCGTATATTTTGAAACAATTTAGTTTTTACCCCCCACCACCCTTAAGGGATGGTGATGTTCAATCAATTCTCATACCAATTCTCATCGAGGATGTTCCAATTTCATCAGATGCCATTGAGTTCATCCCCATCAAGTTCAAGGCTGTCATGAAAAAAAACATATAAACTTTCGGGATCTTTAGGGTGTATTTTGACTTCCCATCCAAAAGTAACCTGTGCTTTTCCAGTTTCCACAGCCCCTTCCCACCATGGCCTTCCATGGGCCGTGACGTTGCCCCGGGCACCCAGGCGCTCTGCGCCGCGGAGCGGGGCCCACGCCGCAGGAGAGGGACGACTTGCGTGCCTCGACGGGACGATATATATATATACATACTGTAATATACTGTATATATATAATATGCGTGTGTGTGGGATATGAAAAAGGTGTTTCTTGGTGATTTGTCGTCGGGTTTTTGAATGGGATATTGAGAACACTTGTGATACATAGGATGGTGAGGGCAACACTCACAACATCTAACAACCATTGGAATTCTTAAAAAAAGAGAACAACGTAATTGTTGTGCAGTTGTCCCTTTGAAGAACCACTGTTTTTCATGAAATGACTAAAACTCATTGCATAATCGCGGTTTACCAGGTACGGCGTATTTACTGTTCCACCTTGGGATGATAATCCCGATTGAATGACTTGGAGATGGTCACGGCATTTTTTTTTCGGTAATGCGGTGCAGCAGACCCAGTGGTATGCCAAGTTAAGCAATGTTAAGTCAAACATTGTCGTTGGTTGGTGAAATCCAATGAAATCCATCCAATGTTTATGGTGGATTTAAGTCAGTTACCCCTATGAACACCATGATGCAACCTGGCGTTGAGGTAGAAAAAATGCAAATTTGCGAATGGACATTGAAGAACGACTGCCACTTGGGCGCCATAGAGAGGTGGGAAATTGGTCTTTGGATGTCTTTGTGCCAAACTAGGTTGGTTGTGGTTCTTTCCAAATAAAGCGATACATTGTATGTGGTATATAATCCGTTCAAATCAAATCTGGATATATAAGCCGATGGAAATGGAATGAATCAAACTATATATGCGAACATATGCGAAGCATTGAGCCCGTAGAACAGACATCGTCTAACCAGGGACCCTGTTCTGTTTGGGGTCTCCAGCTTTCACTCTGAAGGGTCTGGAATTGGTGAGGCAAGACTCTCTATTTTATTGCTCAGATGTTCCCACCGACATGTTCAATTTCATCTCGCTTCAAATCGTTAGTTCCATCGAAGACCAAGTGATCTGCAGCTTTATTGTTTCAATAACCATCAAAAGTCACCCTTGGACCATCTCGGACCTGTGTCTTGGAACTCAATTTCTTGCTTCTTGGAGATTCTAACGCGTTGATTTGATCCGCATTTGCAGTGGATGATAGTATACTATATGTGTTCCACAATGTAAAAAATAGTCATTAGTGACGCTTTTTTTGGGGACGTTTGACGTCCACTTCCATGATTGGTTCAGGGAATCCGAGAATCCATCCAGATGGAAACCTTAAAAAGGCTACGGTACCAGGTAAGGGAAGATGAATCTCATCAGACACGGCAATGTTGGAAAAAGTTCCATGAAAATTTTGTCGTACATTGTCGTAGCCATTATTCTCAAGAGTTCCTAAGCATACAATATATTACTATATATTCTTATATGTTGTTTTTTTGTAGTCATCCTAATTACAGTAGATGTTGCAAACTCTTCCCATTTTAGTGATACTGTTTGACATTTCCATATTATATTATCTTCTCGAGGCTGACTACAGTATATTGAAAAGAAATGTGCATACTATGTATGTATATATATATATATATATATCTACCTACATTGTTACATGATACAGTATGATACATACAGTCTTCAATTTATCACATGTTCTCAGCTGTATTCCGGTGTTACCTCAGCATTTTTCTGCAACCACCCAGGATGGTCACCGAGGAGGAAAAAGAGCTCCAGGACACTGCTAGGGTACGACGAATGTATCTATCACAACTATATATACATGTATATGATTATGATATATTATGATTATGATGATTATGATCTATGCATGTATCTATTAGTTGGTCCTTCTTTCTATGTATCTATGTTTATTTGTGGGGTCATTTGCATATATACATATTATATACATATAATTAAAATTGAATATCCTTCACGTGTGTATGCATGTGTGATTGTGTGTGCATAATACCAAACTGTAGGCCCCCCACAAATGAAGAACATGTGGACGCCCGCCCTCTGAAACATGACCATTGAACATGCACAGCAAATGATTGGCTGTGCATCCGTGGATATATCCTTTGAACATTTTGGATATTGTGAACTGAACGATTGGATTTCAACTTTAAGGAAATCGTGCGACATACCTGCTGGTAACAAATTACGTCGGTCGTGTACAACCCCTCATGCGGACCTTGTCTCAATGAAACGGATAGATTTCTGGTTGATTGCCGGGATGAGTGGAAGGTCACTGGAGGATTGAAAGATTACTTTCCTCTAAAGATACCATCTGGCTATGACTAACAGTTCGCCATGGGAAGATCCACCATGCTATTAATAGGTAAAAACATCTATTTCGATTAGGGCCATCTATACCATGGCGAACTGCCAGAGGGTCGGCTATTCTCAAGGTCTTTTGTAGGGCACGGCGCAGGAAGAATTGGATGAAGTTCTGGAAAAACTGCAGGACCGAGGGACTCGGTGGCAGAAAATGTGGTTTCTATGTGAAATACCCTCTGGTAAACTAACATAGCTATGGAAAATCAGCATGTTGATGGTTTAACATCAGCTATAAATGGCAATTTTCAACAGCTATGTTAAATTACTTGGGGGTATACATAAATATACCCTCCGGAAATCTAACATAGCTATGGAAACTAACATGCGTTTTTGCCAGTAGATCATGTATATTCTAAATGTGCAATTGTCCATGGCTATGTTGAATTACCAAAGGCTATGTCATATTGGTTGTGAGATGTTGAGAGGGAGAACCGATTTCAATGATCATTTTTACTGAGTTTGATTAATTCGATATCATGTTCAGCCAATATGAACATATATTAATTAACCACTTCAATGGGATAACCAATGATTTTGATTCCGGGTATTGATCATGAACCGGACATTTTTCCGAACGTAATTGGAAATCGAGGGGACGTAATGAACGTTGCTAGGACTTCCACGGGCAAGACAAATACGTACATTATATATATATACATCGGACATATATATAATTTTATTTTTTTATAGTTGTTTCATACAATATAGTAATATATATATATATATGCAGAACGTATGTTGTTGCCTTTGTTTCCGTCATATATCATCATATGTCATCATATATCATCATATATCATCATATATCATAATATATCATCATATTTCGTCATATATCATCATATATCATCATATATCATCACATATCATCATATACCACAGGCACGTAAATATGTCTGAATATAAATGTGCAATGTATACATTACATTTTGTTTGATTCACTTTCTGGCTATTTAACATAGCTGTGGGAATTCACCTTTTTCAAAAGGTACAGCATCATAAATCATCTATATATGGGTCATCTATACCATCACAGTAGTAAATAACCAGAGAGTTTACCCTTAATCGTTATGGTTCGTAAATAATACTTAATCACGATTGTTACCTTCCCAGTCACCATAGGGAAATACAGTAATTACATGTAATTACGGTAGCCATGATGACCCCCAACTATCAGAAGGGACCCCAAGAATTTCATGGTTTATCATTGTTCTTTATTAAGTTGCCATTTTGGGGCTATTATTCCTCAAAATTCAAACATCTAGCAAAATACTGTTTGAACATGTTCGAACTATTGATATAGTTTGTATACTTAATTCACCCCAACTATCAATATTTCTAGTTGTTGATCATGCAGCAGAAGCCCTTAAGTTATTAAGAGCGAGTTGCCCTGGTGTGTATCACCATGTTTGATAGATTTTGATAGCCTTTTTGTGGCTAGCTTGGTAGATGTGTGGGCAAACCATGTATCAACATGTTTCAAGCATTGGCTCGTTCCTGGAATATAACTGTTCTATCGCTTCCTGCCGCCAGGATATCCATTCTGCAGATCCTGAGGGCGAAGACACTGCGGCGCTGGCTGGATCCACGGTGGTGGAGGAGGATGCGCTCAGTTTTCCCACCTTGATCCCAGTGTCCCTCGGCCAGCTGTCCGGGCTGGCGCTTGGGATGTCGCTGCTTTTGCCATGGGTTGTTTTTTGGGGATGAATGCAGCAAAAGATGATGAAATAGACTGTATAGATAACCAGCAAATAGATAGCATCACTGGTGTTCTAAGTCATGGCATGCCTGTTCTTTTTTATCAGGACCTTCTTTTTGCAAAGATTTTGAGACATGGGTTCCCCTGATTCAACTGGTTTTTGAGAAAAAATCCACAGGGAGCACTGGCTTAGGGTGGTAAACCCAGTACTAAACCATTCCCAAATGACCATGGTTTCCCCGTGGTTTCCAGCAGATTTTTCGAGGCTTAAGGCCTTGGATCAGTCGGTGAGACATGGATCAGCAGCTCAGGAGAGCGGCATGTTACATTGCAATAAGGGGAGTACTTTCAGGTTTGTGAATGTCATAGTGGTAGTGTATGTGTAATATATTTTATATTCATATATATATATATTTGTATACATATTATGTGTATATATGTGTCTGGAAATTCTGAAGTACATGTATGTACTTTCACTTGTTCTGATGTCTATTGGTATAAATAAATAAATAAATATATATATGTGTGTGTGTATGATTTTTTGGAACCCGTGAAGGTAGATTTTGACCCAACGAACGTCAATGTTGCAGTGGGCCACGGGGCCTGTGCGCATAGCCATTCCCAAAATCATAGAAAAATGCAATCGCAAAAGTCATAGAAACATACAATCCCCAAATAGTGACAACTTATTACCAGATATAATCTATACCATTTTGTTATCAATGGGATTTGGATCAGGAGATGGCCTTCATGGAATTCGTGCAACTGACCACCAGCAGCGCGAAACTGGATACTCGACGAAATTGAGTGAATTGGGATGATTTTGGATGGCAAAAATGGAGGATTGAACCAACACCCATTGGGATTATATATATATATATATAGAATTAAATATAGGGACCCAGGGATATAGTTTTTGATATAATATGATATAGTGGATATGAAATGATATGATGGGAAGTGACATGTGCCCTCGAAATCGAAGAGTTCGCCATGGAACATTGCCGTAGAGTTGAATGGATCAATCCCCGACGCCTGGTTCCCAGGAGAGAAAGGCCAAGAATCTGGGTCAGACCATCTCCAAGTTGCTGGAGGGTCAAATCACTGGCAAGCCGGATGTGCCTTGGCCAAGCAGAAGACGATATCTCAGCATTGGATAGTGATTGGTAGTTGCACAACTGGAAGCAAATATTCGACACTTCAATGGTCGGCCGAAAGTTGAGATGTTCTAACCTTGGTTCTAGCCATGTTTCGGTGCTTCAGATGGTGATGGTGTAGTGACTACCAACAGGCAACAGCCAACATCAGCCAACACTTAATCAAACAAGAGGAATGTCCTGCAGGTCATATTGAGTTACCGTAATTTGCCATAATTTGCTGACCCGTATTTATCAGTATTTTCATCATGATCCTTGGAACAATGTTTCTTAAATTTTAGCAACTTATAATTTTCATTTGCTGACATTTAGCTGGGATTATCATTTGCTGACTACATGTTCTCCTACTTTGATATATGACATAGTGACAATTTTCTATTTGTTGTGACATGTTTGTTCTGGTTATTATCGCTTACCATTTTTTTTGATTATCATTCATATACATGATAACGGTTACCTATGGGGAATCCGCCACGTGTAGATCATATTATTATTTTTAAGCAAATCTATTGATTTCCATGGTTTTTAGATGTGTTTAGTATGTTTACTGGAGGATATTTTATGATATAATATATCCCATTCTTTATTTAATGATCCCATTAAATCATCATTGTTAATCATTAAACACACGTGTTCGTTAGTGATGTGGTAATCCCTATAGTAAACCATCCCCAGTTTTACTGGGTTTGATTTCAACCATCCCCCAAATGGTCGGATTATGCATGATTATGCCGTCGTTTTTTCCACATTAACGTATGATTAAACACACATTTTCCCTAGCAACTCATCCATCGTTTAACGTTGCCTTTCGTTGGCCGTTGCCACGTTGCCCAAACGGGGTCGTTCCTTAGGCGCAGGAAGCTGAATGGCAGGCCGCATGCAAAGACCTGATACTGGACATGGAGACTTGGCGGTGCGGTGATTTCCGAATGGTGTGGGATATAAATTACTGGTTGGTGGTTTCAAACATTTTTTCCATGATATATGGGATAATCCTTCCCATTGACTTTCATATTTTTCAAGATGGTTAAAACCACCAACCAGATTAATTAGATATTCATGGGATGTTCACGGGATGTTTTCATGTTTTTTTTTCGAACTTTCTAGATTTAGAGATGTAAATCAATAACGGGGAAAGCATCGGGCACCCTGGACAGCAGTGGGCGCCCGGAGGGATCGACTTACTGTACCTCCTCTACAATGATGTGTTGGAAACAATGACTGTGACCTGAACCACAAGGTGGTCAACAGTCTCAAAACCTGATGCATTTGGCTATGCTGAAGATCAGTGAGAATAGAATTTGGGAATCGTCTACCAGTTTATTTGCGGTGCCAGCGATTTTTCATTGTAAGCTAGTCCCCTTTTCTGTTGGGACCAATTCCGTCTTTTTTTTCTCAATTTCCATGGTTGTCAAACATCATCAGTTATCATGTTGCACCCCCAAAAGAGTCAAAGTCCTGGAGTATATCCATGTTAAATGATCAATATCCTCATGAATCCTCATCAAAAATTCATGGGTATGATTAATTGGTTACAGTACTGATTGTGCAAACCGTGTAGAGGCCCTGGTAAAAATATACATATATATATATATCATATATATATATATGTGTATGTATATGTATATATATATGTGTGTAATTATAGGTATTATATGGTATTATATATGTAGGTATATGTACATCTACTAGTAGTAGTCTACTAGTTTTTTCCTCTCTATGTTGGGGAGAATTGACTCTTTTGCTGCATAAAGACCCCAGCCATGGATCATGTCGAGCCATGATTGCTAATCCTATGCACCATCAAACATACTCCCCCATATGGAGCCCAAACTGAAAAGACTTTTTTTTCCTAAATCAAAGTTTCCACATAATTGGGACAATATTTGTTCGCTATATTTTCCCTCTATTTTCCGTATATTCCCCGATTAGAAATGCCAAAAAGATCGGCTTTGGCCCCAATGACCTTGAAACTTTCCATTGCCCAGGAGCAGGTCTTCGACCAAATCAAGGCGCGGTCATGAAGATAACATCTGTGTTGATGTAGGTTACATTATATTTAGTATTTGTTTAACTGTTTGTTTATTTATACTTATTTAAGCTCGTATAGATATTTATGATATGAGTAAAGAAATATATACTTATATTGCATGTAGTATCAGCAATGTAATATACATACTATATATGCGTGTGTGTATTACGGAACATATGTCTATATAAACACTCCTTGGTAATAGATCAAAATGTTGATCCCTGAAAACACGGTACCTGAAAGCACATCTGGAGTGTCGTGAGCGCTTGGGATCCCGAAAAAAGATGGTCATCCAAAGCTGTTTTTGTTTGACTACGCCACTACGCCTTTACTTATTTTGCTAAAGAACAGAATATGAGTACACGTACGTATGTATATCATTGTATATCTATACGGTTTTCTTTTGACCAAAGGCTTTGGTCAAATAGTCGCTTTTGACGTTTTTTGTCTCTGTTTTTTGCCTTCGCTGTGATTAAAGCTCCTCATTTGTAGGTCAGTGGTTTACCCAAGAACATCGTGGACAAGTTTTGGCAAGAGAAGTTCCTTGGAAACATGAAGTCCAGACATGATGGATGGACCCCCAGTTATGGCCATTGCCATTTGCATCTGGGGAAAATGATGACAAATATGACAACCCACCAGATTTTCATCGAGTGTTCAGATGGAGATACTGTGAATCCACATGGCTGGTTCTCCGGCTGTTGCCCTCAGGCAACTAGAGATTCGCGCGGCGTGTCTTGGCGTAGAGATGAACAGGAAGAGACGGATAGATTGGGATAGATACGGTTGATATTTCCCGCAACCACGGCAGGGGTTCTTATAATGTTACGCTTGTTGTCTTATTTTTAAAAAATCTAGGTGGAAAAAACGGTAGTATTGCCAAGTTGGATTGAACTTATCGATTTTGCCCCAAGGTAGTCCGTGCAGTTATCCCAAGGCAGCAGAGTGCGTTTGAGGAGAGCAACGACAAGAGAGCCAAGACGCTTCGCTGAAACTGTCGAGTTTGCTGGCTGTTGGTACTGCCTGAATTGGTTGCTGGACATGGACAGATTTTTCCAGGCCTCCCAAGTTGTAAGTTGGTTTAATTACAAACCCATCCAACCATACTTGTATCCAGTAGGAATTATTGTATTGTTTATTTTTTATAAATTATAGACCATTGTAAACACTCATAAACACCAGTTAAACATACGTATAAAACAATTATAAACAATATTATTAAACCATAAACAACCCGGCGGAAGGGAAACCGCGCGAGCGTTTTGATTGGTTGCTTCCAGGAGAGTCACAATCACCTGTAATTTACACTATAAAATGGTCTTCCGATCAGTTTGGAAAACTGAATTTGGGTTAAAAAAAATGGATGCAAAATCTATTGATTTTTAACAAATCCAGGTAAACATCATGTGCATCATCAGACGTGGATGCGCAGATTTTTTTTCACACTCTTCGTCGGCTCAGCGATCACAGAGATCTCAGCAGCGTAGCAACATGTCACATAGTAAACGATCCCAGAGATCTCAGCGGCGTAGCAACATGTAACGTAGTAAACGATCCCAGAGATCTCAGCAGCGTAGCAACATGTCACGTAATAAACGATCCCAAGGATCTCAGCAGCGTAGCAACCTGTAACGTAGTAAAAGATCCCAGAGATCTCAGCAGCGTAGCAACCTGTAACATAGTAAGGAAGTCCCAAGGATCTCAGCAGCGTAGCAACATGTAACGTAGGAAACTATCTCAGAGATACCAGCAGCGTAGCAACCTGTAACGTAGTAAAAGATCCCAGAGATCTCAGCAGCGTAGCAACCTGTAACGTAGGAAACTATCTCAGAGATACCAGCAGCGTAGCAACCTGTAACGTAGTAAAAGATCCGCAGAGATCTCAGCAGCGTAGCAACCTGTAACGTAGTAAGAAAGTCCCAAGGATCTCAGCAGCGTAGCAACATGTAACGTAGGAAACTATCTCAGAGATACCAGCAGCGTAGCAACATGTAACGTAGTAAAAGATCCCAGAGATCTTAGCAACATCGCAATATATCCTGTACGAAGTACAAGGAACGTTAACATGCCCCCCACCCCACCCCACCCCAACCCCAACCCACACTAACATGGCAATATATCCTGTACGAAGTACGAGGAACGTTAACATGCCCCCCCACCCCAACCCACACTAGAGATCTCAGCAGCGTAGCAACACGTAACGTAGTAAAAGATCCCAGAGATCTTAGCAACATGGCAATATATCAAGTACAAGGAACGTTAACATGACCCCCCACCCCACCCCAACCCCAAGACAAAGAGCAATACTCAAAAAAGAAGCAAAACGCACGTACGGTTTTCCTGCCGTAGGCATAAACAACATATTATCACATTTGCCATTAAAAGTCCCACTGAACCGTCAGTGGAATACACCCACTTACTCAAAAGCCCAATCCTGTTGGGATCCTGAGAAACCTCGTCTCATGAGGTCTTTCACATTAGCTCATTAGCCATGACGGATCCATGGTGCTGGTATATTAATGCTAACACAAAGGGGGTATATTGATGGGATCCATGTCACCATATATAGCACCATGGATCCGTCATGGGTTATAATCACCTAAGGATTCGACCAGTTCTTGTGGAGCCGGGGGGTACCCAGGTCCTCCCGCCGTCAGGAAGGCTCAAAGAGAGAATAAGAAGATGGAAATCAAACTGGAAGCCTCCATCCAGGTCTGATTCTGGTGCTATCTTTTGGGCCATTTGGTGTCATGTTTGTGTCATTTTGGTGTTATGTTTGGTTTTTCAACAATGCTGGAAGTTGCAGAATTTGGAGCAACATCAACAAATTCAGCTATGTCCGCTTATACGATTTCTATCTATATCCATCTCTTTCATTCTCTTTCCTCCATCTATTTACCCTATATCCACATTGTCTCCTGAGAAAACGGTGACTTTCATAGCCACAGAATGTATCAACATGTTTCTTGTCCCAGTTTCCTGGTGCAAAATATCGATCCCAGGAGCATGTGAAAGTGGGCTACGGTTGCTTGAGATTTGGGGACATCACCACAATGATGGCCAATGGCCAAAGTTACCCTTCGCTAAAGTAACATAATTATGGAACATCACCCTTTCTAATATGCATTTAAATCATATCTATAAATTGCCATTTTCAATAATTAACTATGTCAGACAACTGGATGGTATGAAGTGGTGGGTGTTCCCAGCCATGAAAATTCGGATGTTTCCCTCAAGGATGTTCTGGAAAACCAACAAACGCCTACGGAAAATCCCAGATTTGTAGACCATTTCCTCGGGAAACTATGGCTTTCCTATGTTAGTGTTCTGGAAGTGGTACCCTCTGGTAAACTAACATAGCTATGGAAAATCACAATTTTTAATGGGTAAATCAACTATGAATGGCCATTTTCAATAGCTATGTTAAATTACCAGAGGTTAATCGCTTGTGATTTTTGTTCCCGAGATTTACGCGCATTTCCCACGGCGTTTCCTGCGAAAAAAGCTGCGTCAGGAGCAGGAAAACAAGAAGAAGTGACCCGGCGGCAACTTTAAGCAACGGTTCAGCAGTGGTGGATGGGTATTTTCCAATGATTCATGGGATTGTAATGGCTCAATGGCATAATGGTGAATCATGGGATATTTACTGATTCATTGAACTAAACCATCTGGTGCCATCAAACATGGTTTGCCGGACAATCCACCATTTAGTTCGATGATTTTCCCAATGAACAAAACCTCCATTTTGTTCGGGGATTTCCAATTGCCATGGTTGATATCAAAACTGGAATATATTATGACTCTTACAGTATCAGTCTCCTGTTTGCTCACATGTTTGAGCTTATCTGGAAAAACAGATTTAAAAAACACATGACAAACAGTAGAGAGAGGGTATGTGAAATGGATCAAAATTGTTTTAATAAAATTTAATAATATATAATATGTAACATGATATCATGCTTAAGTATACACTGTATGTGTATATATATATATAGCCGTGTGTGTGTGTAACATCTGAACAGATGTAAAACTTCTTTGATTCTAACCTTTTCACATTTGCAGGGAATCTTTTTACATTTGCAGGGGAGTGGTGAGCAATGATGAAGTCACCACTCAACGAAGACGCTTCATCATTTGCTGTGATATGACGAAGGGACGCCTTTGTCACGTACCTGCTTTTTTCGGACATAGCAAGGGGCCAAGCTCAGAACCCCAACCACAATATTATACAATTTGCTGCACTGTTGTCGCAATCTGGAATTATTTTTGATCTTTTACGTTTGGTTTAGATGCATCAGAACCTTCCTCAGTTTTCGCCGAAACCATGTCGCCGACAGTATTATTGACTTTCTGGATTAACTCGCCGAAACCATGTCGCCGATGTATTTGGATTATTTTATCAAAACCACGTCGCCGATTCATTTATTTATTTTGATGACGGTCATGGCCATGGAAACCATTCAGGAGAACTTCTATTATTCATAGGGTGCATCGTTATTTTCGTTGTTTCATTTCTAATCTGCATGTTTCAGGATTCAGTTCCTGCCGGATCATATAATGATCCATTCTTGTCTAGTGTGATTTCCATGGTGGCTCCGACATGGTGCCATGGAGCCATTTGAGGCAACCCTTTTTAGGGTGAGTGACGACTGCTTTGACTACCGAATTTACACTTTTCAATTTAGTAATTCGTTTACGTAAATTGCAACAGCTGGCCTTACGGTTTACCAGCCTTGTTGAATGTCCCGCGGCTCCGGATGTCCCAGGGATCCCAGTGCTCTGCTCTTTCAAGTGACGCCATACTGAACATTCAGAAACCTCTTATTCTGCAGCACTTTCACAGCGACATTTTGCAACATTAAAAGAAAAAATGGACCAGGCAGGCACACGACTTTCAGGTGTGGTATTCTTCCTTTTGGTTTTCTGGTGAGGTGAATCATGTTGTGCACCTAATTCGCTGGAACTTGAAAGCCGTTTATGCCAATTGGGGCTTGACTTGACCACGGTCCCGGTGCAGGGAATAATCGCACGACCTTTAGGCATTTAGGGACTGAATCCTGCATGTGAATTTTCTTTTCTGTTTTGTTCTACTTGAGCGATGTATCCGTGGACTACTCCTCCGACGTCATGGCCTGCCCCACCGCAGCCTACGACCCCATCCTCGACGTGGCCGCAATCATCGCAGAACGCACATCTATTCGGACATCCCTCGCCATTGCACCCTACATGGTCGTCATCAGCCCCAACTTCCCTGCCATTTACCTCATCGACTTCGGCTCCTCATGCAGTACCAGGCCCACAACTTGTGCCAACTATGCCTACACCTATGGCTCCTGAACCCACTCTGGTGCACACCGCTCCACCGACTTTTCCGACTCCCACGGCACCCGCCGCTCCACCCACGTGGCATTCTCCTCCGGCCCCATCACCTACGTCGACTACACCACCTACATCGACTACGCCACCGACACCTTTGCCGAGTTCTCCATACCCACCTCACCACATTCAACATCCACAACCGACGGACGCAGCGATGGTCCCTCCAGATGAACCTCCACCACCAGCAGTTAAGGCAGCTCCCAGGCTTCGCTCTGACAAGAAAACGGACAGACCACGTCGATCAGCTCCGAAAGCCTCTCCTCCTGCTACACCACCGGCACCAACGGCGGCACCGACTTCATCCGTTTCACCTGAACTTGCAGCGCTGGGATCCACTGCACAACAACTTGCGGAATCGGTTCGACTTATTCAAGCTCAACAACAATTGATCATGGATTCCCAACGAGCCCAAGAACAACGTCAGCTACTCCTCCAACATGATGGACCTCCACCGAACCCCATTCCACCGACACCATTGCCTACAACAGCTCCACCACCTATTGCCATGCCTCCACCTGCACCGAAAGCCAGACCCACCGAACCTGACGTTCCGGACCCTCGCATCATCCCAGCTCCAGCCGTCGCTCCTCCTCACCACCTACATGCTCCACCA